CCACAGGTGTGCCCTCAGGCGGATCGCACACAAACGTGTTCCAAAAAGTCATTACGTTGCCTCGTAGTTTTCACCGACTCGGCGCGGTATCGATTTTTACGCGGATCTTTATCGCATCCTATCGCACCGTTTCGAATCCGTCGCAAAATTTGGCCGCGAGCGCCGAAGCGGTTAGCCCTTTAGTTCGACCGAGTCGGAGCGGACAACAAAAGCGGCGTTAAAGCATTCGGTCCGTCGGCAATTTTTTCTGGTTCGATTTTGCGGCGGAGGCACCTCTCGGTGAGGAATTCCATCCATCAGCCGGGGCTAGATTACGCCGCGTTAGTTACAGAGAGAGAGAGGAATCGGTGTGTACGCGTGTGGGTGAGAGACGGAGCGCTCCGAGGGTGTTCGAACGGATAGAGGCAGAGAGAGAGAAACTGGCCCTGGAGTACCTTAAGGCTAGACGAAGCGGCGGCCGAGGGAACGAAATGGGCGCGAACACGACCGAGGAACAAAGAGAGACACAAAGCGCGAGCGAGAGAGAGGAGAAACGCTCTCGGGACTCAGGTGTTGATGACCAGACACCGCGAAGCAGCAACGCGCCGCGCTGGCGGTGGCTGAAGGCGGGATGCCTTTCATCTTTTCATCTTTGTCTTGTACCTCCGAGGCTCTCTCGCGCGCATCTTTCCGGCCTAGAGGCTTCCTCACCCGACGCTTCGATGCGCACCGAAATCCTCTTCTCCTCGTTGTTTCTCAGGCGCGAGCTACAATCGAACACATCGTCGGATTATCGTAAGCTGAGAAGAATATTACGAAAAAATACGAGACTAAAGAGCGGACAGTTGTAATGTTGTTGCTACCAATTTAGTTACGACATTAGATTCTGCTTAATAATATCGTTTTGTAGGCTCGGTTGAAATAAATTTTCAGCCGTTCTTGAAGAAATTTCGAGGAAATAGTGTCGCGCGAGGGAAGTCTCTTCCGTTCAGCCGTTTCGGCTGAGAAGGATCTCCGCGTGAACGGAACACTCGCGCGACTACAAAGGATCGCGAGGTCGGCCGTGGCGTGCCGCGGCGAAATTAGCCGAATTCTCCTGCTCGCTCGGATCGTTTGAGGTTTCCGTTGCTTCCGTTGCGCCTTTTGTTTACCCGCGAACGCAAAAGCGCAACGAACTCAATGCGTAGAACTTAAGCACGCGGTAGCATGTAAGAACACGATATCACGGTTGAGTTATCTCTCGGTCGTATCTCCTTGGACGAAACAGCGGTCCGAAAAATGCGAAATGTTTGCCTAGTAACGAGTAGATTACGTCGCGGCCGAGTATCGTACCGAATCACGTAGCGCAGTCGCGTTGCTTTCAATAAGAGGGGAGAAGGTGGGTAATTCCGTAGGTTTGTCTCTTTCTATCCCACGCACGGCACGTACACGCCAGCCTTCGATCCCGCGCGCGCAGCTTCGTCGTCTCTCTTTATTCGCTCGGAGCCTTGTTAAGTCCTTTCGGCCGGCGTTGGTATAATGATACGAATAATGACCCGGGCGAGTGCGTAATCTACCGCTAATGTAATCGGATAAACGACGAATGATTTTTCGTTGCCGTACGTTGCGCATTTTTTCAAACGTACGCACAGATCTCTGAATTCCTTCAAATAGAACTGAAAGCGCCAATATCGCAGACAAAAACGTTCGTTTGTTCATGCGTCGAGTTGTATACTCAAACCAAGAGAAGATTCTGATTCTAGAGTTCTGAGTTTGTTTCCACGATGGTGTGTCACAGTTTCGAGTGAAAATATTCGCTCAGCGATTCAGAGTGGAGAATTCGTTCTGCGCGAGTAAAAAAAAGTTTTCCTTTTGAAATTTCATCCCGAGAAATTCAGAGAGTAGATTCACTTCTTACGAGACCTTTCGAGCTGCGTTCTAAATCGAATCGCTCGTTAATCGCAAACCGAAGGTGCTAGCTCGGCTGACCTCTAGACGAGGGAGACTATACCTTCCGACTTGTTTGCCGAACGCTGCCCTAACGAGCTTTATTAACGATAATCGATTCGCAGAGTTGTAGAGCGGAACGATCGATCGTACGAGGTCGATGTGCCGCCTCTGAATTCTATCCCGACGGCTTTGTCCATAAATCGTTCTCAAGTAATAACGGAGCTCTATAGTGTCTCCGTTATTTAGTGGTATGATGGTTGCCGACACTCGTATATTTCCGATACCGGTTCTCGTTTCAACTACCAACTCGTTGTACTCGAATCGCACGATGAAGACGACAGTCTTTCGATGTATTCAACATTTTAGAGCGTTTGTAGAATCGGCGAAAAAACGAAATCTCGAGCGACGCGGTGAAGAATGGGATTCGCGTTGCAAACTCTTGACGAGAAATATTTCAACTTTGATCATGAATAAATTTATCCCTCGCTCGAATGTGTGCGCGAAAATTCCACGTTTTCTTTTCACTCGATGACCTCCGTCTTTACGAGGTAAAAGAGAAAAAAAGAAAAACCAGATCGACATTAAAAATTATTACACTCGTTCTCGGCTGTTCTTTTTATGGGACGCAACGAGACCCACCAACGAGCGTGACTCGCTAAGGTAGTCCTTATTAAATCTTCCTCGTCCCTATTAGAGGCAGAAATTACGGATAATCCTTTTTATTACGCACGCTACGCGGACTCCCATGGCAAGAGGGCGCAGAAAGGCAACCGGTGCGTTAAAAAAAAGTCGAGATGGGTCGCGGCACGGTTCGACGCGGCATGGTGGTCCGCGTTTCCCATTCCCGACAACAAAGCGCTTTTAAACAATCTCCATTGTACCCGTAATCCCGAGCCATGCGTGAAATCAACACGTTTTTCCACTTAATTGACAAACACACGCCTCTCCGTCCGTGTGTTCCGACGAGCGCCCACCGAACGTGACTTATAACGGTTGCGTATCTCGGGAATAACGAGCGATATAACAAATGTTGCTCGCGAGATCGGGACACGATGTAGCGAAATAATTGTGACGTTTCGAGCAAAAAGTACTCGTACAAGTCCTATTCGCAGTTGTGCGTGTCCAAGAGCGATCGAGGAAAGAGAGAGAGAGAGAGAAGTGAGCGTTGGAAAGCATGGCCTCTTTTAGTCCCGGATTAATAGCTATCAAGAGTTTTTTTTTTTCTGATCGTCGACGACGACGGCTCATTAATGTAAACTTCCAGTACAAGTAAAAAAGAAATACGGAAAGAGGCAACATAGTCTCGCGCGTAATTGCGATAAAACAAACATTAAAATGCGCGCGTTTTAAGTAGCTGCCGTCTTTTCTGCAAATTTCACGATGAAGCGAATTTTATCGTAGAATATTCACGAAGGAAGATCCTCGATATCTCCGGAGAAAATTTTGCCACTCTATGCGATCGCGAGAATTAATTAACGTTGATTACACAAGTAGCATATAATCTAATTCGTCGTGGAGATGGGACAAATGGAGGAGTTCGGTGATTCACTACGTATGCAATAAGAAACAACACCCGTCATCTGTCGTGGTTCTATGTATATATACAATAATTTATTTCGCTACGTAATCGTTTTCTACATTTACAAATCGTTTTTGCTCGAGCGAGTACAGAGTATAGATCGATGCGCTAACGCACAACGTGTAACGAGCAGCCTCTTCTTTCGTACGCACACTCGCGCGCGCACACGCATCTCCAGCAAGAGGAAACAACAAGACGACACACACGGTGTGAAGCTTGCCCGACCAAGAGGACGAAAATATTCCATCTCGAGATAATCCCGTTCGTTAAACAGACCGGTCTTGACATTCAGACTCGAACGCCTTCGAGAACACGGATGTTAAACAATGACATCTACGGTCGCGTGCAGCTCGGTAAAATATTTTGGCCTTCGCAGAACGAGCAAATTTCGCACCGCACGACGGAGCTATGCTTCGGTCAGGCCTGTGCAACTTTGCAGTTTTGCAGTGTTTTACGTGTTCATTTTAATTTAGTCTCGCTGATAATGCTTAAGCACATTTTACATGTACCGTGCGCGCTTAGTTTTGCTTTGTGTAATTGGTTTGATCGGCACGCGATGATACTTTCGGCGATACTTTCCGAAAACAACGTTCGCGTTCGTACGAGAAATTAATGATTCAGGCATTTGTTTTTTAAGAGGAAACAATTACGTCTATTTCAAACTGCAAATTAGACTTTTAAAATTCTATTTGAGAAGGAATGCGATGGTGTGTGTGTGTGTGTGTGTGTGTGTGCGTGTATGTGTGTGTGTGTGTCTCATACATGTCAAAATAATTTACAATATATAATAAGTCTCTTAACCTCTACTTCTCTCGAACCAAATATTATAGTTCGGCTTAAAAATTTAATTTTTAATAAGTTAATTATATTAATCTATAAATACATACATATATGTACACTTTTCTTTTTCTAAAAGAACAAGCGCGCGCGCGTACAAATGCGTGTATAATTCTCCCGTTTATTCCTCTATATAAATATTTTCAAGATATAACAATTCTGTAAATATCTTCAACTCGCAATAGTAAAATCTGGCGCTCTCTTCCTTTGCAAAATAACTTCGATCGATCGCGCGAAACTCGTTTGATTCGAGCGTAAATGATAAAGAGCTTTTTGTCACTTTTCCGCGACTCGTCCGGGAGAAAGAATTTTCCAATGAAAAGATTTCGATGCGTGGAAAAAAAGATAAACTCGGCTCCGATGGCAAATCGTCACACAGGCCTGCTGGGGGCGCTCGCAGTAACATAATCGACTTGCTCGCTCCTCATCTAGAGATCGTCTAATTATTGAATTACGTAGAGACGGGCGTTTGAGCGATAACCTCGATGCGCGAGAACGCGCGGCGTTTCGCGATCGACGACAGCCCGCGACGAAAACCAATATCAAGCGAAGACACCTCCCGATAAGAAGACGGCGAAACGAGGAACTAACGTTATCCACGAGGGTCTCGTCGACAATAAAGAAGATCGACTTCTCAAGAAGTCGCGGACACAGCATTTACGCTCATCCAACGAAATCAAGTGGCGGCGCCGTAAGAGGGCCTCTGAACACCCGCGACCGACATCGAGTAGCCGGCGTAAAGCGGCCTGGGCGCGAGGAGCGACGACTTTTTCGACTCGTCGGCCAGCCTCGCGGCTGCTTCGTTCTCACCCAGCTTGTCGTCGGGCGCGATGATGTTCTCGATGGTGAACGGCTTCTTCACCCTCTTCTCGGCGGTGAGCACGAGCGGGTCCTCGCGACTGGGCAGCGTTCGCTCGACCTCCACCACCAGGCTCGAGATCGGCGAGAGGTGACGAGAATAGGACTTGGACGCGGGCGAATTCGGCGAGGTCGGCGAGATCGGCGGCGAGACGGCCACGGCGCCGCGGTAGAGGTTCAACCTGGACGACGAGGTGGACGAGGAGGAGGACGACGAGAGCGGCTCGTCCGCGTCGGTGAGCTTGTTGTCGCGGTAATTCGCGACCTCGTAACTCTCGAAGACGCTCGGCTCGCCGTCTCTGCCGGTCTCCGGGGCGCGCTCACCGGACAAACGTCGCCGCGGCGGGCCGTGCTGCCTTACGGCAGCGGCGGCCTGGAGGTACGGCGACACCGCGTACGAGGACGGCGAGACCGGGAAGCCGGGAAAATTCCACGACGCCGAGTGCAAGAGCGCCGCCGCCTCGTACGTCCGCAGAATCTCGTTGCCGCCGTCGGCGGTCAGTCTCTGCCTGACCTCCGGTGACAGCAGGTAGTAACCGGCGACCGCTTCCGGCGCGGCGGCCGGCACCGGCAGGCCGGAGGTCGCGCCGTCGAACCTACCGAAGCCGCTCGCGGCGAATTCGCCGGGACCGACCATCATTCGTCTCTCCTGTATCTCCCATCGGAGAAGGTCGTCGCGCAAGCGATGGAGATTCGCCAGGCTGAGGCCGTTGGCGGAGCACGTCGTCGCGTCGACGGGTTCCGCCGGCGGCGGCGGTGGCGGCGGCGGCGGCGGCGGTGGCGGCGGCGGCGTCGGAGGTAACGGTGGCGGCGGCGGCGGCGGAGGCGCCGTCGGTGGCGGCAACGGCAACGGCAACAGCAACAACGGTAACAGCGGTGGTGGCGGCGGCGGCGGCGGTAGTGGCAGTGGTGGTAGTGGCGGCGGNGCGGCATCGCCGAGGCGAGAGCCTGCAGCTCGGACTTGAGCAGCTCCTTGTCCGGCTTGTGCAGCTTGAAGCGCTTCCGTCGGCGGAGGAGCGAGCCGTTCTCGAACATGGACAACGCGGCGGGGTGCAACGCCCAGTAGGCTCCCTTTCCCGGCCGATGCGGACCACGCGGCACCTGGAAATCCGCCACGGTTTATCACGCTGCGCGCTACATCCCTCGATTTAAGATATCCTTTGGCGGGCGAGAAAGAAACAAATGAATTGGAGCGAATCTTCTTGACTCCGCAAAATATCATTGAAACTAACAACGTTGCTGTCGAATCGAGAAGATTTGCTCCAATTAGGCGCGGAAGTTCCATCGATGCATTCTTCACCTCCGGAATATTTCTTTTGCTTCCGAGCACGCAAACCAACCTCCTCTGACACGGAAACGTTGATCGAGCTGAAACTAGGTTCGCGCGAGTTCATAAACGACGATCGAGACGACGCAACATCCGAGGCAATTACGTACGCTTCTCGTAAAGCACGATCAGGTGGGGGGCTCGTGTTTTTCCTCTCTCGATATCTCGGCCCGACACGTCGTCCGCGATGGTTCGGACGATATAACGCGATTGATGAGCTGTAGAGAGCCCGCGCGGTTCATTACTTGCCAGGAACGAACACGTTTTACATTTAATAACGCGAAACGATTATCTGCCGATCGGGCGAGTTAATTCGATCGGAAAGGACAGATCTCGCGCACGGAGGGAAGGAAATATATCGCGGTCGCTGTTATTACGCTATAAATACCGACGAGAGAGGGGTGGCGCTTCGACGATTTCAACGCCGCATTGTGACAGAGAAGATCGACCGAATTTGAAATTAGTGCGACCTTGTAAAGCTCTTGACGCGTTCGACGGATTGGAACAATGTGTTCTTTCGTACGCACGACAATCTGGATTCGATCGACGTCTTCCGGAAGATGAAATCTCTCGCAGAGACATTATTACTTTCCATCGTATTTATAGCTTCACGCTTTCTAACGACAATAATTACCGCTCGAGCGTACGCGATGTGAATTTTGTCTAATTCCGATTTTGCTGCCAAGCGGCTTCCGTCGCAATATAGCATCTTCGGCTTGCAGGTCTTTTCGAAACGGTCACAGCGAAGTCACGAATCAAACATTACATAATTGTCGTCTCTCTTCGTTCTTCTCGAGGATTTTCCACAATTTTAAATTCTACACGAAAGTGTAGTTCAAGGAGAGCAGACGGAAAGAAATTCTCATTAACAATATGTGCTTCTTCGATGCTACAAATGAAAAGGCGTTTTCTCCATTTGGAAATTTAGGCCGGTACTTAAGTTTACCGTACAGCATCGTCCAAAACTAAGTAGGCTAGAAGTAAAATTTCGACTCGGAAGATGTGAATTTTTCGCGATTAAAAGTTACAGTCTGATTACTTCACAAGCCTCCAAAGTGTGGACGACAGTCCTTCGTAATTTTGTAGAACCGTGTGCGCCATGTCGGTGATCGCGCACGTTGGCAGGTGCGAAACAGATGGCCCGATAATACAATGACCAAACACCTTGCGCCCTACGTCGGACATTCGCGTTGAAAAGGCGCATCGTCGCGCCGATCAACGAGCAAGATCCGTTCCACCCCTCGTCACGCTTCATTCGACGACTTTCCGCGCTAACCGAGGACGCGACTTTCGGCAAGCCACGCTCATTCGCACAAGCCGAGGTTTTTGTTCATCGACGCAAGTTCGGACTAACCTTGATGAAGCAATCGTTGAAGGACAAATTGTGCCTCAAAGAGTTCTGCCATCGTCGCGTGTCCTTCCTATAATACGGGAAACGGTCGGCGATGAACTTGTAGATCTCGGCGAGCGGCAACATCTTGTCCCTCGACGACCATATCGCCATCGCCGTCAGCGATATGTAGGAGTAAGGTGGTTTCTGGTCACCGTAAGTATCGCGCGACGGCCGCGGCATCATCGACGACGTCCAAGAGCGGGAAGAGAGAAACGGCTCCTCTAGGACGAGCGTTCTTCCGGAACTCCGCTCAGCGTCGTCCGCGAGCCAGGCATCCGATACTCGCTCGCCGTCGGCATCCTCCGACCGAGATCCCCATCGGACCCAACCACGCTGGGGTCCGCGGCTGGCCGAGGCGAGCTCCCGTCGCCGCTGCCGTCGTCGCACGTGTCACGATATATATGTATCACCACGCGAGCTCTGCACTCGTTTCGGCGACTGTCGTCGCGCGCGCGCGCGCCGGAGAAGAGCGACCGAACACTCGAGCAACCGCGATCGCGTCTCCACGGATACTGCGGTCGATCTATACCCACACCCCCGCACTGCGAGGTGCCCCGCCATCTCGCCCGTCGCCCAGCGGCCCGGATTGGAGGTCGTCGCGCTGCAACTTCCCAACCGGGGGTCCCGTACGACCACCTCCGCGTCCAATGGCGCTCGACCGCCCCCTACCCCGGCGCGACGTCCATTTCCGCGCCGAACGTCCGCGGAGGGCCGGCGTTCCCTCGGCCACCTCCCTAGGCGAGACGCGCGAGCAACCGGCCAATCCGATCGACGTCGTACGTTACGAAGGTCCTCTTTCGCGCGCGGGGCTACTCTAGTTGAGCTCTCGCGAAACCCTTCGATGGCCCGCGATATGTTGCTGCCCGACAATACGCGATGGAAAGTACGTTTGCGAGTAAACGTGATTATCGCTCTTCGCGGCGAAATTATCCCCCTCGAGAGAGAAAGAGGATAGCCAGCCGATCGTTTCCGATCGATATTTTCTTTGTCAGCGAGATCCGATCTCTAATCGTTCAATTTAGATCGTTCACCGCCAAACGGAAGAGTGGGAGAAGGCACACCAATCGCAGCACCTTCCGCGGCCAGAGTTCGTCGACGAGTAGGCGTGCCGCTACGCCTCGCACCGAGCCGACAAAATGGCAATCCTCGTTATTCGTCGTCATCCGCGACTGGAATTATATACTTCCGGTTCGGACGTGTCGTCGTTCGATAGTTCGGAAAAAATCGCGGATTTACTTGAAACATGTTTACCTTGCAAACTACTCTATGTACGCGTCAAATCGGATCGTTCCGCATGTAATCTTAGCGGCGGATCTCCTGAATGAATTTTGCTCGACGGAATACTTTCGCACGACACTTAACGCGCGAGATAAAACTTGTTTAAGCCGTTCCTCTTTCCGAGCTATCCTGCGAAAAGAAAATCAAATAGGCCCAAAGAAAGGTACACGGGAATAACTGCGACTCTCACAGCCGCAGTTAGAAAAGGATGTTGAGGTCGTCGCGTGACGATCGAAAGAGATACGCTTTATGAAAAATCTACAATCGTATATTTAACGTAGGTAAGAAATAATGTACAACCTGCACTACACGTAATGTGTATAATCACGCGTCGAGCCTCGACGGCCTGAGACCTAAACGCTCGATTACATACTCGGGCATACAATAAGTGGGATTGATCGGTTTCAACGAGTAGTCCTTGTCTAACAACGACAACGCGGTGAGGCCGAACAAGGTATGAAAAGGATCGGCCACGTCTCCGGGTCGATCGCTGAAACCGCCGGATTCGACGTCTTGACAAGTCAAGATGTAATTCACCTGTAACGAGACGTGTGGATCGATCGGCCAACCAAGATATTCATCTGACGGGTCATTACTTACTAGGCGTTTCTTATCTATCCAATGGAGGCGACCCAAAATCGTCAAAGCCGATAGAACCCACCAGGAATAACACACGTCTGGCAATTTTTCCGGTCTGCCGTTTAAACCGCCGGACGGCAGTTGCCTCTCGCATAACCACCATCCTAAACGATCAGCATCTATCAGATGCAGGTGTCCTGGAAAACACTCCGATAAGCAACAATACTACTTCCTGGATTTTCGGTGGCAAGTATAGTACCTGTTATCGAGAGCAGTCCCACGCAACAATATATTAAACCTGCGTGACTCTCAGATCCGGGTTTCGAACCAAACGCTCCGTCAAAATTCATACACTTTAATATGAATTCCACCGCCTTCTCGACGTCTATCGCGTCCAAGCGATTCTGCAAAGGAAACGACTCTGATCTAGGATGCTCTTATATCGAAGTGCTGTGACTAGACACGATAGTTACCAGAAGTGACAAAGTAGCAACGGCGCAGAATGAAAATCTGACATCCACCTCTCCCCAATAATCGCCGGTGAAACTTCCATCCGGCTGTTGCCTCTCTTTCACATATTTCACAACTTTCTCAACGTCTATTACATCCAGTGCATCGTAAATGCACAATATCTGAATAGCACTGAGCGTATAAAGTAAATGCGGATCGTGTTCCACACTGGCACTGATACCACCGCAGTCACTTTGACACTGGCCGATAAATTCTAATACTCGTTGCTTATCGGCTTGTTCTAACTTTCCCATTAAATCTAGCGCAGTAAGGCCCCAATACATGCCAGACATTCTCATGTGCTCCGTCATACAGTAGGTCTGAAAAGTAAATCGATCATCTTGGAAGACTGCTACGAAATTAAGTGTTACCAATGTGTAAATGTATTTTATAAGCTCTTACATATTCGTCTTTATCAGTTTCGTAAGAGATGAGATACTTGACATGTTTCTCCAGTAATAATTCTGGGATTTTACTAGGTAGTTCAATGTCGTGCTTCAATGTCGCCTACAGAAAAAACAGATATATAAGCGTAAATTATCGTGACTCGATTCGTTTGATAACTGCATTACTATGTGATACCAAAAGTGATACGCGACTGTATTTTGTTTGTACATCAAATACATAACCTTATAACTACTGTTTCGTATGTATCCTGTCGAATTTTTCTTTAATAATCCGATGAATTAAGCTCACCATTTTTGCAGTTGTTGCGTCATCAACACGATGACTACGAATTGTTTGTATACAACCTACCAATTGCTCCGGGCAACTTTGAATCGAAAATTGTATCCTAGACTTGATTCGTGAATTCAAAATTCGAAAAGCTGCATGGTAAATCTTCGGTACAGAGTTACCTCATCGATGTCTTATTTCTTTTAATTCACATAACTGGAAATGTAACAAACGTAAGTATTGACGTAATTGCAGCGGAGTGACAACTGTCTTTCTACCTTCCCTCAACAGATGGCTCCAAAAGCCTGATTAAAGGCCCATTTTCAACGATTGATTGATACTTACGTTGATAATCTTTGAAAATCGATATATTGTGCATATTTCATTTGAAAGTTGCACTCACTGTTGAGTCGCACTGCTTTGAAGTTAAAACAAAAGGTGTCCGACTCATCACTGAGTCATACTACGATCTCGTAAGAGACGGTGGCGGCTCGTAGTAGATTTTTCGAACTAACAATAGTAACGAGTGTAACCGTAAGGTCGCGCTCGTAAATCTGTGCTCTGAAAAGCGAAAAAGAAAAGTGCGTATAAGAGGAACAAGTTCCAACCGAAACACACCAATCAGATCCGCAATTGCGTTTATCAAGCGCCTCGTTCCAATGAACGTAGCCGTGTGATTAATATTCGTCATCACATGTTTCATGATCGATGCGCCGCAGCACTTTCGAACGCGAGTGAGCGCGTGTTTTTGCGGTGTAATCGACAGTTCTAATGGACTTTCCGATGTCATAGATAACGAAAAAAGGTCAGTAACCAAAGGTTCGATCGCGATGTCCCGGAGTTGCTGTCGAGCCATCGTTGCGACACGAAGAGGGTGATGCCGAACGGAGCGATGTCCTCTGCTCTTCGTCCGAAATGTCTCGTTATTATCGCGGTGTCAGGTTTCAAGTGTCAGTGTGTTCGATAAACGTTCTTTCGGCCAATTAAATGCACATTAACGATCGCACGAAATTTGCTTTACACGCTGCTCAGAAGCTCTTAAGCTGCCATTACGTCGATGTTTGACAGTTCCGAAAGCTTGGACGCTGACATCGCGTGACTTGCTACTTCCAAACGGAGAGGGCTCGGACACGCTCGGTATCAAGCATGTACGTATCGTTACTGGCGCAATGGCAAACTGTCTGGTAGCGCCCTGACTATTTGCTTCTCTTCCGACAGGAACAAATCCGTGGAGAACCTATTGATATCTAGTCACGAGGTAATCAATAGCATCAATTCTTCCAACTTGGGTAATCAAAATTCTGCGACAAATTTAGGAAGCGTAACATCTCCGGAAAACGTTCAAGAGACGCATTCTGGTTCCGGTGCCGAACGTAATAGTCCTGTGTCCAGTCCTAATCTATCCCCGCGTCCTAGCCCGAGAGCCTACAATAGACGAGAATATTCTAGGTTGAATTCTGATTCCTCCGCCAAAGAATTGATTCGTATAAACAAGTCGGAAGATCAGCTTTCGTCTCAGGTATGTATGACTTTTCTTCCACACGTTTGCCTTGTTATCCATGAGAAACCATGTGTGATTTGTTGTAAAAATACACAGGATCAGATAAACAGATCATCGGATTCGACTGAGCTTGGTAAAAGCTCCGCTCACGAGAGTAAAAAGGAATCACGCGCCAGTGACCGAGCTAAGAAGAAATCCTCCTGGTATAATGTATTGTACCCAACTTATAAGTCTCGTTCCGAGGACTTTAGACGAATATTCAAAGACGTGCCCGATGACGAGAGGTTGGTGGTAGGTAAGTATTATTTTAAGGATGTACCCTCTGCCCCCTTTGTTACTAGAGAATGTATCATGCTGTATTTTATCGCTTGCAAACCAGTTTTGCCAGACTAACTCTTGACATTTGTTGCATCCATGTTAGCGTATGTTAAACCGATTATGTAACATTCTACGATTTAATTAATCTAACATTATGACTTTTAGACTATTCTTGTGCTCTGCAGCGTGAAATATTGGTACACGGTAGACTTTATGTATCTCAAAATTACGTGTGCTTTTATGCTAATATATTTATGTGGGAGACACTGGTCTCCCTACGTTGGAAAGATGTTACATCTATTACCAAAGAAAAAACTGCGCTTGTCATTCCAAATGCTATCCTGATATGCACCATAACTGACAAGTTTTTCCTAACATCGTTTGGAGCAAGAGACAAAACATATGTGATGTTATTTCGTGTTTGGCAAAATGCTCTCATTGGCGAGGTATGCATAATTCGTATATAACTAACTCGAGTTTCCATTGCGCTTTTCAAAGAATATCCTAATCTAGATTATTGCAAACGAGAGGGTACTTTAGAAAATTGTCTCACTCTCTTGGAATATCGCTGAACAATGTTGCAATAGAGAGTTAGACTCGAATATCTTTCTTCCACGAGAACCAGCGTTTAGATTACATTGAGAACTGACGATTTTTAAACACTTTGTACATGCTTATGAATAATGTGCCTCTCTCGAGATAAGATATTAAGTATAGAGATTAGAGGTAGATAAGAGATAAAATAACGCAGATTTTTCTATTTTTCAGCACATGAGTATGGCTGAAATGTGGCAGCTTGTACATGCTTGTTACGGTGATGAATTAGGTTTGACGTCCGACGACGAAGATTACGTACCACCGTTACCCGCAACGGACGAGGAGAAATTGTCGACTCGTCTCTCCGTAGAATCCTTTTCTGAGGTATGCCAGACAATATATCCCTTAGTGGAGCAGTCCTGAATGTCATCCTGAATTTTTGTATTCGATGAAAACAAAGGCCGAAGTCACCATGGAAAATACAGCAATTCCAGCCGTGGATCCCGCTCCTGCTGAGCCAGCTGAGCTTCAACCGGTGGTTCAGCCACCGCAGCTTCAGCCGCAACCACTGCCCAGATCGGAACCCGTTCTCGATCCAACGGATTTGAGCGATACGACGGAAAGCGAGGCCGAAAAGCACGGCCGTAAGTTTCTTTCTCTGCGCATTTCACACTTTTAACTCTCACCCGACTTCCAGCCGCGAATGATGAGATACATCACTCGATGTTCCATTGACATTTAGTTTATATTTACTAACACATCACCGCGATACACGTTGCAAAAAGACGTGATATCTCGATTAGAAATCTGTGCAAGGAACGGCAGTTTTGATCTGAAAATATGTAAATACTAAGCCCTATTGGGTTACGTGCGCGCGTAACACGGTCGTGATAATGTGCTTGTTCCAGTGAAAATAAACATGCGGAGCTCCATGGTCTGCACCTCCCTGCATGAAGGTCGGCAAGTTAACAAAGCAACATTGCCTATTCACATCGACCAGCTGTTTACCTTGCTCTTCACAAATTCGAAATTCTTCTTAGATTTCCATACTGCCCGCAAGACTACCGGTAATAACAATAATGAAGATTCTTGTCGTGAAAGAATGAATTCATTTCAAAGAGTACGATTCAACAACTTACGTCAATTGTCTCCAATCTGAGAAAAGGTTTTTCTTTCAATTAGAGATGTAGATTTGAGGAAATTCTAGGGAAATTAATTTTGTGATTCACAATAACATATGTGCTAACATATTACACATAACGTCGTGTGCGTGTTGTGATATTTTATGATTAATATAAATTCTCCTCTATCATTTCTCTAATATACTTGTTGATTTAGATTTGATACAATCCGCATGGACGCAAAACACTCAAACTGATCAGAAGATGAGAACGCTTTCGTACACGATATCCTTGAGTCAGGCTCTCGGTCCGAGGACTTGCCATGTTACGGAGACACAGGTAACGGCAAAGTGTTCGGAGTGTATTCTCCAAGTAGTAACATTTGTTCCGTGCAGGTGATGCTGCCGTGTAGTAGGCCGGGCCATCTCTATTGCATCGACATAGAGAGTATAAACGCCGGCATACCTTACGCGGATTCCTTCAGCGTCTCAACGCATTATTGTATACACAGTATTTCCGAGAACGAGACAGGTCTCATGATCTTCTCGCAGATCAAATACAAAAAGAATGTGTGGAGTTTCGTGAAAAGTGAGTATATACACACATCTATAGATTATACCGAATCTCTCATACCGTAACAAAAAAAAAGATTTCCTCGATTTGTGCGACGCTCTATTCGGCAATATGTGCGCGAGCAAAAACAACGCGATCGAGTGATTAACCGTCGAATCTTGTCTCGAACAAAACAGGTATGATTGAGAAGAATTGTTGGGCAGGCTTGGAAGAGTATTTCGATAGTTTAACAAAGGCGTTGACGGTGGAGTGCGAAGAAGGCAGTGGAAGCGGAGGCTTGAAACGGAAAACTAGGAAACGACGACGCGCGACGGGCGTCGGAGCCACGTTGCAAACTCATGCTTCCGAGCACATGGCTGGGAATCATCAAATCTCTCCTTCCAATTCGTCGCATGCCCACGGTGAATACGACGGAAATATGTCTCTTTGTGACGCATTATTCACGCGAAAATTGCTTCGGGTCACTTATGGGAGGTGTTCTTTCTTTCTGTTTCAGCCATTACCGCCAGGAGCGACACCAACATGATCCTCAGCACGATACTATTGATCGCTGTACTGTGCTTGATGGTAATTAACGGCTTGTTATATTATAAATTATGGGGACTCGAAGAAGCTGCTGCGTACACTATTATGGATCTGCACGTATTAAAGTGAGTGTTATCACGCGTGATCTCGCGTGTGACGGAAGAGAGAGTGTGATGTTGCTTGTTTTTCTAGAAATACGCCAAAGACTGAGGAAGATTGGATCAATCTTTTGCAGCAGCAAGAAAGTTTGCACAATGTGGAAATGAGAAAGTGGCAGAGAGTTCTGCATACAGCCGCACAATTGCTTAGACAGGTAAGGCTCGTGTACACAGACTCACACATTCACAAAGATATATCTTGTGTTCGCTTTTTTTTTTTTTTTCCTTTAAGACTGAGGAATCTTTAACGGAATTACAAATGAGCATCCATCCTACTGCAACGGAGAAAATGTTCTCGGTGTTGAAACCAAATTTGAAGAGTGTTGATTCACGCACAGAACGGCGAAGCAAGACGGAAATGTAAGACAATTGTTACGCGATTGGGTAAGGGCCACACGAGTTTTAAATATGTAAAATCTGATTTCGCAATGATCATTGAATTTCAATAAGCATACCGTATACAAACTGCTAAAGTGTGTATTCTTCCTATTATTGTCACTTTGAGGTTGGTCGGTAGTTCTCATTGCGCTATATGTGTGCAGTTTTATTGACCGAATATAATAAGTATTATAATAATTTTGTTGCGGGAAACAATGTGTGTGCGAAATGTGTGTGTAGAGTCTACTTAATAATGAAATTTGTGATTTTAGTTTTAGATACAGGCATTTCATTCAGGATCCGTAATGTATACATTTCCAAATGAATTTCAGTTGCGACATCAGAGACAAGAGAATTAGAAATGTACGCGAGCTATTTTTCTTATTCAGAGGCGCACAAATAAGATCGGGGCTTAGGCAGTAAGAATAGAGAAAAAGCGTATGATAACTTTTTACGTTGCATGCAACAATTTATTGGCTGTGTTTCATTTATTATCTGGTTTATTGAATACTGAAGTGCATTCGACTTATCGAATACAATCTTTCGTATTCACATTTGCCGAATGTGCTTATTTGGATCATTGAATATAAGTATGTATACATCAGGTGTCATGCCCAACTGGTATCTTACATATGTCAAATTTATTTTCTGGTGTATTGTGTGTGTATACCTAATGTAATACACAACTGACATGAATACAACCAGGTACAATCCCAACACTCCTTCGGCATGTTAGAGTTACAATAGGATTCTTTCGCCGCATTTATCATTCCGCTTATTGAATAAAAGTATGCTGGTGTGAATGCACCGGATGCAATGCGGACTGTTCTTGAATGTTACAGTCAAATAAGATCCTGTGTACATATTCCAAATTTATTCTCTGGTTTACTGAACATAAATGTATATACATTTAGTACGTGATACACGATTGATACGAATACAATCGGATGCAGTCCCAATTTCTTTGGAATATAATCGGATAGGATCTTATTCGCAGAAATTTATTTATCGTCGGATTTATCGAGCGCGAGAGCATATCCATATTTTCCGCAACGATGATAGTCTTCCATTGCCGTATGCTTTTTCTTATACCTCATTTTTTGTGCGGTGGAATAATTCTTGTAAATATATTGGCACCACCTCGCAGCATTCTCGTCGTAATTTATTCCAAATGTAAACAATTTTATTGGTTTATCATCTTGTAAGTAAAAAAGGCAGCCCCATGATAGATCGGAAGTCGTCAATTGTAAAAATCGTTCACTCGTATCGACCACTTTCTACGACTGTTCTCGTCTCTAATGTCGTAATTCAAAATGCCTGACGTAGTCACTGGCGATCCTTAATGCTAATAGTTTAAGGATTAGTGTACAGAGCATACTCTGGATGTAAACTTAACATTTAAGTATTACGAGTATGTGTATGAATATGTGTGACAGATAATAGATGACTTTTAGAACGATTCGTTGAAATCTTTCAAAAATTTTCTTTACTTTTTTCTCAAGACAATCTAGGTGCAACAGCAGAATTAAAATAATGTATCCTGGCGAGATAAAAATATTGAAGTGTTCTAAAAAAAAAAAAGCAAGGGATAGTAATTTACATATTACATATGTAAAAGTTCATATGCCGCATTTTATTTATCGTCGGGCTTATTAAATACTAAAGTGTATCCACACTTTCCACAATAATGACGGTCTTCCATCGCCGCCATGAATACACCCGCGCCGCACTGCTCCATCGGGCATTCCCGACGCAAACGGTGGATTTTGCCGTTTTCATCCACCTGAAAAACATATTTTCCAATGCATTTGGACCTTTCGCGAGTCAGTAATAAGCAAGTCAAGAGCAGAGAGGTAGTCTAAAGTAAAATAAACGGATGGACTACCTTATAATATTTAAGCACAGCCAGCTTAACCTTCTTCTTCTTATGCTTAATTTTTTTAGGAGTGGAATAATTCTTCTTCTTGCGCTTCTTAGCACCACCTCGCAAGCGCAGTACCAAGTGTAATGTAGACTCTTTTTGAATATTGTAATCTGAGAGAGTCCGGCCGTCTTCCAATTGCTTCCCAGCAAAGATCAATCTCTGCTGATCAGGTGGAATTCCTAAAATAACACGTAGCATGCTTAGAACTCGATAATTTATATTTAGATATATTCATTGGACACATGCGCAAGAAATTTAGATGAAACCCTTTGTGGATTGCTAATTTTCTCACCCTCCTTATCCTGAATTTTTGCCTTCACATTCTCAATCGTATCTGACGCCTCAACCTCAAGGGTGATGGTCTTCCCCGTAAGAGTTTTCACGAATATCTGCATGATTGATGAATCTGTAACATATTGCAATACGTTTGTAGTCATGTAGTTTATTAAATATTAACATCAGATTTGAAACAAGAACCCAAGTAACCGGCATCGTTTCAGATGTCTAAACAAAAATTGGTTTGTCTTATATAGGCAAATTATACATACTCATACTTAGATGTAAATGTGGGCGATAATAATTCATACAACAGAAATTTCTTGGGAAATTTTTATTTAAGAAATTATCATCACATACGTGAATAATTTAGAAATGCAGTCTCTTACAGGTAATAATAGTGTGTTCGAAACGGTTTATACAAGCAAAACAGCGTTAATGCATCCGTCGTTTTCAGGATTATTGGTAACTTGTGCATATTTGCCCCACACAACTTTGCCCGATTGCGTCACAAGACCCAATTCCGAGATGTTTACTTCGATAATGGTACCCTTCGTGATAACACCCAAACTTGTGTACATTGGGGAGCTGGGATTTTTCTTGACACCGATGATTGGCAAGGAGAACGTTGCTTTCAACTCAGGATGAGTTACGTGGGCGGTTTTAAACCTCAACGCCATTGGTCTGATGAATCTCTCGAATTTGGGAGGTTTCCTCGTAAAGTTTTCCCCGACGAAAGTCACTTTGGTCACCATTCTTTTCCAAGACTTTCGCTTTGATTTGCCACTTCTCAGAACTTTAAAAACTTCCGATTCTGATTGCGCTCTGACTTTAGGTATCGGAACGTCCCACTTGCCAACCTTTTCCTTCCGTTTCTGCTTGATCATATTGGACAGTACTTTTGCGCGTTGGGTCACATCACGATCCAACAGATAGACAGGCAAAGCTCCTTCTGGCAGTTTATCAGACTTCTCCTTGATCTTCCTTTCTTCATGGGCTTTGATCTTTTTCTTCATCTGGATCTTCTCGTTGCGTCGCTCCTTATTGAACATCTTGGCCTTGAGACCGCGCAAACTACGGGCTTGCTCCGCTCGTTTGTGAGGCGCGCGAGCCTCCCTTTTTCTCTTTCTTTCCTCATAATCCAAGCGACGACCGTAGAGTTTACGGTGCCTCTCGATATACTCGTTCTGCGGCATTTCGTTATGCGGATGATTCTTCCTCTCGCATAGGATTACTACCCTTGGAAAGAGAATTGTTACTTGAATAACTCGGAAAATCTGAACGATCCCGTACAAATTCGTAGGGGAACGCAACGTCAGATTAATTCTCATAGGGTATACGATGAAGATTTTAAATGTATGCTGTACCTACCTACGTGCTTCGTTCGATTATTATTTGCGTTATAATGTATAAGTTATCAAAGGTGCGAGAAGATTTGTCATGTCGCTTTTACTGTAATGACCACGTTTATAATATTGACGGTACCTGCGGACCGCAAAAAGTGACCAAAGAAAATGGAAGCCACTGAAGCAGCACTATCGGTTATTTCGCTGACACCGCGAAGCAAAGCTAACCTCGCGGATATTCGCGCAATTATGTCGTCTTCGCCGTTGCAATATATCGCGATCAAGCGTAATCGTTGCGATACGTTCAATTATCAATCGCAACGCGCGTATTGCAGCAAGCGTATGTTCGCTTCGACAGTACTCGCATCTTGTCGGCCACGTGCCGAGCAGATCTTTTTTCCATATTTAGAATGTAAAGAAAATAAAATATGTCACGCGTCCAAAAAATATATTACTTGTCGCAACGATCCGCCGAAATCAATGAAATCGAGCAAGTTCTAGCTTCTATTTTCTACAAATTACAAGAAACTACGTCTCAACTCACCTCTATTCACGCCTCACGAACACGAAAAGGAACCACCAACCTACCGAACAGTGATGAATACGTGAGACGAAAAACAGGCATATTCTTAAGGCTTTCCACACAGAACTTGAAAACGCTTGCAGCGCGGCGAAACGCGATACGGTAACCAATCAACGTGCCGTTTCTCTGTAAGGGCTCTTGCAACCAGCGCGATGAGCGTGCAGCTCTTCCAGAACGCTCATTGGAGATTGCGTGTCGCATCGCGCTGGTCTGCCGAAGTCTATTGGCTGTCGCGTCACATCACGATGCACAGCAAGTGTTTAGTGTGCACAAGCCATTATTCGCGCACGTACAGTTGTAAGTCCCATATTACGTTCCGCTACATTGAATATCTTTCAGTTGCACGATTGTGACATAGAACCATAAAGATATAAGAATAGAGGGAACAAGCCTGTAAGTGGAAGTCATAGAGGCAAAGAGAGAGATGGATGCCGAGTGTCCTATCTGTCTCTTTCTAGTCACGCGCTGGGATTGGCTGCCGCGCCAACGACGATATAGCTATACATTTTTCTCCATCCAATTCAAAGAAACTGTCATTGCTAAAATGATCACTGCAAATATATGCTGTTTTCACTTCAAAATACAAAGGTAGTTGAAGTATATTCAACCATTTACGCCTTATATCTACATCCTTCGATAGCCTACAACATTTACATATTTTTTTTAATGTAGGAAAAAATAACATATAATTATTTGAGGTTACGTATTTGTACTTTCTTACGAGTGAAAACTGCGGTTACATCCAGGATAAGACTCCGCCTTTCAAACAATGCCTCATTTCTAAATAAATCGCGTCCAATTATTATTTTGTTAACGTTCGAATATTTAACGAATTTAATTCTACACACATGTGCACGCATATTTACAAAACGAAATTTTAGTCTGCTTTCTCCCCTCCTGACGTCGCGTGGTCGTCTTGGCGGCTCATTGTAACAACCAATCACAGCGCTCGACTAGAAAGAGACAGATAGGACACTCGGCATCCATCTCTCTCTTGACCTCTATCACTTCCACTTACAGGTAGCATATATCCCTTGTTCCCTCTATTCTTATATCTCTATGCATAGAACCATTTTATTACTCTGCTAGTTACATACTCTGCTGGCATACATAGCCGATAGACTTGCAAGAAATATAAAAATTGTTAAATTAAACATAGAATAGTCACTTGAAATATAAGCGTATCAATAGAATTAACACACGTTTTCTACTGCTGTATTGGCTGCATTATATAATCAATCACTTTGATAATGCTATTGAAAAAAAAAAACAAGAAAATACGAGTGCATTTGGTTGATTCGCATGACTCGAATAGAATCTTTAACTTCACATACATCAGTATCTTTACTATGTTAACAGCCGACAATATCTGATATATTATCTTTCTAAGTTTATTAAACGTCGCACACTTCTTATATGATAAAGTTTCATATACATACGAAAATATAACAATGAATAAACAAAATGTTTAGATTTTTAAATTATTTATTAAATTAAAAACACATATTACGCTTGATCACCAGTTGGCATAGATTTGATAATGTCGGAATTGCCAGGATCCGTGATCGAAAGAGTACAAACGCGGAAATATTTTCCACACGCTGTTCCTAACTCGATATTGTTTCCCGTATAGTGATGTACACCAGTCTTTGCTAACATGGCATAGTATTCGATCTCCGATTTCCTGTCAAAATTGAAAAGAATATATTTGAAAGATGAACAAAATGATGATTTTGGTGCCCTGTGCACTTACAAGCAGGGGCAGGAGACTACTCCGTAGAACTCCTCTTCAATATATAATGCACAAATCAACATGGTTGTCTCTGTGTTACTAGCTTTAATTTATACATGAAGATACTACATTCCAAGATTTTATATATATTTTTACAAATTTGTATGTACACAATTCGCAATAAAAATGAACCTGAATCTAAATAGATCTGTGATTTAAAATTCTATAAAATATTCAATTTAACTGCTTCTAACAAAAACATCCACACCAATTTGTTACAAAAAGGAGTACTACTTCTCAGTCTCACCTCAATGGTGGTGTATTATTTGCAATAATGACGAGTTTGGCTTTGCCTTGGCGAAGAGACTTCAGGGTTTGCTTGTAACCAAGGACGTATTTACCAGATTTCATAACTAATGCTAGCCTAGTGTTGATGCTCTCCTGAGCCTTTTTCTGTATAAGCAGAGAAAAAGATTCTATTGAATATGTATAATGTTAGCATACATCTATCCCCATATAAAATACCAAGAGATTATAACAAGAGCTATTGAATAAAATCTTTAAAAAAATATAAGAACATACGTAATTCAGTACGATATAGAGTGGAATAAAATTAAAAATATTCTTTTACATTAAATACCGTTATGAAAGTACATATAAACGAACACGTGGTATAAGTACGACATGGTAAAAATGCGGTTACCTGTTTTTTCTGGGCCACCATTTTTGCAATTAGCGATCCTTTATTCGGCTGTAATACAAATTATAACAGTTACTTGTTAGTTGCTCGAATAATTATGCGTACGAAATTGTACAAACGTACGGAATTTTGATCTCGCGTGACGTACCTTACGGAAAGACGAACGTTAAATGAGAGAGAAGAAATAAAATGGTGGCGTGCGTGAACTTTCCTTCCTTCCTTTTAGGGTGCGTTCAGAAATACCACTCTACGGATAGAATATTTTATTAACCAATCATAATAAAGAAATCTCTTTCTATTTTGATTAGTCAATTCCGTTGAGTTAATCGTCGATTAGACTTAAATCATTATGGTGGAACCGAACATGAGTCTCCTTGCTGGAAAGCAACCATCATAGATAATGAAAAAAGAAATCAATCGAGATTTATGGCAGATGAGTCCAATCGTAGAATGCGTTAGTACAATAATCCGGTTGGCTATTAGTTGAATTGAACTCGTCACACTCGAGATAGGACGAATCAAGTCCGACAGTTGCCTACACTGCATGGTTTATCGGACAGAGATGTCGCAGCTGCATCTCGATGGAAAATATGTAATTATATACATTGAAATGATAAGATAAGGTACGAAAAAAGTAAAATGATCTTTGATTTTGAAGACACAGGTAGGATGGACATTTATATTAATTGTATTTTATCATAACAGCAGATATTTATTTATAGTACACCGAATGAATTGTTTGCTCTTTTTATATAGTTTTATACACATACTTTGTTGCATAAAATATAAAAGTAAGAATAACAGTGTTTTTTTTTCAGTTATATATATTGTAATATATATGTGTAATATNGATCTTTATATTTCATGTTGTTGATACATATGTAAATATTGAAAATTTATTTTATTCTTTGTTGCAGAAAAATCAAGATGGAGCTTAAATGTGCAGTTCAGACGTATGATTGGGGAAAACCTGGCATTAACAGTATCGTTGCAGACTTGATGAAGACAGCTAATGCTGATTTTGTATTGGATGAGAAGAAACCATATGCAGAATTATGGATGGGTACTCACAAGAATGGTCCATCGTATCTCAAAGATACAGGAGTTTCTTTACAAAAATATATCCAGGAGAATACCAATGTATTAGGTAGTAACATAGAAACACAAGACTTTGGTACTGACTTGCCCTTCCTCTTCAAAGTTTTGTCTATAAATAAAGCTTTGTCCATTCAAATACATCCAGATAAGGTAATAATAGAATCTTCTTTTATTATTACGAATAAATGTAACACCTTATAATTAATTTTAATTTTTAGGAGAAAGCAAAAGTGTTACACAAACTGTTTCCAGACATCTACAAAGATCCAAACCACAAACCAGAACTTGCGATAGCTCTGACTCCTTTTAAAGCGCTTTGTGGATTCCGTCCACTCAACGATATAAAGAAATACCTGGAAGAGATACCAGAGTTATGTGACGCAGTAGGAGAGAACAATGCTCACCTGTTATTAAAAACCAATGATTCCTTGATCACTGATGTTTTAAGAAAGTGTTTTCTTGTCCTTATAAGTCGCGATTCTGTGATGCCTCAGATTACGCAATTGTTAGAACGATTGAAGGGAAAAGGTACTAATTTTCACACGTAAGGTATTTAGTAAACCTTACCATTTTTAAAAACATAATTTGTTAGAAAAGTGCAATGATATGCAGTTTTTTTCAGATGAAGCTTACAAGAAGTCACTAAATTTCGATTTACTGCAACGTTTGCACACTGATTTTCCCGGTGACGTGGGCTGTTTTACAGTGTATCTGTTAAATTACATTACCTTGCAGCCAGGCGAAGCGATATACATCCCACCAAATGTAGTTCATGCATATCTCTCTGGTGGTGAGTTGTTATTTTAAACTTGAAATTAAGTACGCGTAACATAATTATGAAAAAAGACTAATAATCTATTATTTATATTGACACTTATCTTTTGCAGATTGCGTAGAATGTATGGCATGTTCGGACAATGTTATGAGAGCTGGATTGACACCGAAACAGAAGGATATACCGAATTTAATGGAAAACATGTCATTATGTTCTATCCAGAAGTTACCACCGTGTCGGGAAGACGTATATACCGAAGTCTTTCGTCCGCCAGTGTCAGAATTTGCAGTCGCCAAGATCACCGTGAGTTTTCGTATGTTCGATGTTGGTTGCAATTCTACTTCTTAATATTTATCATAAATATTTCAGATACCACCTGGGCAACCATTTTACAAGTTAATACCAAGGAGCTCGGTTAGTATTTTGATAATAGTGGATGGCAAGGCGAATATATCTTCAAAGACCTACTGTCGCGGCTCTGTCCTGTTCATTCCTGCTAATGAAGAAATAAAGATTGAAGTTTTATGCTTCTGTCACCCCATGTTGATGTTCCAAGCATTCATAAACGTTTGAATGCGAAATTTTATTGATATACCTCCATAACGGTTGATAAAATGCAAAATACGACTAATATTAATCATAATGACCTATTAGGTCGATGCAAAAGTTCATCCTGTTTTTTAACTAATTTTTCGCTCAAAAATTTTTTAAATTTCTATGAGCGTGGGATCATGTAGCTGTCGGAAAGGTGGCAAGTGATCGAACAAAACATTGCATACTCGATTAATTGTATTTTAAAATGTTATATATATATATTTTTTTTTTGTTAAAAACAGGACGATCTTATGCATCAACCCAATATTTTAAATAATTTTTGGCCTACGGACAAATATGAAATTTTTCTAATTGTGATGAGTGTACATGGTTTCTTCCCAAGGCACAAATCTCTTGATGCGTGTTTATGAATCCTGTGTTGTTTAGCTTTTGTACAGCAATTTTATTGACCAATGTCATTCTATAAAATTTCTTAAATAAACAAAGTGTAACGTATAAATATATATTGTACCATATCGTATTGTGTAAATGTATAAATATATATAAAAACAGGATAATAGTCAATCATCCTCAGAATCATCACCTTTCTTTGAAGTGCTCTCCACAGGCTTTTCATCTTCCTTATAATGTCGATACTCTGGTTTTAACTCCCACATATTTCTATGAGGATTTTTTAAATTATAATTGCAAACCTCATTGAGTATTTCCTTCAAATAAACCTGGAATTTACATAATGTAATATTAAATACATAATTAAAAGAAACAGTATGAGTTCAAATATTATATATGCGATAAAGCAATATACATACAATAGGTTGCCTAGTGATTTTTACGAGATCTCTTATATTGTAATACTGATGTTTTTCAAATGCTGCAAACAACATATCCAATACAGCATCCTTGTCATCTCTCATCTTCTTTCCTTCTGCCTTCTTCTTCTCAGCATATTCGATCTATAAGATGTTATTATATGTGAAGAAGTATTTAATCACATCTCTAAGAAGCGAAGAAATAAAACTTACATTGTGTTTGTGGTCAGACACTGGCTTAAAGTTCTGTACTACTCTATCTAATTGCTGAACTTGTCTCTGGGGCACGGAAGCTCTCTTGATACTTTCCAGCTTTAGCTTCATGTAACAATTATCAGCTAAAAGAAAAGTCCAGCAATAGAAAATATCTAAAAAGAAAAATCCATACTTGTTTTCTAGCAATGCTTACCATACGGCCTGCATTCTAATTTTTGTACAATTCTACCTTCCATGAAGAGCTTTTCTGTTTCTGGAACAATTGCATCTGAACTTGTCGATGCTGTAAAATTAATAATAGATATTATCAGTATATAACACATGAGAATTGTACCAAACTTACGAGTAACATGGGAAAATACTCCTAGTATCTGTGTAGTAACTGTTGTAACATCTAGCCTATGTTGTTTTGGTATTTCCTCTTCTCCAGATTCTTTCAGAGCCAAAACAGCCTCAGATAATCTAAGAGATACTTCAGCCTTTTGTCCAGGATTTCTAAAAAAAAAAAAAAATACAATAAATCATCTCAGATAGTCAAACTTATATAAGTAGATTATGAACAGAATATACTATAAATTTTTCATGGCAGAGAGACAACAAATTTGATATGGAATCTGTTCTATCTGATAGTATTATTAATCTGTCTCTAGAAATTTGACAAAATCTGCTTATATACTATGTCAGCAGAGTAGAAACCAAGCAGGCTTTACTGCATACAGGTTTTTGGTAGTAGAATCTGATTGGTTTCTGCTGCTAATCTGCTATCAAATTATGTCAGCAGGTTCTGTCAACAGAATATGAGTTTAATAAGAACACTGTCTATAGATCTGTGAACAGATTTTGATCGGATTGAATAGATTGCTTACTGGGATGGTAAAAATAGTGAAATAGAACAACTATTGCCATCCTTATTTATTTTATTACTTACTTAGTTATTTTTAATTTGCCAACTTCTATATTACCAGGTGCTTTTTCCCATTTATTAGCTATATATTTAGGCACTTTGACAAGCCATACACCACGACCAGCGTTACTTAAATCCAATTCTTTTTCCGTATGTGTAATGTTAGTGGACATTCTAATTATTCTCTTCAATTACGTGATGAAAAATATTTTTTTTATCGATACGAATAACTACCTTGTGATAATAAACCTATATATTACTGTAACTAATTTATCTCATTAATGTACTAATTTATATAATTCATATAAAGCACTGAAAATTATTCTTTTACGTCCGTTTCGATACGAATACTTGAAATTCAACCTTGTCCGCGCACTTTTGAGCAATTATTCTGCTTTATGCGATTTCTAAGAAATCCGAGGTTCCAACGCTCGATAAATTTTCAGCGCAAACAAGGCATAAAGACAAGAATAAGCCTGTTCTTTTTAGTCAAACCATACTGCTACCACTCAACCATATTGCTTCGGAACTTCGTTTCTTTTTCTTGGGTAGGATCCGATTGCTACGTCTCTATTGACTACGGGTTATACCGATTGGCCGATACTAGAAAAACACCAAAATACGGTTGGCTGTGGCTGGTGGTCAATTGCAACGTGATCAATTAGGACACTTCTCCTTTTTTGCATTGTTACGTTAATATAGATTGTATTTCGATATTTATTGCCGATAAGTACTGAAAATCTGTAGTTCATGTTGCGTATATTATAGATTTTCAATATTGCCGGTGAATATCAAAACGCAGTCATATATTTAGGTTTGTTCATTTTCGCTGAACGGGAAGTGCACTAGAATAGAACTAGGTTAGATAAACTTAAAGCGTTTACAGCATTAAATGGACCAACTTAGCTTAACCTATAGAGTGCTTTCAAAAGAATATAAAGTCTTTTCATTGGCTACCATCTTACTAGAAATAGTTCCGTAATATTTAAGGTGCGTTCAAGGAGATGCTATTGTAACATGTAAAGAGTAATAATGATACGGTAACGCTAAATCTCCTCGAACGCACCCTTAGCCGGCGGCAAGGTTTTAACACGTTACTTTTCAATGTGTTTCGAAATAAACAAAAATCACCTTACGATAAAATCATTTTACACATTTTGAGATTCGGTGATAATAAAGTTACAAAGGTTAAAGTATCTATGATAGAGGGGAAATACATAAGATATTATTATGAAATATATAGGAAAGAATATTCTGTAATATCATATAACCAAGGTATACAAGCGCGATCTATATTTAAGATGATCATTACCAGCTAAGGTATATCCGTAATTTCATAAATCATCGCCTTGTTATAACCACACAATGCAACTTTGTCTCCAGTGGGATGCCAATGAGCGTCTATGACCGACGTGTACTTGGACATTGGCAAAATTCTCGCGCCTTTTCGGCTCCATTCGTACACACGTGCTGTACGCTCGGAGAACACTAGTAATTGTGGGCGGATGGGACTCCACTTGATGGCTACAAATAATAAAACCACGATTAATTAATATTGCCTCTAAGTGGGAGCAAATTGATACTTTAACGACCTACCTGTAACGGGATTTTCAAGTTGCAAATAATCAAGATAGTCCGTAAAAATGTCCCATATCCACAACGTGGTAGGATACAACTCGTGCTTCACAGCCAAATATTGTCCGCAGGTGCTGAATTCAAGCAGATTAACCTTCGCCACTGAGAAATTATCGCTGCTGTCTTTTTTCCCAATTTCTATGTATATAGGACGTTCGTGTATTTCACGGACTAAAATCACAAAAAGCATTATTAGATAAGCTTCAATTATAAATAAAGCATTCAGAGGCTGTATGTCCTTTCTTCAATTCACGTTTAAATTTATAATCGGATTTCATAAAAAAATCGCTCAATGTTCTTTTACTTACGAACACGCTCGTTGCAAGAGACGATACATTTGTTCGGGTTATTTCCCGAATCGGTGCACTCTTTGTATACTTTTGTCAAGTAATTACAATCTCTGATCACTGGATCTAAATACAATTGCGATAATGGCGTCCATGTAACGTAATTAAGAAGCACGATCTGTACGCACAGATTACAACAACAGAAGTGAGCAGTTGCAAAAGTAAATACACCCAGAGAACTCGATAATAAATTACAACGCAAATTACCACTTCGTTAAATCCAATTACAGCTAACAATTGTCCGCTGGGGATCCATTCGATACTTTCGATTCCCTTTAATTTCCGTTCAGAGCTGTGCGCGGTCGACTGTGCAATTTCCAACGGAGAAAACGCAACCACATGTCTCTCCCATACGGTGGAATAAACGATCAGTTTCGGCTCAGCGGTAGAGGAACACCAAATGCACAATAATTCGTCGTTCGGTGACCAGCGGATCCCGTCGATGCTGCGCAAACGGTCGCAGATCAGTTTCTGCAAACAATTCATTCGAAATCATTAATTTCGCGCCAGCTCGTGGTGAGGAGATATATATTCTCTAGGAAATTTTACAAATATTGCAAATTCAGGGAAGCGAAAAAAAGCGCTGAGATCCTCGAGAGTCAATCATGAATTTCCGTGACGTGAACAATTTCCAACTTGGAAGCGCTTTTTCACGGAGCTTGCGCTAGAGAACAGGATTCACAATTGTTGGTACGCCTGTTAATTTCAGAAATGGCCGCAGCGTGCGAATCCTCATCGTCAGGTACGTTTCGCGATGACGATTCATATGTCACGCGAGGTCTCGACATGACGACACCGTATATTTCCTGCTCGTGCAACCGCGTGCCTCACTGCGCGGACTGGGCCAGCAACAACGGTCTCGTTTGCTTCGGTGCGTGCAACGCAGTCGCGATATACGATCCGCGCATCGGCCGCGTCGTGAACACACTGCACCGGCATCGCGACCGCGTCAGCACGGTGCATTGGATAAGACCGAGAGACGGCACGCCGGAGACCGAGTTGCTGTCCTGTTCCGTGGACGGCACCGTGATCATCTGGAGCAAGGATTTCCGTTCCTTCCGGGACTCCTCGACATTGGATGTAGGCTGTGCCGTGACGTTCGCGGATTCCCTTAGGTTGTTGACCGACGATACAAATACATTGCTTTATCCGAGGCTGTTGATATGCGTCGGTACCGGCAACGAGTTGAAGGTATGCTCGAGGGAAGATAACACGAATGTCGAGGTCGTCCAGACTATGGTCTTCGGTAGGAAGTTTTCGTTACACTGCCGTTTAACATGTCTGCCGGATACCAAGCATCTACTCATGGCTGTGGCGTTAGAGGATTCCTCCGTCGTGCTGTGTACCGCAAACGAAGTGGAGTTGAATTTCGTGACAGTGCAGAGTTTGTCGGGACACCAAGACTGGGTAAAATGTATGGACTTTTGTCACGACGACGATGATGGAAGTATCTTCCTTGCGACAGGTTCGGAAGATATTACGATACGATTGTGGAAAATTAGCAAAGCCATCGCCACATCGTCGAACGACGAGCTCGTGCAGAAGAGGGAAATTTTTACGATTGACGATATAGAATACAGCGTTACTTTGGAGACCCTCCTTTACGGTCACGAAAGCTGGGTTTACGGAGTACACTGGCGGCCCATAAAGCGAGAGAAGAGTGACGATTGTCGATCGATGAGACGACTGCTGTCTTCTTCTTTCGACAAATCCATGATTATATGGAAGCTGGATGACACCACTGGTATTTGGACGGAAGAAGTACGTGTCGGGGAAGTCGGTGGCAATTCCCTGGGTTTCTACGGTTGCAAGTTCGGCCCAGATGGACTGCGCATGTTAGGATACGATTATCAGGGCTCTTTTCACATCTGGAAGTATTCTCAGGAGATCGCGAAATGGCTCCCACAATCTGCACCCAGTGGTCATTTTTCTGAAGTAGTAGACTTATGCTGGGAACCTAAAGGAAGGTCCGTTCCAGATTTATATAGTATTTCATGTATGCAATTTTTACATGTGTAGCTCTGTGAAAAGAGGGTAGATTAATGTCGTATAATGTTTCACAGGTTTCTCCTGACAGCTAGCACGGACAAAACCACGAGAATTCACGCGCCATGGAAGGACGACCTCGAGGAACACTGGCACGAGATCGCGCGTCCTCAGGTTCACGGACACGATATGTCGTGTCTGGTTATGTTGGCGCCGTATATATATGCTTCCGGAGCGGAGGAGAAGGTGGTGCGCGTTTTCACAGCCACGTCGGCGTTCAGAGATCGCTTAAGGTTGCTGGCAGACGTGGAAGATTTCAAGTTTATAGCGGCTCGTGGAGCTGCCGTATCCTCCCTTGGATTGACGAACAAGGCGACGTTCGATGGGGAGGTCATCGAGTGCGAGAATGCAGAGAATTCAACGGCAAATTACTGCGAGTACGAAACACTCACGGAAGAGAAACTGACGCAAAATACACTTTGGCCGGAATTGCAGAAGCTTTACGGACACGGCTATGAGATATTTTGCATGGCAGCGCGTCACGACGGATGCTTACTGGCTACAGCGTGCAAATCGACCAATTTGGAACATGCGGCGATCATATTGTGGAGCACCACCACATGGTCGCAGGTGCAGAGATTGGTGTCGCATCAGCTGACCGTAACGCAAATGGAATTCTCACCGAACGACAAGTATCTATTATCTGTCTCCAGAGATAGGAAATGGTCGCTCTTCAAGAACCATGATGGAGGTTACGCGTTACTTGCGACCAGCTCGAAAAACGACAGTCCGCATTCGCGAATAATCTGGTGTTGCGCCTGGACGCGAGATTCGAATTACTTTGCAACCGGATCCAGAGACGGGAAAGTCGGCATTTGGTCAGTGAGGACGGAAGAGGACAATATTAACGTCGTTCGAGAGACGACCCTAGATACACAGAACCGATCGGTTACAGCCGTGTGTTTTGCTCCAAGCTTCGTCGCGCAAGGGTCTTACGTTCTGGCGGTCGGATACGAAATTGGACACATAGACATTTATACATTAACTGTGCATCCCAAGGTTGTCAAATTGGCAAAATTGGTCATCTATGATACTTCTGAAGCTCACCATTTGACCGTGAAGAGACTTAAGTTCCAACCTAGCAACGAACAGTCATCCAACATATTACGATTGGCGAGTTGCAGTTCCGATCATATCGTTAAGATACGAGATATAGATATAGATCGTGGTTATTAAAGGCATAGTTTTCACACTGCATCGAAATTGCAATAAATGTCTACTTGGTTCTATTGTGTTACTTGTCACAATCTTATGGAAAGTCCAATAGAAGGTTACTTATTTTCATACTCACCCGACTTATCTTCCAACTATCCGTTTTATAAATCTCTACTGTATTTTTGTTTTCTTCTGTTACTATTACAGCTAACCTTATACCACTGGGACTAAAACATAATTTGTCAAAAGCTGATGTTTTTAAATTTTGTATATACCATACAGTCTGGTCTTGCAAGTTCCAAATAGATATCTGAATCTGTAAAATATTGAGTCCTTTTTTATGTGGAGAAAATATAGTTTGTTCTATTATTATTTATATTACTAAAATAGTGTGTCTAAAAAACAATATGTTGACTGTTAAGATGGCATCTGATGTGTACATTTATTGTATTTACATTAAAATCAGCTGTGGTAAGAATACACTTGCTATCCGGGGACCAAGCAACACTTTGCAAACCTGCGCTGCCTTCTATGAGTTTACATTTCCACTGTGGATGATGCACTGAATATACCTGAATAATGGCTTTCCTTATATTTGCGCATAAAATGTACTCACTGTTTGGAGACCATTCCATACACTGTAATGTAAGAAAAACAAAAGCCTAAATATGTTATCAATAGTGTGTAATCTTTTGATTGAATAGTTTCAATCTGTCGATACAAACTAACCTGTATCACGTCCGCGAATATAAACGAATGACGGGTGTCGAAGGTCTTGGCATCTTTTATAAGCAGATTCGACTGGAACGCAACCGCCAGATGTGCTCCGTTATTAGAAAAATAGCACAAACGGTTATTTGTGCGAAACACCTTGTCTTCGTCAATATTGGCAGCCATTAGGAAAAATTTAAAAGCTTCTGTTACCTTGACAACCGCAATGTTACCAAATGAAGGTAATTTAATATATAGAAGGTAATTAACCACTAGCTGGTGAAATCCACTGTTCCGTCTATTCGGCCAAATTCAAATTCCCAATTTCGAATATGTAAACAGTTACGAGCTTTGGTTTCGAAGAAACGATCGCATTACTATTCCACTCAGTGAGTATCGAAGTGGCGAATTTATCTCACAGACGGAAAAAAGCAGCAAATATAATATACGCGGCAGTTGCGTTCGGAAACACATCGAGACGGAAGTTTTCGCAGGCTTCTGCGAGTGAGTGTACGGTGGCCAGGTGTGAATCGCCTATACATATATATGTATATATATACGTGTACATAAAACGCAACGGCGCCGTTGAAATCGCGCTTTATTATGAGTTTCGCGGCGGAATAACGTGAACGTGAAACTAGACGAATAGCCGCTGGCGTCGCCGAGTTTCGCGGTCTCTGGCGTGGTAGAATTTCTCTCGGTGAGCGCGTATTACCCGCGTGCCACTTGGCGTGCAGCGCGCGATACCGATACTGTCCGCGCGCTCCCTTTCTCGCGGTCCCTCGTTTTCGCGAAGATTCGCCGTTTCTCGCGTCGTCGGAGAAACCGCGCCACGGCGGCCGTGCCGTCGCTCTCATCATCCTCCTCGTCGAAATGCCGCTGCTGCGAAAACAACCGTTCCAGCGTCTCCACGTCTCCTCCGATTTCAGGGATGACGACGAAGTATTCTACTGCGAGGTTACAAACGAGATATTCAAGGACTACAAGTAAGCAGGCCCATGACAGTCGTTGTCGCGTCGCCACGAGATCCGCTATACCGCCGAACCGATCGTTCGCCCGACAATCTTCTCGATTTATCGTTCTAATTTGTCAACGGTATCGCGCTACTGTACGCCGATAGTAGCTACATCAGAACGAATTGCTCTGTTGAATTATGCCAAATTTTTCGGGCTGGTTTGTCCCATTATATCGCTTAAAAAACGTGCCAAGATTGGCGGCCAGGACAATAGGAATCGCGAGCACTGATGCTTCAAGTTATCCTTCTTATGCTTATTTAAACAATTTAAATATTTGTCATTGTTTATTAAATGTCACAGAGCAGGCTTATTATAATTTCAATGTGCTTTGAAATTTTATTGCACACATGTTATCATATATATATATATATATATATATATTTACACAAATATATTACAATTAATCTGATATATTTTCTATTACAGTGAATTTTGTGCACGTATTATTTTATGCAATTCACTTATATGGTCATGCAGTATCACAGGAAGGACTAGTATGACATTTCAGGAAGCTTTAGAATGCGAAGAAAATGCAAAAAAAAGTTTGAAAGAATTTCCAATGGAGGTACAGTTTTATACATATGTTAGATATCGATAGACATTTCTCTTGTTTTAAAAACATATATTAAATATATGTTTATGTAATTTTAATAGTTGTGGATAAATGTCTCACATGTATCTTTTTATTGTATGTATTTCAGTTGCGCATTCCTATATTGTATCTTGCTAGTAAAACAAATAGAATGTCTTTCAATGAAATGATTGAGGATGTTTATCAGTTTGCGAGGGACCGCTATTTTGTAGGAGAAATGGTAGAAGCAAGCTTTACCGAAGAATCTTGGTGTAATTGCCATGTTCTTCAAGTCATTGTACCTTCTGAACAGCAAGTTAGCGCATATCTAAATGAAAACGGCAGGTAAATAATTTAGGTAAAATAAGTTAGGATGTTTCACATATTATTTGTACGATGCTGCTCTACCCTGTTGTGCCTATTTCAGAAGTCTGCAAGAAAATTACTATCATCCACCTGCAAAATTATTTCGTTATGAGGTAGAACAGTTAGATTCCGGAGACTCTGATGTTAGCCAGCTCATGATAGTAGAAGCATCTCAAGTTAGAAGACGAAAGCAGCATTATAGCAGAGAGCGCAATAAAATATTTCTTCGTCAACTCTGTGAACAAAATACTAATGGTATCTGGGTGGTCAAGGTGAATACCGAGTTAAATCATTATTAATTATATCTGTCAGGAATTGTATGTCTATACAAATGTTATATAATGTATATAATTTTCTCTTTCTTAAATGCAGGACAGTGTTTTGAAAAAGTACGGAATCAACAAAGTTCGTTTCGATACTATATTTGCTGGAACACTCCCAGATTTCACAGTACGTGTAAAAAGATCAGTTAAGCAAAAACAAGAATCAATAAATAAGTTTCTCACCACTGATGTGTCGAAACAAAAAACATTGGAAAAAACGGATCTTCAGAGAAAAGCTAGCGATACCGGAAAGGTTAACGAAGGCGGTGTGGTAGTCAAGAAATTCCGGAAACCAAGGTAAAAGCAGTGGAACGTTGTCCAAGAACTTTTTCATTCGTGTGATAACTATTTTAATATCTGTATCTTTATGCGCAGAATGAATGGCAAATTTAAGGAAGAACTCAAGGCAAAAGCTCTGGAAGAGAAAGCGAAACGTAAAGAAGAGAGGGCGTTGAGAAGCGAGCACCTAAAAGAGAAAAAGCAAAAATTGGCGGCTTTAGCGGCGTATATGAAACAATGGAACAAGCCGAGAGAAGATCTCGAGTGCGAAGATCTTTGCCCCATTCCTGAACCTACTGTCATTAAATGCAACATACCGAATGAAAAGTTTGGGGACTTTGCCATGATATTAGAATTTCTTCAATTCTTCAGCGAAGAATTGGAGGTGTCTGCATATTTTGCTGGAGGCTTCAATTTAGAATTGTTAGAAAAGGCGCTGTTGACTAAAGAAGCATCCGGCCCTTGGAGCGATCTATTACAACTGTTGTTGATAAATATATTTAAATATCAGAAAGAGGAAGATAGTGAGATTGATGCTCAAGCAGCATCTATTTTATTGGATAACATTAGTCCTTACGAAGGCGCATCATCAATGGCAAAGGCCGTAAAACTCGCTACAATGGCTTCTAGATGGTGTCCGACTTATCAAGGATGCAAACTATCGGAACTGACAGTGGATCACGTAACGCTGAGTGAGATATTGAGACAACATTTATTGAGCTCCGGCGGACGCATAAGCGAAGCTGCTTCAAAATGGCGATATTCACAGAAAGGTATATACACATGTGTAATAAAGGCACATATATGCAACAGTATATATCATTTAACATGATGAAAAGAATATTTATTAACAAGCAACGACGTTTTTAACGGTTAATTTGTCTACAGGTGGTTACACAAACTTTGATGAGCCAGCGCTTCTTTTAAGAATAAACGAAGAACACATTTTACGTCTTTTGGGTCACCGAAATGTCTGCGAGCTCGATTTAGATGACAAGATAAAAATTGCGACATGTTTAATTAATCAGTTGCTTACATTTGCACCGATACGCGACGCGATTGAGGAACGACACGATAAGCTGCATCAGGCGAAACGCGAATTGAAATTGTTCTTGCTCGCCGAGCAGAAGAAGGAGAAGGAGGAGAAGGAGAAAATGAGAGAGCGTGAGAAGGAGGGTAAACTCGAGGAGGAAGATCCGAAGCCGAAGAAGGTGACGCGTGGTAATTACGAGGAAGAGAAGAAAAAGGAAGAATATGAGAACAAGCTGAAAGAGCTGCAGCAAGCGTCAAGGGATGATAAGATGATGCTTTATTTGGGCGCAGACAGATGTCATCGAAGATATTGGAGATATATATCTATACCGGGTGCGTGCGCGCCTTCCTACATTTTTACTACCACGAGAAAAAATGTCAGCCTATCTGCTTGTTATTTGTTTGTAATCGTTTTTTTCATTTCAGGAGTATTTGTCGAGAATGACGAATGGTGGCCTGGCAGTTGCCTACCTGAAGGCACGCCGCATCATCCAGAGCTGCAAGACAAAGAGGCCACGTATGCATATCTGAAAAATAAATTTGAGGACGAGTTCAGCGACAAGGAGAATAGTTTCAAAAAATCCAAAAAGTCACCGAAGAAGCTTGCGCCCACGGAGAAGAACGGCGTGAAGTCGCTGCGGAAGGAAGCAAATCGAAAGGAGTTCAAACAGGATCTCACTAACATCAAGAGAAACTTGATATTATGTACAGGAGACAAAGACTGTCCCGTTCATTGCAAGAGATCACAGTTGAAATGGAGCTTTTACGGGAACCAGGAGGATATTCAAGCGCTGATAAATAGTTTAAGTACAAGGGGCATCAGAGAGAGTGATCTTAGAAACAACCTCATACAAGAAATGGACAGTTTGCTCGCTATTATCAACGAATGTCCCAAACACAGATTAAATCCTGATGTAGTAAGTATAACGTTTATAAAGCGCGATTAACGGTCCGGCGAAAGAGCAGAGTACAAGTAGATATCCGTGTACAGTTTCCAGATCCTGACAAAGGGCAGATCAACAAGGCGACGAAGAAGAACAAGTACGAGAACGCAAATCTGAATTTCCCTTCCGAGGTGGCGGTCGACGAAGTAATGGAATTGACCCTGAGAGATTATATTTTAGACTTTGAAGACAAGATCAAAGCGGGTTGCTTGGGCTGCCTGAAGATCATCGATCGCGAGGTTTGGAGGAACGCGATCAACCAGCGGGGTTACGATAAGCAATGCGATAAATTAATAGGCGCCAATGGCGAGATAGATATAGACGCACCTGCCAACATCTTGATAGACAAGATAAAGAACGAGTCTAAGTACAGCAGACCCGGCACACCGGATTCTGAGGTTGGCAGTATCAGCATAAAGACTTACAGGGACCCGGGGATGTACTTAGGTTTATTCAACGAAAATGAAACGACGCCGGATCAGAAGCAACAAGCGACCATCAAACAGCTAGCTTGCGCTATTCTGCAGCTGTCCCACGGTGTGGAGCAAAGGTACTTACTCAGACCACTAGGCCCCGATCAAAAGGACAAAAAGTGGTCGGGCGAAGAGGCACGGGAAAGATGGGAACAGTCGCTTTTGGCGTCGTCGAGTTGGTCTCAATTATTCGTTCATTTAAGTACCTTGGAAAATAGCGTCGCATGGAACAGAAGCGTGCTGAACGCGCAATGTCGTATATGCCGACGACGTAGAGACGCGGAGAATATGCTGCTCTGCGACGAATGCAACAAGGGACATCATCTGTACTGTCTGAAGCCAAAACTCAATGTAATCAACATTGTCTTTCTTTTTACGACGATTTCGCGATAGATGGGGCTTACATTTTCTCTTATCGTTTTGCTCTTTGCGCAGGCTGTGCCAGACGGAGATTGGTTCTGTACAACGTGTAGACCACCGACGATAAAACCCAAGGAGAAAGCTCAGAAACGAAAGAGATTCGAGGATGAAATGGAGGATGAAGCGATACTGACCAAAGAAACGCGACACAATCGCGCGAAACGCGTAGTAACGTACAGCGACGAGGAGGCTAGGTTCGATCAAGAAGACGACGATGATCAAGAGAGCGATCAAGATATGTGTGTATCTTATATTCCGCTTTTTCGCTCGCAACATTTCTTTTTTATGCTTCTAGAACTTTGGTTTCTCTAGCGTTATAATATAGTGTGAGAGACTTGAGAGATTATTCATTGAATTTTTGTTGTCAATTTAGAAGCGTACGGTCGGAAAACCTATGCACATCTTGCAAAAGCAGCGGGAAACTGATCGCATGCGACACATGTCCTGATCGTTACCACTTGGAGTGCGCAGAACCACCGTTGTCGAGAGCTCCCAGGGGAAGATGGTCCTGTGTCAGGTGCAAGGATAAAAGGAGGAATGCTACAAGAGGTAACTCGATATCGTGAGCGGCTTATTACGCAAATCGAACGAGATTTTTACGTTTATCAAATGAAAGTAGCGAACAATAGGCAAAAGCTATCTACGAGGACGTTTCACGAGAAAGTTTCTTAGTGTGAATTATGTTGATAGTGAGGGGGCGCGAGAGGGAAAGAGACAAGGAGAGGCTGTGCGCAGCAGCAGCACGCTCTCGCATCCATGGCTTTGCCAAGAGCCTCCTCACTACAGAATCGACAGACTGGGACGGTCTGTATCGTATCCCTTTTCTTACAGTACACGTAGCATTCCCTTTTTTTTTTTCTTTCTTTGCCGATAGTGTTAGAACCGCACTTTAAAACGATATTGTGCGTCACATTATGCGTGTGTGTATACAAACATGTGCTTAAATTATAGCTCGACTTTGGAAAGTCTCACTTGCTAGCCTGTGTACATCATGCAAATTCAACACTCCGCTGTTCATTAACATGCGTAAATCATCTCGTCAAAATAACATCGAAAGACACGCGGCGTGAATTGAAATGCGCAACTCTTTGTGTGTATTATATGTGTAGATAGCAGCACGTCGGAAGATACCGAACCGAGACAAACGCGACGCGCGACCAAAAGGGCTGCCGAAATCGAACATGAGGAAGACAAGAGCTCGGTCAAAGGATGTATGGCGAGATTGCAGGAATTGCTCTCCGACATCAGGCACCACCGAGACTCGTGGCCGTTTCTCTCACCTGTTACGAAGGACGAAGTCCCGGATTATCACGACATCATTTCCAACCCGATGGATTTCGGGACAATCAAATTTAAGCTCAGCAACGGCGATTACGAGAGGCTAGACGAGTTTTTTAGCGATTGCCAATTGGTCTTTGAAAATTGCAGATTGTACAATAAGGAGCACAGCTCGGTTTACAGGTACGTGTTGATGTCGTCGATTACCCATGTTATGTAAGTTCGGATGCCAGAGATTGTACTTCACCTGGGTCATTAATATGCATCTAAATTATATAATCACTAACCCAAGATAGCGAATTAGCGTCTAAGTTATATCATTTTTTTCATAACAGCTGGCTTAGCTGGATATCTGTGTGAGAAAATTCAATTAGCATTGTGTGAAATCCAATCATAGGTAGAATGTGGAGATACGCGATAACCTCCCACGTAGTTCTTAGGCTGTGATGATTGAATGAGGTAATATTGTTACTTGAAGTCAGTCGGGTTCATAGGACGATTTAGGCGCGGTAAATCCGATTAATGATTATTTTGTACAATTAGCTCGGCAGAAGGAATCGACTTTTCTTCGCATCTGCGAATAATATACTAGCACATTAACTTTTAGCATGCGTAACTTTGCTGTTGAGAGATACATAAGTAATCTTTGGCCTCCGAACCAGCTTGGGAATAACACGTAAGGAGTAAAGCTATGTCTTTTTAAAAATAGCTACGTATACAGGGCAGGCACGCGACTACTCAAATACTTGGAGAAACGCTGCAAAGAATTAGGATTGGATTTCGATGAAGCACTGTTTCAAGAACCCAAGACCAAGAGGGCCAGATTAAACGGCGATGGTCTTGAAGAGAATGGAATGACCGACAGCGAGGACGATGAAGGAGAGATGCAGAAAAGAAGATAGAAACACGAGATATATACATAATATATATTTCAGTATATGCATACTCATGAGATTTCTAAAAATCTGCTATTCGTAAATTTTCTATATTTTCAACTCTCGTACGGACCTATGTATCGATACCAAGCGGTAAATAGATTCCGGTATATAGCTCAAGACTTTTATAAACTATGTACCGATTCTTTTTGCAGTGAGTAACAAGATATCACTCCCAACAATTTGCGAAATAGTACAACTGTGAAAATTTACTTTGCAAAATCGATCACATATACACACACACACCCACACACATACATGAAGAAGATTTCTTTTACACTCTCTAGAGTCTTTATTTTCTCTCGAGGCTTGTAATAAAGATGTACGCAGTATTATTTGCAAGAATTCATATACATAAGTCGCACTATACATATACTTTAAGTATATCGCACATATGCATTACATCGCATCCCGAAACAAGCATATACGAGCGGCGAATTAGTATTTCATTTGCTTCGAGTTGTACAAGAGTAGTACTGTTTTCTTTATAAGTATATTGTAAAGAAGAAGATATTCGTTATTACGAAATTAATGTTCTCGCATTTCCTTCTCGACAATTATTTATTATTTTATTATTCTTCGCGCATTACGCGCACATACTCTTATCTGTGGCTATTATCAATGATCGTTCACTCGTGTATGTGGTACATTGAATTTTAGAAATTTTGTTCTTCCCCCCACCTCCCTCAAGAGACAAAATATATGCAAGATTTAACCGTAGAACACGAGAATTATATTGCGATAGTTGAGGGATACGACAAAATTCAAAGTTGCTTCGTTCTGAATGAACACTGTGCTTTTGAAAAATACATTAATATTATTCATAAATTCATGTTTGTAGATCCAGACAATAAAGTTGGATACTTTTGTACATCGTGTTCTATAACTATGCCAACTGTGAAAATTGTTATGATAATATTATTTATATCTTAGAACAAGAAATTTCTCCGTCTCTGATAGTATTTCATTCTATTGTACCTGTATATCTATTTTCAATATTTTATGTTTTCATGATAAATCCACGAGGAAGCTATGATAAAAATTGTCATCTTTCGTTTATTGTAAAACAATCATAAAGAACGTATTTCTTAACTGTGTATGTTTTATATAAACATTATAGCGATAGAGAATTTTCTCAGACAACTTGTGCAAAACAATTTACATTTGGTCTCTTTTTAAATAATCTAGTATATAATATTCTGTTTAGCATCAAGTTTATTTCTTCTAATTATGCCATACAGATTACATTAATTTTCTCTTATACGTATTATCAATATTAACGCATATTTATCTAACATCATTGCATTTATACTTTAATGATGATCACCAGTGCCTTCGAACATTTCCTTATGTATTTTGTCCCACTTCTCGACATTTGCAGGAGAATACGCTGAAACGAAAAATAATAAATTATAAACATGTATAATGAAAATTTAAATAATAGAAAATTTATGACAAATTTTTTCACTCACATATCTTTTGTATTTTATAAAATATGGGCGCTGATAATACCGTGGAATAAATCAAATATTTGAACAACCAGGAATGTTTCCAATAATATTTATATGGGAACTGAGCAACTTTTGCAACTATAGTGTATGGATATTTCATAGGTCGATACTGCACGCCGTCAGACATGTTGGCTGTCTGCAACAAACATAGCTTGTGATAAATAACATTGTAGTTTACTTGTGTTAATGCGATATCAGTAATTGGTAATAATATTTGTTGTACAGGTCGGTATATTCTAACCACTTGGAAGCATTTGTAGCGTCACATCGGCTGTATTCCTTTGCAATTGGAATATCATGTAACAGTTTCGTGGAGATGCAACATTAAAGATCCACGAAATAAATATTTCAACGCAGATATACACGACCTTTTATCGTGCTACAGATAACTCAGCAATATCGCAAATTGTACAAGACATACGTATTATAATAAAATATGATTGAAGCTTTATTTTATTACACATTTCCAGTCAAGTGTAGATTTTGTCAACGCACAACCGACACAATATGCGTAACGATACATGATTTACATTGACCGTATTTACAATGTATGAGAAGAAGAAAGACAAGTGATAATGTGACGAGGAATATATGTTCAGGATCATCAGTTGTCCGATAGATATGACAGATCAGAGCCGGTATTTTAATATTGTATGTAATACAGACACTGTATCGTTACTTTCAATGCTTCGAATTACTCACAATTTCGACCTTCCGATGTTTTAACGAGACAACGTACTCACCAACGAAGAGATTTACGTAACTAACACGTCTTTCCACCTCCTATCCTTATGTGTATAAAACGTCACGATAGGTGGCGCACCCTAAGATTGTGATTCAGTACATGAAAACCGTTCATTAGACGTTCTTCAGCGGGTGATGAAATTACACAAATTATTGTCATCGTTTAAAACGGATTTGCATTGTGATTGCACGATATAACGTATATGTTAACGCTTTTCTTTCGTTCCTCGAAACAGTTTGAAAATTTGTGCAAACCCGCCATATGTGACAGAAGAGCCAATCGAAAGTCGTCACAGGCACTCTCCCATCGAGTGCCTGCCGGCTGCGAGGATGCGCATGGCGGGCGAGTGATAATCTTAGCGAGATTGAATCCTATCGCGATTAAACGGTGTCGAACAGCCGTCAGGTCCGTCGGAGTCGCAGGGATACAAGAGAGAAAAAAAAAATGCGGAGATAACGCACAGGCGTGTCGGGTGTCGAAGTAGAGTTAGGTAACGATTAGAGGTTAGAAGCAGGAGAATGGGCAAGTCCGTGCCGTAAGTTCGAACGACAGCGTCGTTACGTTGTCGCGTAAGGCGAGATAGACAAGGGTAGACAAGCTGCGATCATTATCGTGAAAAGTTGCAGGGTAGGGGATCTCGCTCTGGGTGCGATCTTCGGCGAGAAGAGGGGAGGGCGATCGGCGCGCGTGCAAGCTGGTGCGAGTGAGCGGCGAGCGAGCGCGTGTGACTTTCGCCGAGAAATGTCGTCGGCGCTCGCAGCGTGTTAAACGGCTAAACATGTCCAGACCGCTGGTCGGTCACACAACCGACGGCGGCGGTGCGGTTCAGACAGTTGTGACCTGCGTGGTGTGCGAGCGAACTGACAAGCTGCTGAGGTGCTCGCGCTGCAAGGCGGTCTTCTATTGCACGAAGGAGCATCAGCGGAGCGACTGGAAACGCCACCGGGACTTCTGCGCGACCCATCCGGCGACGTCCGGCGAGCATCTCTCCGTCGACAAGCTACCGAGCGCGCCAGTTTCTAACCTAGCCAGGATCCCCATCTCGGACACGTCATGGGTGACGAACGTCATCTCGGAGCCGTATCGGAACGCGAAGCAATTCGCAGGTACGTGCTGTCGCCGTTTTCACCATTTTGCCGCGACCACCTTATCGCGCTCGTTGTTGTTTTGCGCAGTTGTCGTCTTGCCGATAACTCGATATTAATAGCGATTTCGCGTCGAGAGATGCGCTTTCTCGGCATCTCCGCCGCGGACGCTCTTCGGCCGACGATAAACTCCTTGTTTCTATACACTGTGCGTGTCTAATTACAGCTTCTATTACGCAAGGAGAAAACGAATCGAGTCAGCACGAGCGGAAGGAGAATCTTAAGAAGAAGCCGAGTAGCGGGAAGACGAGGAACGTGCGCAACAATAAGGCCGACGCTTGGACCTTACCTATAACGTACGAGGGAAGTTCGGAGGACACCATACTGGGCGCCAGGGCGGAACTCCTGAATCCTGTCTTGGAAAGCTCGAGAATCTTTGAGAATCTAAACAACGCGGACCTTGGAATGCCTACCCGGCATCATAACGGCACCAAGAACTTCCCAGAAGTACAATTGGGCCAGAAGGAAGAACTTTTGCCCCCTTTTTTACATAGAAATAGAGACGATATCGAGGAGCTGTTGGACGAAATTTGCCGAAATGTGATAAGAGATATGAACAATTTCGGTGTGTGTGTGGTAGACAATTTTTTAGGCAAGGAGAGAGGTGAAGCAGTGCTAAGGGAAGTTTTAAATATGTACAGTGCTGGTTTATTTAAGGACGGACAGTTGGTTTCTAATAAAGCTGGTGCAAATGACTTAAAAACAATCCGCGGTGATCAGATCACGTGGCTGGACGGGAAGGAGCAACAATGTCAAAACATTGGCACACTCATATCGCGGGTCGATGCAATCATTATGAGAGCTAACAAAATGCACAATAACGGGAAAATAGGGAACTATACAATCAACGGAAGAACAAAAGTGAGTACACTCTTTCTCTTTCTGTTTGTTATATTGATTTTTCGGATTGCTTACTTCACGTTTCATTGACTGTGTGAATTGTGTGTGCACGGGTCAGTGTTATTGCGCTCTTTTTATCATTTATTCACAAGACCTTCGAGTGCATTATCAAATGGAACGCGATGCGTCACACTCCAACATGCTTGAACTGTACGTTAGATAACATTCCAGGAAAAACAAGCCGCGAGGAATAGCTGTGTGTCCGTTTAACAACAATCTTCGTTAAGTTAGCGAGCAATCGCTCTTGAAATCGTTCGGCCGTTAATTAACAGTCCGCAACGCGGAAAGTATTAACAAATATGTGTCAGCGTGTGAGATTTCAGATGTGCGCGAATGTCGCGATGACATACCAAGAGGTGAACGCGATAGAGAAGGTCACAATTCCAAAAATGTAACGATCTTCCGCGCGCGCGCACGAGAGAGAGAGAGAGAGCATCAAAGCGAACTTGAGAGTGGGAATGAAGCGCGAGGTGCGATCAGTCACGTACGCCGCGCGCGATTTCGTACGTCCCACCCTCTTTCTCTACCACGCACCGATACGACGCGATGAATTTGTTACGCGCTGCAGAGATATACATTACACACTCGATCCATTCTCTCTGTGATACTTTTGTGCAAAAAAAAAAGACAACATTTCCACCGTGGTATACGTTGAATCCTATAAATATCCTCTGTTGCCTTTCTCTCGTCAGTAAGTTTCGCCCGTTTCTCGTATTGTTCGCGATTGTATCGCTGGATTGGCTATTGTAAAATTATTAAACGATTAGCTGTTGTAACTTGTAGCCACGCGATCACTGTTCTATACAATCATTGTCTTTTCGTATGACTGAACGATGTTATGTACTTCGAAAAGTAATATTTCACTTTACGCTCTATATCCTATATTTTTTACCAAGTTACTGGTAAATTTGAGCAGGGGGAGAAGGAAGGTTGACACAAGTATTCTTGTAACGTTATCATCAAGCTGTTAACAGCATACGGATATTGTTATCAGACACGAAGATTTGCACATGAAATAATATCTTTGGCAAAGACTAAGACGAATTTGCCGATTGACTTGCGCTAAAAATAATAGATTTTTACGTTGTAAGCGCGATGTATCGTGTGCATAATTTCTCGATAATCAGGAAAGATAAAAAAATTTAAGATATTTTGTCTGTCGATGACTGCTGCATTATATGTATGCATTCAACAATTTTTTTACGTTTTTAACTTTTCTTTTTATTATCGACAAGTACTTTCACTGAATCATTTATATTTAGTTTGTGCCATTTTCAGTAGTGGAATTTTATGAGTACTTTGAGATGAAAAACAAGCTTAAAATTAAAATGCGAAAAATTGACAAATTGCGATATATAGTTATACGATGATAATATTAAAGGAAAATATATAACAAATAGCGTGTGCAATAAAATGTTTAGCACATATACTATTTGTTACTTATTATAGATCTCTACTAAGGACTCTCTGCAGTCGCATGTGCATCACGGTAAAACATAATCGTTTAATGCTTTTTTCTAATTCACATGTCTATGATGTAAGAGTACTTGGAATTTTACGAATATGGTTTGAAATTTTCCTTGTTCCTCGACTTGACGGTCAGCTGCTCTGCGTTGATGTTTCAGTCGATTAGTCATTTGTTTTGCTACTTCTTTCTTTTATACAGCCTTAAAACAAAAATATCGTATAATTGCGCGAAATCACTTTGACGAGTTGTTATTTGCTTTTTATCGTAAACTCTGCAATTCTTTTATATCTTCTGTTAATTCTATGAAATACGAGCGAAACGTACGGATGTCACGTCTTATTGTTACCGAATCGTAAAGTCAAATTGTATGTATATATAGCAATTGTATATCTGCACATTCAAAATTTGGAATCGCTTTACACAGTAAATCTAGTATGATTATCAGATCTTCCAAATCTTTTTTTCTTCTATGTTTCAGGCTATGGTAGCTTGTTATCCTGGTCATGGTTCGCATTACGTAAAACACGTGGATAATCCCAACCGGGACGGACGTTGTATCACAGCCATTTATTATCTTAATCAGAATTGGGACATTAAGGTACAATTTTACATATAGATATTTACCCTCTGTTAGTCGCAATATTTTTCATCCATAAATGGTCACGATGTATCTCACACAGGTACACTAATTCTTTCATTGTTTTCCTCTGCTTCTTGAAATAGTGTTTTCTTTCATTAGCACTTGAGACTAATAGACCAGGTTAAAATACATAAAAAACAGTGAAGAACAAAGAAAAAATATTGATAAGGACGACAAGTTCGACCTTGAGGCCATATGGCAACGGCGATACGTCGTGGCCTGAACGTATCGCCGTATTGGATACATTTGCGACTAACGGGGAATCAATGCGCGTCCAATAAGACTTTTAAGAAAAGACTGAAGCAGTTCGATCGATTCTCATTACCCAAATATACTTGACCATCTTTTGTTGACACAACGTTAGAAGCCGAACAAGTATCTCATGTAAAATCCAGAAATAAATGCACATCGATACCAGTCTATAAATAATTGCCTTTTTCCTATTGTACGTAGAAGAATGGCGGACTCTTGAGAATATTTCCTGAAGGATGGCGCGACCAAGTAGCGAATATCGAGCCTCTGTTCGACAGGATATTATTCTTCTGGTCTGACAGGCGGAACCCGCACGAGGTGCAACCGGCGTACGAAACGCGATACGCTATCACGCTTTGGTATTTCGACGCCGAAGAAAGGAATCAGGCTTGCCGAAGATATCAAAGAGAACGTACGTAAACGATTGTATCGGCACGTACGCGCGCACGCACACACACGCACACACACGCACACACATATATATGTATATATATGTGTGTGTGTGTGCGTGTGTGTGTGTGTACATAAGGTCACGCTTATGATCATAAAAGGATAACAGTAACCTCCTCTCTTTACAAGTATTAATTATTGTAATTTAGATCATAAATTATCTTCCCAGGAGAATTGAACAAGACGAATCACATTTCATGAAACGTGAAATGGGAAGAAGTACTACGCCCTCTGGACTGATATCCTTCATTCTGTACATAAAATATGATGTATTATTATGTATTATGGTACACAGCTGATAAAATCCTTGCGGGAGGAATTGAATAGCTTACGAAGCAAACCACTATTTACCGACAATGATTGTTCTTATAAAGAAAAAGTGCAATAGACGTATGCGAATTTTCTTTTTCTTTACTTTGCAGATGAAACTGTAATATATGTGATGAGTTGATGTGTGTAGTTGTTGCAATTTATACTTATATGTATCATCGTTTATTTTGACTTTTACGATCCTGCGTTGTTCACACTCTAACCCCAGTATTTAAAATATCGGTTTTGCATCCTGCGTTTGAAAGAAAGCTTACATTCGTGTCGATCATTGACTTTTTCATTACGTAAAGTATTAATCATCCTCGTATCGTGCAACATTTTAAATATTTTAAACCGTAAGATATATAATGTGCGAATTTTTTTTCCAAAACTTGCAGACGTTATACCTTAATATTGTATTGCAAATAAATTTATCTCTCCGTAATGTTTGTACACCATTTCTTAGTAGTTTGATAGTAAGGCAAATATTTATTGTAAAGTTGTATCACTCACGCGAAGTATAATGTTACGTCTACACATTGATCTATAACTTTTTACACTCCAATGACACTACGTTTAATTTACTACGGCCAGTAACCGATTTTTGCTTTCGACGCGACAAATTGAAATAAGTCGAAACTCAATCTGTATAATATTATGTATATTACCAAGTTGTAAAAAACACACGCGAATATTACATACATATATACAAGATAATTCTAATGCTGGGCTAGACTATAGCTCTTTCCTAAATGAAAATAGAAGAAAGTGACAGTGAGAAAAAAATGTTTTACACTGTTTAATATAAATTACCTAATTTATACCGTACTTTTTCCATGTACAAGATGTCCCGTTGAAAATAGGCAATCTTTCATATGTAAGTCAGTTAAAGAAAATATTTTTCACACAATACTCATCGTTTCAATCTAAGCAATATCAGTGTCGTTTGGAAGCTGGCAATCTTGAATCTGATTAGCAGCAGGTACGTAAGTTTGAAACGAAAAGTTATTTTTCGAGAACATGCCCGGATTAATCACATAACAGTCAGAGTAGCTGGCGGTATACGTCTCAAAGTTGTCAGCGATAACAATGAGATCTGGCGTTGGAAAAATTTGCAAAGCATGATCATACTTCCAGTACACCGGTACGACTTCTAGTGGCACAGGTATCAAGTGTGACTGGCTGATGATGGCTCTGGCAAACTGAAATTTTCCAATATCAACGTCAGATTAGCATATATTTTGGGCCATAAAAAAATATAACTACTTACATGCTTAAAAAAGTTTTCCTCCTTTGGGAAACGAAGCGAATTTCTGCACATCTTTGTTAGCATATCTTCTCGCAACACCACGATCTCTTTCGTACAGTACTGTATTCTACATGGATTTGTGGTGAAAATAGCATTTGGTATCGATCTTGTGACTTCTTCGATGATGCATTTGGGCAAGGGAGGTTTAGGTAAAATTTTAGGGGAACCTAAATCGTGCGGACCAGGTACAAAAATGAATTTGGAAGTTTCCCTCACACTTGCATACTGCATTATTATATCGACCAAGTCCTTAAAACCAGTAATTAAGGCTTGTGCACTGGTAACATTTGTAGGAAAACTCAGAAAATGGCCGCATAATACAAAAGCTATAGGAGGATAATTCATATAACCCTCCAATATCGTTCTAAACTTCTGCAAAACATTTGGAAAGTCCAACCATAGCTCCGCTATAAATACTATTATTCCGTCCTCATTATTTTTCTCATGAACTTGTAACTTTTCTGACATCTTTAAGGACAAATTGTGAGGTCCACCAAATGTATTAGCGTCACCAAAATCTGATCGAAAACTTTCCCAAGATTCTATCGGTGGAAAGCTAATATTCTCCACGTGTAATGTATCATCTTTGTACGTTCCATTAGCTATCACTATACAGCCTTCCATTATGAAAGCATCCTGAAAATCGTGTTGGTAGGATAAGGAAAACCATTATTTCTGTATGAAAATTCCATCTTATTAGCATTAACTCCTAGAATCTTGCAAAATATTTTAAGACTGTAAGTAACAATTGAAGACAAAGTATATCATAAAGGATATTGTATTGCCCAAGTCGATCTTAACAGATCCACTTGTATCTTCCAAGTAATATTGATCTTCCGTTAATTGTGTCAACAGACCCATTATGCACACGTTTCCAGTTTTCAGCTCACTCAGCAAATATTCTATAGGTATTAAATTTATTTTATCCGCTGACTGCTTCTCAAATTTGGAAGATGAATACTGTTTGTGTCTTAAAGTTTTGTACCACACCATTTCAAAGCGATGCTTAAAAATTAAGGATTTGCATTGCACCTCGGAATGTAGGTTTTCACTGTCAATGATATACTTTTTCTTAGATATGTCATATTTTATCTTTGGTATATTGTGTCCACTTATGACATTAAATACTGTTTCTGTGTTTTTCAATTTATGCGGTTCTAAGCATTCCTCAATGGCAGTTTTTAAATGTTTGGCTGTAACATGTGGACCATCCAAGTTTTGAGCTAAAATCAACTCTATAATGCGATTCATCCAAGATTCACGTTCTTTTTCTTGTACTTTTAACAGATGTTTTGTGAGGGATACTTTAAGCTCCCTAAAAGCAGCATATAAAAGTTAAATATAAACAGTTATAAATATTATTAGTCATGCAAAAATAAACAACATATAAAGAGGCACTGATGAAAATAACAAAATACTATTACATAATAAAAAAAGGATAATAACTGGGAATAATCAATATATAGAATAAGAACAATATATATTTATTAGGTAAAAAACTATATTTTTTTAGAAAATTGTTAAATTTGTTTCAAAAATTCCATATATAAAATATGAAAATTTCAGTTTTTTTTTTTACCTATATAATCACAAATAAAATCCGACCAGAAAATTTATATCTTTCTCTTTCATTTACGTCTGCTGTTGAGAAAAGATATAGAGAAGTGCTTACCTCGACAATACGAGACCATATAACGAAAAATTCGTTTGAATCATCTGTACACACTTATTGTCAGCCATCACCACGTTGATTTGTTGAAACAACACTTAAAACCAAAACACGCAATTCGAATTCTTAATAAACAAAATCCAACTACTCCACAGTCCAAGCGTATATAACTTGATTTACGTGCAATCCACACTATCGTTTCGAATGGAATTAATTACGCATAGATACAAACGAGTCGCTCGCAAATAAACAGATGTAGCAGAAAAGACATTATGCAATGCCTGGCAAATATAAGTAAATAAAACTCAAGTATAAAACAAAAAAATCATTTCGTAATATGTTCCCGATCACCGATACTCGAGGTTAACGCCTTTTCTTTTCCCGCTTTCGCATTTAGGTCCATTTTGACAGCCATGGTTCAATAATGTCTGTTTTTAGAAAACACGAGCGATCAGTGATTGGCTATGTTCAGCGAACACACAATTGAACGAGCCGTTGTTGGAAGATGGATGTGATTGGTTGTTGGATAGAGAATTTTTAAGATCCCTAACATTTTCTATCCGACTAATAGGCACTTTTGATAAACTTGTACGACAAATAAAATTTCAGCCTTTACTGCACCTCATAAATATCTGATCAAAATGCTATTATAATTTACGCGTGTCGTGAAGAATTAATAATTTATCATTTATATTTACTATTTACTAATTATATTTCATATGGAAAGTATCCATTATGGTAGCGGTCCGATATTCACTGCCAGTATTAAAAATCCATAGTATACGTGACATGAACTATAGATTTTTAAGACTGGCAGTGAATATCGGAGTACAGCCTGTATTTCACTTCACTCTTTATGGCTGATATACGTCGCCGGTGTTTGCCACGCGTGTACTTGAGAATCTGTTAAAACATTTTCCATCTTTTGGTAGTTTGCAGGAGAATCGGAAAAATGACAGCACTGACAGTACTACATAAGTTTTGGTCGGAATACACAAAAAACACACCTAAGAAACTGAAAATCATCGATGCATATTTACTGTATGTGTTTCTGACGGGTGTTATCCAATTCGTATATTGTTGTCTCGTTGGCACATTCCCATTCAACAGTTTTCTCAGTGGCTTTATATCCTGTGTATCTTGCTTCATTTTAGGAGGTAATCACAATATCACTTATAACGTTTTCGGTTATATCACGCATCATTCGATTATTTATCGTTGATCGAGTTATCTCGTTGGTTTTATCATTATTACATCTGTAGAGGTGTCACAAATTAGAGATTCTTTTGTTAATATTTTGATATCAAGGATGTATTGTATAAGAAACTGTTTATTTAGCAATATATTTCTTAGTTTGCTAAGAATGATTAAAATATAAGCTTGAGTAATATGAATGTATAATTTTACCTGGATCTATTTCTTGTAAACACACATACAGCAAATATCAGGCAACGAAATTATCACTTTTTATATAGTTTCATAGAAAAGATTGTGTGATATAATATTTACCTTGTTTCAGTTTGCCTTCGTTTGCAAGTTAATCCACAGAATAAAAATCAGTTTCATGGAATAAGCCCAGAAAGAGGATTTGCAGACTTCATATTTGCCCATATTATATTACATATTGTTATAATGAACTTTATTGGATAAAATTATACAAACCGTCATATAAGTATAATTATAACACATCAGAAAATGCAATTGTTACATAATAAATTATTTCTGATGTATATGTATGTTTTTCTACTTGTGATTCAGTTACAACTCTTAATTAGTTAATAAATAATCTAAGTGAAAACAATTATGATGTTATGTTTAATATTCCTTCTTAATTTTTTCAGACTTGATTATTTTAGTATATTATATGTGTGTTAATATCTATCTTGCAAAATATATTTTTGTGAAAATTTTCATAAAACAAAATTGCCGGGTCATAACCATTTACTTTCAACACATTTCCATTGATCACCCTATGTACAATGTGAAATTAACTTCATAACAGTTAGTGGATTAGTTAGTTATAATTATATCTATACAACTCTAAAATGGTATAAAAAAAGTTTGAGCAGGTTTTTCTCATAGCAAATGAAGATTATTTTTTCCTTTATGTGTCTTCTTAAAAACTTACTTTGTTATAACATGTGCTGACATAATTTATTATGTAAAGATACAATAAGGATATAGCACCATATACTTTGTTAATTATATTTTATGGCAAGATTATATATATATGTTAGGCAATATGTTAGGCAAGACAAGAATTTATCCAATACCCACCATAGAGAGAAGAGAAAACGATGTAGCTACAACAATCTATAATACATTTTATTTGTCTTATTGGTTGTACAATGTCAAGTGGGAGATAGGTATTGCATTACTATAGCAAATATAGGACACCTTACGCTTATATATACAAAGATTCTAAGGAAAAATTTATATTGTATCATAAAGGTATAGTTTTAAGAGATTCAGGAAAGCATTGTTATATATTTCTTTAACTGGTCAAACCAGCCAAACATCATGCCCTTCCGGGAAACGGAATATGATATAAGAAGGCTTTTTTTGCTTATGAAAATATGATTTTCGGGCATAGGCTATAAACAAAATAATACTAATTTATTTTTTGAATGTGTTAAATAGTGCAGTTACTATTGGAACAAAATATTTTAAATGTCCTAGGATTTTAATGTAACCCCAGTGTTTTAATAAATATAATAAGATATAGCAGGAAATACTAAATTTTGTTTGGCGGTGTGCCAGTATGCTAAAAATTTACCTTCATAATTATATTTTTATCATTTTCTATTTATATACTACTTAGAGATCGATAAAATAAATAACTCGATTAATATATTTTATAAAATTTTAGTACAACGATGGGTAATGTCAACACCATTAATAAAATAAGTTTTTCTCATTTGTTCGGTGCAGACGTTTGCGCAAATGTCTCTATTTTTTCACTCACATACACAAATAACTCATGAATATATATCATACAAACACACACACATTTATATTCTATAGATCTATAATTATACATATGTACCTGCTCTCTCTTGCACGCGCGCACGGTGTATTCAAATGTAAGTAAATGTTCGTACCAAATTAATCACACGATCAAGCTAGAAAACTGAAGCTGTAAATATTATTATTAACATAATATATCATTCATTTACATAGATTGCATTGTTATGATAATAAATAACGAGTCATGAAATATTTCATCAAATTCAGGATCACTCATTTCATCAACTAGGATTTTCAATGTGTTAATATTAGTTAAAATTAAGAGTAACTACATTAGTTTAAGTATATTAGAATTTTTCTTCATTATTAGGGCCTTGGCTATGTTATCAGGAAAGTTCGTGAAGTCAAATTTCTCCGGTTGATAGCATAATTCTCCTCGCGATGCGACCGATGGAGCGGACCGGAGCTTTTATTTATACTAACCAACATGACAATTATTTACATGTTGCAAATTTATATTAAATAACAACTAGCATGTTTTGCGTCATTAGAAAGTAAGGATTGAAACCAGTATAATTCCGATAAGTTCAATTTTTGATACTACAGATGAAGGACTTCGTATACGTATATTTCCTTTTTCTCGTGAATAACAAAGAATTTAAAGTCTAAAGATTTCATTGTCGCATATCTATGGTATCTAAATACGGTAACCCACGGAAATTATATCGGTTTCGATCTTTGGAAATGTCAACAAGGCAACAAATGATCTGGAAAGATTCGCTGCACAAACACCACGAATTTCTGAGCCCCATCTCATCTTCACTGCATACGAATCTAAATTTTATACAAGATTTACAACTCGTTACTACAATCTTCGCCGTTTGTGCGAAACGAGTTTATTTTACAAGTTCCATCTAATATCTGACGTCAACCTTAGAATATGGAAAAAAGAAAAAAAACGCAATTCTGGAATACACATGTTTGTCTTGCACCGAAATTTTCTCAAATATTAAAGAAATCTTTCTGCATAATGAAAATAATGAAACACGTACGTATCTGATATTTAATTCGATTGGATATTAATAGATTCAAATATGGAGTGGATGATTGCGTCCCAAAATCTAAAGTTTTACATTTTATATATCCCTCGTAAATACGGAACACATTCGTCGATTGACACACCTGTACAAATCGACAAACATATTTTACACAAATCCCAATTTACACGTACATTATTTTTTTTAAACAGTTACTGAAATTTCGAGAAGTACAGCTGAACCCATAACTCGTTGGATTGGCACGTGTCAAATTATTTTTATGGCACTAGATACATACATTAAATTAAAATTTAGTGCAACTATTATTCCAACCAAAATTCCGATCTATTTATATGTTTTATATCAAATTATTTTACAAATTATATATAGGATGTTGTGTAAAAAGAAATTAAAAAATGTTAATTTTCTCTCTCACTCTCTCTCTCTTTTTTTCTTTTTCGTATAAGCGTTTTATCTACTTACGAGTGATCCTCTATTCTCAGAGTGATTCTCCGCTCCGGTACATATTATTAAAATAGAATAATAGATATGTATATGCAATTAATTCACAGAAAAGAAGCAATAAGCATAACGATTTATCTATATGTTTCGACTTTATTAAGCGCGTATATTCACGAGGAAAATTATTAATCTCGTGTAATCGCAAAATGTTAAAAAAAAAGAAGCTTTAGCTCGTTGAAAACTTGAACAATAATATAATCTTTATAATCTTTTATCGAAGCCTAACAAAGTTGGATTGTATAAGTGTAATAATAATTCAAACGATTTATTTCCCCGAAAAGCAGATGTATATTACACGTCATTTGCGTGGTAAGTTTTACCTCCGGCATGATATTTAAGTAAAATTACGTAAAAATATTCTAGCTCCATCTTCCACACTACAATTTAATCGACTCATTATAGCTCTTGTCGCTACTGCTCAATGCCATCGAGTGGTTGGCTCAACAGCCGTTCGTGAGTGTATCTTGTCGTCGAATTTACAACCTCTCGATATTCTTAGTAAAATTTGTCACGCCTAATCTTTCGAATTTTAACTGCGGTTTACCATTTTCAAGCTGTATGAAGCCTCATCGTTCTCGGATTTTCGATGCTTTTCTAAATATCTTCTGCGCGCTGTCAATCGCATATGTTCTTTACGCCGCTGAAGTATGATCTCTCTCTCAGCGGGTGACTTTGAAAAGCGTCCACCGAGACTCGAGGGCTCCTCTCCACTGTACAGATAATGATGAATTAATAATGATAAAATTACTACAAATAGATGATACAATATGTTTTAATTTGTGCAACAGGAGATTATTGTTGCACGTTTTTAATACTTTACAACACCTCGCTCACCTGTCGGCAAATGGAATATCGAGTCTGGGGTCCGACGGATTTTGGACCGAAGAACTGGGCACAATATTTGTCATGGTCGTTTGTGTTGGGACGGATTCCGCTTGTGGTTCTTCGATTAAATGATGCGGGACAGTTAATATCCCATCTAATATATTCTCAACTGTCCACTCGACCGACCGGGTCATTCTAAGATCCTCCAGGATGACGTTGCGAGGATAATGAGGGAAAAGTTGCTGCACCTAATAAGGAATTTTTTTTTCTTAATATTAAGCGACCGAGATACACAGAGATCAGAATTATATTGCAAGATTATATTGCACAGATTAGAGAGAGAATTGTAAAAGAACAATTCTTGTTGGATTCTCTTTGTGAAATTGAGTAAGATTCAAAAGATTTTTTTTATCTTTTATAAATGTCGCGAGAATATTTAATCGTTTAAATTTTCTAAGAAAATTTAAAGAAGATTACTTGTCTCGCCATAGCATCCATCTGAGAATTGGTATGTGCCAATGTGGAAATGTTGCCACGCAATCTATTGTGCGAGACTTCGACGGAGAAGCTCGGCAACCAAGACACGTATCTCGATCCGTCGAAATGGAAGAAGTGATTGTCGTTTCTTCTCGTAGGTGTCTGCGATTCGGGCGGCATTTCCGGAATATTCTCTCGATGATTCGCTTGCATACTCAAGGGTAATCGGCAAGTGGGGCACGATGTGTCCTGTTCTAGCCAGGACTGCAAGCACGAATTGTGAAACAAGTGGGCGCAGGGTAATTTGCGAGCACTGTCCATCTTCTCCCAGCATATTGCGCAATTATCAGAATTGCCTGCCAATTCATCCTGCGACGCCATAGGGTAACTAAAAAAATAAGTAAAAAAAATTTGTCACTCTCTAAAGAACCTTAAATTGTTGTATTAATTTGTAACTCGATTCGATAACGTAAAACAGTTTACAAGCCGTTAAAGAGAAAAGACACGATTTGAAGCAATCGTTCCAAATCGTACTTTTCGCACATAGGCGATGACTTTTACGTACTTCTGCTCCATGTGATTCAACACGGCCAAATAGTTCCTGTGTTTGGTAATCCTACGTTGTATCTCGTAGAACAGATACCTCAGCTGCATGCAAATCACCAATGATGCCATGCTCAAAAATATGTTGCTCCATAAAAGCATGTGAACATGATGAAGAAAGTCGACCGCCAGTACGATTAATTCCGAGGTCAGATCCGTGTAGTAGGTCAAGGGACCGCGTTTGTCCCAGGAGCGTTGCGCCGAGGTGCCAGCACCACGTGTGTCATATAGATGAATCACGTAGCGTATTATCACGTGTATAGTACGGACTGCGAGTAGGATGCACTGCGAAGCGAGAGGAATAAATTATAATAATCAAACAGGTTTTCGCTGCTTCATCGCGAGTTTGTGTCGGTAAGAGATCGACTCAAGGTCAAATTGAAATGTCAACTTTGCGCTGCATCACGATTCGACCAACTGGAGTCTTTTTGTCATTTCTCTTATCTCGCTACACAGATATTCGACTAACCAAGGTCAAAAGCGGAACGTTCGGTCAGGAGAATCGCTTTAAGCCAGGTGGATATAAGTAGAACACCGTAACTTTGACAGCGTTTATCCGCTCCGCTATACGTAAGCAAGTTTACGTTCGCCGGCCAGCTTATAATAGCACCTTCAGATATGTTTATTTCGCAAGCGGTAGAGTAACAAGTTTTAAAATGCGACACCTCGTATTTTCGTGCGAACGCTCATCCCCGATTCGGGACTGATTCGTTTTCAGATTTTATTTTTATACTCGTGCCTTTCTCTTATTCGTTTAACGTGAAAAATCCGCTTTCCAACGTACAGAATATCCTACATTTCGTTGTATTGAAGACAAATTACCTCAGATGCCATGAAAGCGAAGGTGTTGAAAGATACGAAGAAAAAGGCTGCAGCGGTGCACAATAGAAGCATGAAGGAAGATAGTGCGAATATCGCCGCCAGCAAACCAAGAAGGCGCGCGTGACTCCATCCTGGTGTTGTGGGTGAAAAAGACAGCTGAAACCGACAAATTGAATGTTCCGTTTCTAGTATATATTCTTCGGATATTTTTCCTTTATTTTTCAAAACAAGTATTCCCATGGGACCGTCTTTTCTTTCATCTCTCGTGCGTCATTGTAAAACTGTTGGCTTGAAAAGATTGTTAGGAATATGACCATTTTCAGCGATAACTTACGACAATAATGTATAAAGAATAATAAAACGATGTACAATGAGAGAAAAAAAGAGAGGCCAAGTATAAATAGTCATACGTGAGGGACGTTTGTTTTTTCTTTATCGGATCTCTTAAACTGTTTGGATAATAGCGAGCGTATGTTCGAACAACTGTTGTCATACTCACATATTCGAATCGATCCTTGCAGAGTTGGCTGAAAAGACTCAGGAAGCCGAGCGCCGTGAACCATGCCCACCAGAGCAGCACCTCGTCCATGTACTGGACGTTCAAGACGCCAAAAACAAAGATGAATTTGTAAAAGACAAAATTCCAGAACTTGTCCTTTAGATGCTGTAGCTCTGAAGCACGCAGCTCCCCGAACACCAGCTTCTGAATGAACTTGGCGAGGAGAATCAGCACACAATGAGCCATGTTGACCGAAGTCTATGAATCATAAAAGAGAAAATTGTGAAAAACAGTATATGCGAGAAAATACTATTTCTATATTCTGTATATCTAGTTCTGTATATAACGAGTCATATAGTCGATGGAGGATATCTGCAATGTTTTATGCAAACATCGAAAGTCAACTACGTTAAGATCATCGATCGACAGTTTTATCGACAGTTCTACTCGACATCAATTGCCGACGTACATATGAAGAAACCGTGTATTAGCAAATCAACCTCGGTTCCGGAACTCAACGAAAAGAGTTCATCGTATGTTGACTTTATAATCGAGCTAATTAATTAAAAAATCAATGTTTCAACGTATGCGTATTATGAAGTGATAAGCCAATAAACATTGATAAATTCTATTTATACTCAAATAGAAATGAAGAGAGAAAAATCTATGGTATAAATCCGCAAAGTTGCGAATTTCAAGCAGATTATATGTGTCTTATATCTTATAAATATAACCAGTATAAAGTTCATATTATGATATCACATTTTTCATTACGAATTATGAAGAATTATGGAAATTATGGATATTAAATTTAAGCATCACACGTGATTGCTTGTTCCACGTGATTTTTTCACTTGAGAGTTGCTTTACATCGAAATTTTGCTATTTTCTAAAAAAAAGCAAGTAAAAAAAACAAGTATATACTAAAATCTCTTAAACGAACATTCCAGATTATACATTAGTTTTTTAACCCTTAGCTGACACACGTCAAAATAATAACGTACGTGCTATAGGGGGTATTTTGGATCCCAGCGAGAAAAAATGTGTATAATTGTTTTATTTATCAATATTGGGTCAAGCCTCGACTAATACTAGGTGACGCAGAACCAAATTTGGCGCGCAGCTATGAAAAATTTGCGTTCATAAACACTCTGGGATACTTTTAACCCCGTGTGTCAGCTAAGGGTTAATAAGATTAGAAGATGTTCTATGCGATATTTATATTCTAGATAACAAACAAACGAAATAACTATTGTTTAATCGTTGCCAAACGGTAGAAAGGCCATCTAATTTTAGGTTCCAACATTTTTCGCTTCAATATTCTGCCAAGTATCTCGAGCGGCACGAGAATGCGTTTATCCGAGGTATAAATTGCTACGAAATCTTGGTGTATAAAAGCAAGATATAATAGTAAGGAATGATGATTTGGCAAAACTATGCAAATTGTTCTGTTATTCTAATTTTATAAAAGAAAAGAGTTATATCAATCGAAATTCTTCATATTATGTAAAAAAATTCAATGTTTGTCAACCCTGTTACTTTATCCTGCGAATTCTTTGATCAATTTTGACGCGATTTTTTCCACTATAACAATGTTGAGACGTCACTATGATATGTTCTGAATTATTAAAGATCGGAAAAGACCTTTTGAAAACTGAATATTAAAGCTGACGGCAGATAAAATATGGTCATTCAATTTCAAGATTTTATTTTAAAACACACTATATAAAACCTTGACTTGAATTTTGATTATTTAGATAAGTAATATAAAAAGTTATGATAAACCGTGAAAAAGATTTAGTATAAAATTATCCCGAAACTCGATAGAAATGCAGGAAAAAAAGGGAGAAAGTCATGCATATAAAACAATATGTTTTACACAGTGTACGGCACGTATTGTTGAATATTTACAAGCGTTAATAATATTTTCCTTATTCACTATATGTGAAAATAAGAGAGGAGACTATAGAATGCTTGATTAATTTTTATTTGCGGCTATTGGCACAACAATAAAAATAATACATATAAAACAGTACGTCTTTACATATCACATGAACGTGCGTTGTTGAATATTCACGGGAACATCGGTAATCAGTAACCATCAGTGCCAAACAATCTATTGTCGACAATTGTACGACATTACTTATTCATCCGAAGTACACAAAGGTACACTAATTTCGTTGGGGAAATTGCTTAATACACAGAATATGTTATAGCAATAGTTTTCACGATAACAGCGGACAATAAATAATAAACAATAAATAATAAACACGGATTATTCTAACTCACTTCTGCTGAACTAAAGATTCTTCCATCGATCAAATTAATTTCTCTTTATACAAAATTGCATATGTAATACTGTACCGATACGAAAGCGGAAGACGATTTTCACGTTATGAGCCTCCTGATGTTGCGCTACGCAAAATCAACATGTGTTCATTCGAGAGGAACAATAGCTAGACATAATCACGCGATGGTTGCGTAGCCGTGCAAGACGCTCGTAACCGAACACGTAATGCCATAATACATGAGGAAAGTAACACATTTCTCTACTGCCGCAGACCGACATCGATTTTCCTCTTCTTCTTCGCTCTATATAGGAATCTTGGAACGCAATATCAGGACGAGTGCCATTCTTTCCCCCATCTCTACTCTATTCTCGACGAAAATGGCTTTCCTACCCTAAATATGCAGTTTTGATTTTTACATAAATACAAGACGCGTATACTTCGTCACGATGAATCGCAGCTCTGACGGAAAGTATATATGGCGTGTCTCGTAATTGTAAGAGCTTTAGCTAAATGGCTGATTTGTACTTTTAAAACAACGTTTTACGCTCTCAATCTTTGTCTAATTATCATTTTTTAATTTTAATTTTTTTTTATTATACGGCGATTTGTCATCAATCACAAATAGAACGGCTTCTTAGTTTAAGACTTAAGACACAAGATAGTCAATGTGCGTTGTTTAAAGATAAAAACTTAATACATAAAACATTGTCTTAAATCAATAAGTCAACCATTCTGTTAAGGCCTCAACTTTCACGACAAACACATTCTGATCAAAATGGAGCTAGTTTTAAAAAAGATTGATGTTCGATAGTTCGAGTTCTTAAATTATAAGCGATTGAAAATGAAAGGATCGAGCTCCAGAAATGCATACAAAGAGACACTGCGACCTTTAGTCTTTATTAAATTTTAATCGATCTTTGCTCAAAAATAAGTTTGCAAATGGAGAATCAAAATCAGTCACGAAGGTATTTGACATTAAAAATTGCGGAAGCTCGATTAATTCCCTCACATTCTGACTAAGAAAAAAGCCGATTCCATAAACTGATCAAAGACTATAAATTTACAAGTTAAAGGTGCTTCGTTAGGTTCATTAGGTTTGGGGCACTCTATATATACATATATGAATAAATATATATATATATATATATATATATATAAAGGGGATACGACTGCGCTCGGAGGTGGATTAGAGCATGATGTAACCTGCGTTCATAATATATAGATAGAACCAGACAATGCGAGACATGAAGACGTAAATATAATTAGATGGCTTTTCCAGTCATTTTGTCAACGTATCGATTTACTGTTAAACATTCGATACTAAGAATTATGAATTAAGAAACGACAGATTTCTTCCAGGGAGATAAAGTGAATTTAAAATGATGAAATAAACGCCACATGAAATCAGTTTTCCCAATTTTCGAGAAGCCCCCCTCCCCGTGAATGAAGATGACGTGATGTAGAGAAAAATGCGTCGTTTGTTTTCTAATGTGTATTTTTGGAGAATTGAAAACAGACATACCCATATGCAGACAGGCTCATCCATCATACATTCCAGCAGTTCTTTCAGGTGCGTGCCGAGGCTCCTTGGGTCGCTCGCATCGTCTCGGACGATAGCGTTAACACCTACGTCGATGTACGTGTGATTTGTCCTCCAAGCGGGATCCTTAATTATCTGCGCAGCATAATATATGGAGCAGAAGAGTGTAGCAAAGCTTATGGTGGTGTAGACACGTAGGCTGGGGACCGGAAACCGTTCCAAAAATTCCATCGGCATGATTGGAAGATTCTTGGAGACTCTTCGATCGTAGAAGCACTTTCCGAATATCTGGATGAAACAAGTTTCAACCAATATTAGTCCGATACGGTCGAATCAGTTGGTTCGTCGCGAAGAAGGAAAAATTGTCCGACACACCGGGCTGACGCGACAACTCGGAGGGAAATTCACAAAATATCATGACAGCTCGGCGAGTATCGAGAAGCGAGCCGCGTGGAAAATGTCGGTGGCTAATAATATTACAAGCGCGAAAACGCAACGTACTTCGCGGTGGTCGCGCGACGCGACAACGACGGACTATCGCGTTGCACGGAACCGACGATCGAATGCGACGAATCCACGTCGCGTCATCGTTTGCTACCGCTTCGCATGTTGCCACGTAATGCAAACGTTAAGAAACACGTTACACTGGTTATAACGGCGATTCTATATTCCACATTGTATTCAGCATGGCACGATGAGACATGGGAAAATTTAGATCGCGGAGCAATCGCCTCGTCGTCAAGGCCCGATCTCGACGTTTGCTTCGCGCGCCACAGGCTAATCGACGAGTTATCCTTGGCCCACCTATGTATATGTGCGCGATACAAATATCAAGGTAAGGTTTAGCGAAAAAAGATACCTTGCCAGATTTGCTTTTCGTTGTTATATGCCACCTCGAAACGAAATAATAAGCGAAATAATTGGCTCGCGAAATGACTACCAAATGTACGATGACTTGATCTTTATATTTTTACATGCAAATTGGCAAGGAATATTTAATTACGTTTAAACAAAAAAGCGTATAATTCCGTTTAAATGGAATTTATGGACTGATATATCAAACATAATATATTGATATATTGATAAATAACTAGAGCGATATATTTTTTCCTGCTTTTATTATTTTCTTTATTACTATTCTTGACTGTGACTTGCAAATTCTTATGATAATAGCAGTAGTTAGCATAGAAAAAGTGCCTATTATCCCGATGTCGATTGTACACATCGACATGACGTGAACATATGTTAACGAGAGAAAGCGCAGTATGAAAAAAATTATATTTCCTTGTTCCGAATATCATAAAACGCGTTCAAAGAGGAATCAAAATCAATTGAATATACGTAACATTAATTTTTGCTACGTACAAGACATAACGTACTTTCAAACTCTGCTATTTTACGTCGACGCGACGAGGAAATTTTGTCTTACGTGTGCAATGGTGCAAATATTGATTACTTGAAAAACCAATACGCTTTAACCCGCGTATTTTACATAATCAAGTAACTATAATCTTTAAACAACTGATAAAACGTATATAGATAAGACGTGACTGTGCGGCACTTTCTAACACTTTCTTATACTTTGGAATCGTACCGAAAAAATAAATAAAAACAACAAATTAAATCGTTGAGGTTTCCTTTTTTCACTTACGAAATACATTCAATTTCGAAATCGGTAATTTATTTTTTTTTGTCCTGTTCTCTTCCTGTTTTTAAAATGCGCCAACCAGTTTATAATAATTATTGATGTGACTTGCATAAATAAGTGTCCAAGAGATGGAAATACTTTTGCAACTGACGACACAATTCGCAGTCTGTAAAGAATTTTTAATTTAGGAGTCTTCCAGAAATCATTAATCAAAACATGTCATATGGTATAATCATAGTCTTTACCCACAATTCTTTAAACGAAGCAATATATACATGTCCGTGACACATATTCAGTACATACAACGATGTTAGCGTCAACAAGCCAAAAGATATGAATATTCTCAGTATCGCTCATTCGCATATACTCGTAAATACGATGATAACAACACTTAAAAAAAAGAAGATAATCACGTGCGCTTATATGGCAAAATTCCTACTCAAAACTACTAATAAGTTGACTTGTTAATGCGTTAATATCGTTGTACAATGTTAATATATGTTCTGAATTTGAGCATAAAATGCAATCGTCATTTCAATGCCAGATTCTAAAATTAACTTGCAATCGATTTTTCTTTATAAAAATGTGCAAGAAAATGTTTATTTATCGTAACTGAAGTTAATATCGTGAGCCTCGATTATATATGCAAATATTCCTGGGAAAAACGATTATATATGAATTTTGTTTACATATGTCTATATATAAATCACACATATGGATGTGATATGGTTATATAAGTTGCTAAAAAAAATACTGTTATATATAAATTCACATGATTACATGTAATTTTTTTCCAGGATTATGAGAAAATATCAGAATATGTGTATTTTAAGAGTTAGAGATATTTTCCTAATGTTAAAAATATTACTCTAATATCAAGACATTACTGTTGAAAATATTCAAATGATTTCATTATTCCTCAATGAGAACGTGTCGGGGGAGGGAGAGAGAGAGAGAGAGAGAGAGAGAGAGAAATTTGCCATTTTCCCCTCCGGATCGGTCAAATTTCACGTTGTACACGCGGTCTTTGACGATATCCGACGAACGTCCATCGACACGTTGTATCGCAGATAGAAAGCGCCTTTCACGCGGCAAAATCGGCAAAAGGGTTAACGCGAACGTGTCGCTTCCTGCGAGATACACGAGCAGCTGCTACGCGATAAATCGATTCGACATAATGCTACGTTCGGCTTGCCTTTACCTCTTGATTTCCTTTTATTTGCGATTTGTCGCACTTTCTAGCCGTGTTACGCATTTATAAAACGTATAAAATACGCGTGAGCACTTGTTATTTGTCTCAAGAGGATGAAAATGGTGGGGTTGGAGGNNNNGGGGGGGGGGGGGGACGGGACGGAAGAAGCTAAAAATGCGTTCGCTCGAGCCGTGAAAATGCGAAAATTACTCACCTTCTGCGGTTTGAGAAACCCTGTTTCTTCAAGCAGACTACATAACAAACATCACACTGACGTTACCGTTTGTCTCACTTCTGTGCACACCCGTCACTGACACTCCGGGTACACTCTGCTCACGTCGGTTGTGCGCGTAAAAGAAAACACCGGTTTCGAGTGTAGCGAAACGAGGCGGAAGGAGATCGGAGTAACAGGGGGAAAAAACGAAAGAGACGGACGAAGAAAGGAAGGAGTAAGACGAATCGGGGGTAGATTGGTAAGCAGGTAGATAGATAAATAGGTAGACGGTGAAAAGAGAGCAAGGGAAGAAAGAGAGAGAGAAAGACAGAGTATGGCTTCCGCGATCTGTCCTCTCGTCGCGCACAGGTTTCTCGTTCACGATCACGATTATGTCTTCAAGCACGTACGAAGATGCTCTCTCGCTGAGTACGTCCGAGGCGACCCGGCCTGTGCGTCGCCGCTATCGCGTGGTCCGCGTACGTCTACATCGTAAACATGTCGCGAAATCTTGACACAGGCCCTCCCGGAGCCTGACGCAATACGGACGCTCCGCATCGATCAGTGCCTACGTGCGGGAAAGGAATAATCTCACGTAAACGCACCTGCAGCGGCTCCACTGCGATACATGCGACGATGCGACATCTCACGATCACAATAGGTACCGATAACTCCGGTGACAGTCGGGAACTCGTGAGCGTTGCGCCATACCGGCGCTGAGATCAAACGAGGTTCACTTGATAACGCTGTGAAAATTCCCAGGTTAGTACGACAAGTGTCATGACGAGATGTCGCTGATGTAGAGAAAAATGCAATTTGGAGGCCGGTTTCATTGGCTATACGGTATCCTAAGATGATATGCAGCCAATGAAACGTGCTCTTTGCCGAAGAGTACGCGCGGTGCACTTTAAGAAGAAGACTGATGTGTCCTCCGGCATTCTATCCGATCCCGTCGTATTCTACTCTCGTAGTTCATGTTGTAAACTTATCTCGCGAGTAGTACGAAGAATCGTGTGCTTCCAGTTACAAGAGTAAGGTGATATTCGTCGGGAAAGAATTATTTTTTTTAGTGAAAAGTCAGTGACCACGTTAAACGTCGAAATGTCTCAGCAAAGCGCGATCGTGCAAACATCCAATACTGGCACGGACATTACACCTGTGCTTGGAACTCTGCAGTCCGTAGGGCCCAACAGTCAGACCTCGCCGGTTCTGCCTAACATGCAAAGCAACGTGACCACGACAACCACCGTGCAGCCTCAAACGCAATCTCAACAAACGCAATACATATCACAGCCTTCGAAACAAGTGCAAGTACAACAACAACAATCACAATCGCAACAACCACCACCGCAACCACCACCTCCACCGCAGCCACAACAACAACAGCAACAATCATCCACTCCCAGTTCTTTCAGCGATTTTCCACAGGTGTGCAGTATTTCTATATAAATCTTATAAAGTTAAACATTTGAAGAGTTCTTTGTTACACATAACGCTGTTTGATTCTAGTTCTTGACAAAAACAAGATTGGAAGACTTGGTAAAGGAGGTAGATCCTACTGAACAATTGGATGAGGAAGTGGAAGAGATGCTGTTACAACTGGCGGATGATTTTGTGGAGACAACAGTGAATGCTGCTTGTTTATTAGCCAAGCATCGTCATGCAAATACAGTGGAGGTTAAAGATGTACAATTACACTTGGGTGAGTTATTGCTTTGTAAGAAAAATAATTTCCAACCTGTAAGGAAGTTCTATCAGGATATATGACCGTTGATTCTCTTACAAAGTAAATTATATTCTTAGTTAAAGCAAAAAACTGAACAGGAGATTTCCTTATTGTGAATAATTACTACAGGAATATTATGAGTATAAAGATACTATATTTGCATGTATATATATATATATATATATATATATATATGTATGTATGTATGTATATTTTGTATTTTAGAAAGGAATTGGAACATGTGGATCCCTGGTTTTGGTACAGATGAAGTACGTCCATATAAGCGAGCAACTGTCACCGAAGCACATAAACAAAGATTAGCGCTTATACGAAAGTCTATCAAGAAATATTAATTCCCCTTTATAAATTCCATTTAATTATTAGTTATTTACTTTTTTGAGGTTAAACGATTGTATTTTATACATTTTTCCACATCTACTGTTGCTGCTTTATAGTCCTGACTACCTTGTGATAAAAATGTTAACCTTCTCGCTACAGCGACACATTTGCCCAAAAACTGACTGGTGCGGATTATCGTTTCTTATTGATCGACTATAGTCATTCTTGATATCTAGAGAACTAAACGATATACTTTATATTCTGTATAGAAATGGTTTTCCAATGGGGATGACTTTAGTCGCTGTTTGTAGCGAAAAGATTAATCTCAGACACGTGTTTCTTTTCCGCACACATCTCGATTGTTACATATATAGTGTCATTACAATATAAAATAAAAGTACGTTTGTTATTAAAATTGCAGATATTTTTTAGATTAATTGCGGATATTTTTTACTTCTGATGTAGTATGTATATTTTTTACTTCTGATGTAGTATGTATTTCAATGCGCGATACGATTAGCAATATGTGATACTTGAGATTAAGATCACTTGTTAAGTCAATTTGTTCTTAGATCTATATAGAAATCATGTACAAAATGAGTCACGCAACAGGTGTAGCTTTAATTTCATTTAAGATAGAGAAAACATTTGCAAAAACTTTTTGCGCAGCAAAATGCAACGGCACACGAGGTCTTAAGGGAACGAAAGAAAGAGTCGAGACAATGTAGTGTTTTCTTGTGAAATACTATTTAGAAACGCAGAATATGTTGTAAATTATAGAAACGGTCTCATACAGATATCACGCGCGAAAGAATAAGCCGTAACAGCATATATCACTCACTCGCAAATATAAAGACCATACAAATATAAAGAAAATGTTCGCAAGCTGATTCGCACACAATTAGCAGGTATTAAAAATATATAATTATCTGTTCGTACGCGCGGCCTATTATATATATTATATATATACGTTTTCATGTGTTTATATATATATATATATAATTATACATATATAATTCAGACAGTACTGACACAATGTATTACCGAGCGAGTTGTTTCTTCTTAATTAATCAGTTTATTACGCTATATCGTCGGTGATGATTATTCGCTGGTTTTTGAAACGTTTCGTTCTTAATTATACGAGATTACAAGTTTCGACAAAAATGCGTTTAGAAGTCGAGACTCTTTCAACTCGCAAAAACATCGTGAAACAATTAACACGTAAACTCGAATTTACAAGGGCAGCTATTAATCGCAGTGTTGGCAGCCAAAACGATCCATCAGAACAATCCGATTTCTTTTTTAAGATTCACCTGTTTCCAGACTGGAAGCTGTTGAAATTCCTCTTTGCTCATTCCCAGTAGCTCCTAAGTCATGGAAAAGCATGTAAAATGTAATGAAGATGGAGTGAGAAATTTTCTTTTCTGTATCATATATACGGGTTCATCTTGAAAATATTTCTCAAGAAATCGCGCGTTCTGCATACGAGACTTACTTAACGTGCGTACATAAACCACGAACTGATCGGCGATACTAACTTGAAAGTGTTGCTGAGATAAGTACAGCTCCAAGCGCGTTGGATCAACTCCGTCGGGTAAAGGTCTCTGCAACAACTGAGCAGGAGGATATGTGCTTTGTGTCAGACGGGCCAGTTCATTCTCCACGGTCAATACTTCTCCTGGATTTCGGCCATCCTGGCGATAGGTTCAACGAATTTACATTGATTGAGTGACACACACGTATATCGCTTTTGTCCTTTGAAGGACAATCGCAAAAATCGTACGGCTGAAATACGGAATAAGTGGTGTGCGCGCACGTCACATACCTCTATGTTCAATTCAGCAACGTCGTCCCGATATGTCCATTCGGGGAAAAGACTGATAAATTGCAACGGCTCTAAACCAGCCCAAATTAAGTATATAGGAAGATTCGTCGTTCGGGCGCTTCGGGTGTTTCGCCAGTATCGTATCGCTGTCGTCATTACCGCCCTTCGTTCGGCCTGCCATCGGACAGTCTTGCTGCCGGATTGATCTTCCGTACCGCTGTCAGGCCACCATCCTTGCCAGATCCAAATTACATCCTTGTCATCCAATAAAAATAAGGCTGGAAATTGCGATATTTTTAATCGCGTGCCCAACTACCGCTCGAAATAACGTCTTCGAGAGAGCGCCATACCTGGTTGGCTCGCTTGATACAGGTCGTCCTGCGAGAAAGGAAACGGTGTCGCGAGGTCCGCGCGATGCGGACAGAGTATCTCCACTGCGCGAAGTGTTTTCAATATGCTTGATAAGTGGTAAAGCCTCGGTGTATGATCCTGCATCTCAGCCGTCTCCAGTGACCAATATAGTTTTTTATTTATGCCACCTAATGCTAAAGAATGCAAGGTATCGCGGATTCAGTCAAGGTTTGCAAATGATTATAATCTTGTGTTCTATCAGAAATGTGAAACTTTACGAGACATTTTATGTACATCTTTTACATCTCTGGAATACATTTTATATGTCGGAATTATATTAGAAAGTAATTTACAGGCTATCCTGCAATGAATATTTTACATTTCAATTTTCCGACCTGTGCTGATTAGGCATTGGTTGTTCATTTTCGCAAGCGAAGTTTAAATCTTTAAACTTCCCTCCACCAAAGTGCACTCACCGTTTTTAAATTCCTCCGGTTCCGAACTTTCTTGAACTTCGCATATCTGTACGTTAACTTCGCTTGATAATCCGGTTTCGTCGGGTCGGTTCTCTCTCAATTTGTTCGCAGCACTTAAAGCGTTCTACAAAAAGAGACAAGGAGAAGAACGAAAGAGAGCGAAAAGAGATGAGGCTGGGGGTGAAGAAGAGGGTAGCAGATAAAGAGGAAGTTCGAAAGACGGAAAAATAAAGAAGTAGTTAACGGGTGAGAGAAAGAACGGGAGGAAATAAATAGAAAAAAATACGAGATCTATCGCAATGTCGAATTCTATATTCGACATAGAGTTAATTGTAACATTATAGAAATTAACAGAAAATTTACCTCTCTAATGTGACGCAACGTATTATTCCCATGCCAGATGTATGCTTTCGCATTCTTAGTGTCCAGCAACACGAAGGAACCTCTGCTTCTTAATTGCCGAGTGCTGCAGGGGATTTCGTTCAGGTATGTCTCGGATTTCAAAGTACCTCGACAAATGTACAATCTCCATCGTTTCTCGCTCCTATTCTCGGATTTTTTACCGCTGTGTACTATCATCCTTCCTGAGAATAAATTTAAGAACGCAGCCGGCTCATGTCCTTCAACAACGCGAATCTGCGAATATCATATGTGATACAATATTAAGAAAGATTTTAACGAAACCGTTGGATTGACGTGTCGAGAATGTTGTGGTGGTCACTGGGTTGCACCTACCGCACAAATTGTTCATACAGTCAATAAAGAGCCAATGGGACGAGAGATTTAAGATACATGTACCTTAAATTACATTTACATACTGCCATTTTTTCTATTTCAATTATCAGTTAGGCTTTTATATAATCGATGTAAGTCAGTCGGTGTGTTAGCAATATTGCCATTTGACAACACTGAGTGGAGAGTTCTCACCTGAGGGCCTCGATCGTTGTCCAATTCGACCGTTAAAAGTGCCGCGGCACCTCGTTCGTTCAAAGACGCGTTTCGGCCCTGCCAAATGAAATACACCGACCTGTCGCGACCTTTCGCCGAATGTTTGGACGGCAGGCCACTGAGTTCTCTGCCTACTCATGTAAAGAAGAAGATACGTAGAGGCAAATGCATAATTCACGAAACAACTACTGGATCGTTTCAAAACTATAGTTTCAAGAAAAATCGAGACTACGTGTCACGAAAACTTTCCGTAATCATTCCATTATTCCCAAACCATCTCAAGTCTAGAACACTGGAAGAGGGGAGGGGAGAATAATTTTGCAGCTTATCGAGCCTGAAGATGCGAAGAAAAGGGAGCACATGCTGTTTCGTTTTACTTCAATATAAAATTCGTGGGATTTACTTACGTTACTTTTTTCCGCGGGTACAATAATGCGTCTGCAATGCGCAATTGTACTTCTTCGAAACGAAACTATGTTTTTTTTTTTTACATAAATAGGTTCCTTTCGTCATTCTACGTGTAAAAGCATTAATATTAAGTATTAAAATATTTAAGCCATCATAGAAGTCAATACTTTTATAAGATATGGATTTACGATGGTTTGGAAATAAACCTTTCGACTTTCGCGAAGCCGACCCAATAGAGGGACTCACCGGTGATCGTGACGGAATACGTCCATTGAACGATATAACTGTCACCAGAATGGAACTGGCCGATGGACGATCCGTCTAAAAGCGTGTGCGAAAATTCGTCGATATGCCATACCATTACGCTGGTCGTAGTGACGACATATTCCTTTTTCAACTGAAATCAAGCAAAGTCACCGTTTAGCTCAAACTTCTAGTTTCAATTGCAATTTATCAGAGGCAGGAAAAAAGAGGTCCTGCTACATATATACGTATATTTGATCGTGAAATTACCTCGCTATCGTAACAACCAATACCTCTGCCCAGGTGACAGCCCTCCAGTACAAAATCGACCGGGGTGTCATTCGGCAGCCACATCTCGTCGTTATCGTCCAGCTGCACGATCGCAGCGCCGTCGATCTGTCGCACGTCGTCCTTCCTGCCGCGCGCCTTGATCACATTGGTGCTATTAGGCCAGTCGAGGAACTTCTCCCGGAAGAGTATTGTCTCGACATGTTGCGTCAACTTGGCGAGCAGACACCACTCGGGCCTGCTCTTGGCAGATTTGACGGCCGTGGGCGAATCACCGCGCCGGCCACCGAGCATGCGGGCCGCATTAATGGGGCAAATCGTACATTCAGCGTAATCGTATCCGTCCTTCCAAATCTCCGTAACGAGCTGAGTGGCCAGCTTCTTCTTGTCTGTCGAGACTCCCTTGCCGCTCCAGATGTACATCTCCGTGCCGAAGTCAAATACCAGGATCTTCGTAAAGAGATAAAGTGTTATACTTCTCGCTCTGTGGTGCGGCGCAATCGGACGCGTACAAAAATCTATACTAATAATCAGAACTGGGTCAATTAATCTAAGTTAAAATATAATTATGCAAAACTATATATATATATATATATATAAACCCTAAACATATATATATATAAACCCTAAACATAGTTATGTTTAGGTAACTTTGAACTTAACCAAGTTAATTGTATAGGTCATTAACTTTTAATTTAATTTAAAAAAGAAGTTAATTCACCCAATCTTGCTAATAATCGGAACTCGGGGTTAGTTTAACGTGAAAGACTGATTTATCACGATTATCCGGCAGATAACGTGCGTCATTACAACGATAACGTGCATCAAACATTTGTATCTTCCCACAAAATTAAAAATATCATATCGCTACAACAGTCGCAGTTAGATTCTTAAAAACCTGTTCTATCTTTCCTTAATTTGTAACTTACCGAGCCGATGTAAATATAAAAATCTACATATTTTTTTGCAAATACATAATTTTGTACTAAACAAGCATCTGTTTCGGGGCCCCAAACTTGGGCTACCGCAAAAATTCAAAACGGCCTTCCTGCAGATAATAAATTCAAAGTTACCTTGTTTTGGTCGAGCATTTCTATTTTCGGCAGTGTACCCCAAAACTTCTCGTGAGGTATCAGCTGTTTATCCTTCAATTCGTACACCATATTCGTGTCGATAATAGCGGACTCGTACAATTCATCTTCGTCAGGATGACCAGCCTCGACAACTGCGGCATCAATGAATATCACATTACAATAATTTTGCGTAGGTCAAATTAATTTTATATAAATTTTAACGATCTTTCTCCCCTTGCTCAATGTATTCCATTATCAGAAACATTCTCGTACGTTTTCACACACAGATAATCTCTGTTGGAATATATAAAAATCAAGAGAAATTTACTGAGATGCTGATACAAGCCTGCAAGTAGATAACGCACCATTTAGCTCCTCACTGTCGAGCACACCGAGATAGCTCCAAAACTTTTGCACCTGATTCCTCGTGCACGTTGGTTTATCCTCGTGTATGGTGATAACTTGGTCCGCCTGACAGCCTAAATCCTTCTTCTGTAGGATACACGATGCGATCTCGGCGGCATGAGTTCTTTCAATGATATTGCTATATTTCCCTATATAGTTGAAAACCTGCGATTTGTCGGGAGTGAATTTTATCAGCGACGAACAACAAGCAGAGAGGAGCAGTGAGTAAAAAATACGAGCGTACGTATTCCGGCTCGTAATGCCGAACGGACATTTCTCGTCGCCTCGCTCGATCGTTGAGAGAACGAAGGCCAGATAATGTACTTTATTCTCTGTTAGCTCTACCTGTATAATCAATTATTACCTCTGATCTCGTCACCAGTATATAATTATCACCGCTATTGATGCACTCGGCGACAGGCTCGACTAGTCTGGCTTGAACATGCCGTCTCCCTTTAACCAATATCAGCATTAAATCTTTGAATGGTTGCAGCTTATTCGTGGACACACTCGTCTCTGTCACATTTCTCAAAGTCACTGCGCTAAAATCTTCGGTGGACGCCAAGCCGGCGAGAGCTTCGACAGCAAAAGACGAGCTCTTAGCGACTGGAACATCGTTTGAGAATTTAAGTTTTAATCGCAACTCGAAATGGATGAAGTCTCTGCTGGTGACGGAGAAACTTGATTGTTTTCGCACTGGGATAAAACATGGAAATAAAATGAGAAAAGACACACAAGATATCCGCAAAGTTCCAAGCTAAATTTATATATGTGTGTTAATGATATTGAGTAGGTGAAAAAGTTCATATAAACTTATGCCCGAAAATGCTTTATTAAACGTTCCAAGATTTATAAGCAGAATTGTTCTCCATAACTCTTTATACGTAATCGCTGGCTCAGAACAGTTGACTACACGTCTTGATCTGTACACAGATTTTATCAGTTGTTATATTGTTGTTTATAATTTCTTAATAAAGCATTTTCGGACATAAGCTTATATTGAACAATTTCACCTACCCAACTTCTTTAACACATTGTATAAATTTGACTCCGACTTTTGCAGACACTCTGTATATATTGTACAAAAGTTTGCCCCGTTTTTTTATCAGTCGCTTCTTCGCTTCGAACTTCCACGAGCGCAGGAGCATACGGTATCGGAGAGAAGTCATCGAACAAAATGGCGCGTACTTGTTTAATTGTATTTTAAAATAAATAAATATCACGTACACATTTTAATGAAAAAAACGGGACAAACTTGCGCACCAACCAATACAATACACGCTCTAATATGTCCTAATTAGTTGATTTCTTCTTTCGGCCTTATTTTTCATATGAAGACTATATTTGTACATAATATCGTATTCGCGGTGTGAAAACTATCAGATTTTCGCCGTCGTACCCTGCATAATGGCAAGTCTTCTCTCACTCACGTTTCTCTACGTTTACGCTCTTGATCGTTCTCGCGGCTATATTCGTGCGAAATTCGGTGTATTCCGATCTTAAGTCGGTACGCGCCGCGAGAGCTCTGAGAGGGTTTCTCGAGGTGACCCGTCTGCGTTGTATTCGTATGTTCCGCTTTTGCGCTAATCTGTCGAGAAAATGGTCCGAGCTGTAGTCACAATTACACATACATACCAATGCGTTTCGAGAAACGGTTTCTCCGAGAGTCCGTTACTTTCTCTCTTATAAGTTTCTTTTTCTTAATTTTTTACTCATTCTTAAGCGAGCGATATGTAAAAAAGCGAGAATTTACAATTCGGACTGCGGTGCAATTATATCGAAGTCGGTTTCGTGTAAATCAAGACACTCGGTTTCGCACTTTTCCAGCGACACACCGCTAAAGAAAGAGGTGAAGGTTTCGTCGTCAGTTTTAGGTACTGAAACAGTCGGCGACATGACATGCTCCGTTTTACATTCTTCACCTATAAAGTTATAATAAAGTAAGTTCACTAGAAATAAAAGAGTCCCTCGCGCGTCGTATCAAAGAGGAAGATTAGGACGAGCTATCACACGCGCTGTCCCAGATCGTACGCATCACGCGAGCGATATCACATGTTTCGCGCGTTATTTCCATCAGCGTTCTGGGACAGTTCGCGGATCCTCGAATTTCGGATGGAAGAAGCGTTACGCGATTTTCAGCAAATATACCAACCGCTGTCGTCGCTAACGGGCTCAGAGTAGCTCATGCGCATGGCGGAGGGCAAATCTTTGCACGGACTGGTAGGTGTCGATACCGCGCCATTTACACATCCTGAAAGAACATCTCTGAATTTTCGAAAAGACGATATCTAAGACGTCCTCTGCAATACGTGCCTACGAGAAGAAGCCGCTCACCTTTATCCTTTCTCGCTTTGAACCGCTGCGGCACTCTCTTCTTCTGGTTAAGAACGTTCGTCGCGAGTTCGGTGAAGAGCGGCGAGCCACCGGCGTCGTTCGGTCGCGCGCCCATTTTGCCGGCGACGGTGAAGTTAACCGCGTCGGCCGCGACTATCCTCCTCCTCCAGCCCTCCGCGGCGGACTCGAGTTTGCCGATGCAGTCCGCCAGCACGCCCGACTTGATCGCAGTGCTCTCCTCCGAGCCGAGGAGGTCGCGCGCACTTTCGTCGACGTTGGCCACGCGTCGCCGCCAATTCGTGCTGCCGCTGTGATGGAGCGCGGCCAGCCGGTCGGCGATGCTGACGCTCGGCGTCTCGCTCGTCTCGATCGACGCGATCACCTGCGTGGCGCTGCGGCACAGCCCTGGCAGGGGGAAGCCGCGCACCCGTTGCTTTCGCTTCTCCTCCTCGAAGGCGTGTTGACTGACGCTCTTGGCCAACGAGTTGCCGGTATACCGCGGTTTCTCCTCGCTGATGATGATGTTGTGTATCTCGTGGCCGCCGGAGGAGGATGACGCGCGGTCGTCCTCCTCCTCGTCGTCGTAGTACGACGCTCGGCCGATCTTATCCACGGACGAGTCGTCGCGCCACTTGCAGTCGTCGACAACGTCGTCCGGCGACGCGTCGTCGCAGGACCGGTGTAAAGCGCACCGCACGATACTGGCGGAGCTCTCTGATTTCGCAGCAGCGTCGGGATTTTGGCTCTCGACGAGACGCACGTCTCCCTCGCTTCTCGATGCCACCGAGTCGGCGCTCTGAAGTCTCGAGTGGAGATTGCTCTTTAGAATAGAACGCGGATACGCCTCGGCGGAACTCGGCAGTGTCGTCGTTGTCGTCTGTTGCTCCATCGACTCCTCGCATTCTCTCTTGAGCACCGACTTGATCAATTTCATACCTCGTAATTCCGGGCTCTTGGCACGCGATAGATTATGCGTTTGACCGGCGGAGCTCTTGAGAATACCTTTCGGCACATCGGGATGAGACGCAGCGGCGAGCAACGGCGCGTAAAGCGGCCTCTGACACTCTTGCGAATATTCTGCAACACGAATCAACTTGTGCGAAATTAACCAACGACAAGAGGATGATGGGATCAATCTCGAATAGTACGATTATGAATTTTTTGGTTGCTCGACCATTTAAAAAAAAATCTCATTTTTTTATCAGTTATCACCCCTATACGTCAACATTTTTATTTTTACTCGCTTCCTTTTAAAAATGGCGGCCATCTGAAAACACGACAGATAATAATTTTGATCCCAAAGTATCAATCAACTCTGTTCATTGATTTTGTCGCATAATTCTTGAGTAAGTGAAAAAATGGGGCCAATAACAACTGATATTAGTTGTTGGTTGCCAAGGGAGAAAAAGAAAAATTACTTAACTTGGAAGATGAAGAAATATAAACGTTTCGGTTCGTAGTTTCCGATTCCCATCGGTGTGAACGACTGACTACCAGTAACTAGCGTCGGTTCTTATTGACTTCATTTTTTATTCACTCAAAGATTGCATATCCCAAGAGCCTAATCTATATCTTTCTTTCTGTATTTATTTTGTCTTGATATCCATGAGACCGTTTGAATTTGTTGATTGAATTCTGACGCTTGGAATGACCTTACATCTTGTCATTTTCTCCGACTACTCATTTTATCGAGGGAATGTTATTGAAAAATTTACTTCCGTTTCACTCCCGGTACATGACCACCGTCCAATTAGCGACACATTTCCATTACTTCGTTTACCCTGCTGCGAATATAATTCTGTAGAATGTTCAGTAATTCACTGAAGAGGGCCAGCAATTGATCGAAACGTTTGTTATGGCCTCCTTGGCCAACTTTTATTTTACATTGAATATAATTTTATATCCATTCATACGCGATTAGTTTGATCTTATCACTGTATACTCAAGGATTGTTTTCTTTTCTCCCGTGGAGATGAAGATTACGATCTACTTGGAATTTCCAGCTAGGCGATTCCGAGCGATACTCCGAAAATAGCCCAACTTACCATCGACCGAGGTTTGCGATTGGTAATTCGCATTCAGGGGTGACACGCGAGACGCCACTTCCACTTCCTCCGACGTGATCGGCTGTGTTTTGTAGCGAGTAGCCGGCCGTCTCCTCTGCGGCAGCCTTTCCGCGTCGGCGGTCGAGATCTTCCGGTCGAAGAGCCGCACGCGCTCGGCCAAGCTCAGCTTGGACGGCTCGTCGCAGGGCGACGCGTCCGTGGCGCTCAACGCCGCGGCGTTGCGCTGATTCTGCAGGACCGCCTCGCGCACCTCCTCGAAAGTCACCGGCTGCGTGTTAAAACGCTCACCACTCAGCACCTTGCGCTCGCGGTAGCGTTGCACACCGTGTGACGGTCGCTGCAAGGTTACGCGCTGCGGACTGCTCTCCGCCGCGACGATCTTCTCCTGCAGGGCCTTGAAGTGTTGCGTCATTCTCGACACGCTGTTGCTACGACGAACGTGACGATCCTCTCGCGGCGCCTCCTCCTGCTGCTCGTCCCTCCTCGCGACGGCCTCGTCGGTGAGAAGCGCCGCGTCGAAATGTATACGCGAGTCCGCCTTGCTCTTCTCCTCCATGTCGTCCGTCGTCTGCTTCGCTTTACCGGGCTCTTTGATCACAACGGAACTGGAAAGCACACGCGTGACACTAATAATTGATATCTACACCTGATTAAATCGGCAATATTTGCCGAGCGTGGAGGGGAGCCGCGTACGGAGGAGCGTCGTTTATTCACAGATTTGCGTCGCCGACAATACACGCGAGCACGATTATCTTCAATTTCTGGTGGCTTTCGCTAGATGGTCTATTATTAAACTTGGCACGGTATCAAAGCCCCACTGAACTCGCGTATCGCTGCGGCAATTGCAAAAGGTTGTTGATCAGATGTTGCGCGAATAAAATTCTCTCTCCGTTTGAGAATGTTTTTTCGGATATCTCTCTCGGAAATTAACGCCTAAAAGAGAATATATATCTATTACGTACCTATTCGAGATGACGGATCGGTGGGGCGCGCGCAAAACGTCGCTCGGCGAACTGGACTCGAGGGACCTTCGCTTGGCCAGCGCGCGAAACGACTCGACGTAGTCGCCGGTACGCGCGTGTCCCACCGACTGCGCTCGCTTGCGCAGGAACAGGTCCGCCGCGTCGTCGTGATGCCGGCTGCCGGCTGACTGCTTCAGTATAGGCCGCACGTTCTCGATCGGCCGGTTCTTCAGCGCGGACAGCTTCCTCGGCGAGGTCGACTCCGCCTCGCCGGCCTCCTCGTACGAGTTCTTCCGCGAGGACTTGAGGATCGTCTTCTTCGGCCTGTCGTGCTCGTGCTCGTCCGACTCGGTGCTGGATTTCTTCTTCAGTATCGGCCGCGGCTCGAGGGACGGGACGTCGTTGCCGGCGAGCTCCTCCCTGCCGTGCTTCTTCTTCAGTATCGGCCGCACTTCCGACCCCTCGGCGCCGTCGGGAAGCAGACACGCGCTCGCGCTGCCAACATCCGGCGCGATGGTCACGTGATGATTCACGCTGTTGGCGCGCACGCTGTTGGCGAGCTTGCGCTTCAGGATGCTCTGCGGCTCCGGGGAGGCTAACAGCGACCGATGCACCTCCCGATCGTCCTCCCTGGACGACTTGCGCTTCAGTATCGACGTCGGCTGCTGATCCGGGCTCTGATCTCTCTTCACGATCTCGTCCAGGGACGATCGCCTTTGGTTCTTCAGAATCGGCCGGAACTCCGAGTAGGTGCTGTCGACGAAGGAGACGTCCGGGGAACAGCTACGGCGACGCAGTATCTCGCTCTCGTCCAGGCTGCTACGTTTCTTCAGGATGCCGTGTCTCTTGCGCGAGACGGACTCTGTCACAGACGGCGAGAACGTAACCGGCGACGGCGCGTGGGGAGAAGCGCCGCTCGACGCTTGACGCTCGCACCCTTCGCCGTCGGCCGTCTTGTGCTTGAGAATCGAGACCGGCGTGTGCCTCGAGGCGGCGCACTTTCTCGGTGACGTCTTCTCGCTTGAATTGCTCGCCGCCGCCGCTGTCGCGGACGCGAGTCTCTCCACGCGTTCCATCGTGATTCGCGTCAGCGCCGTCAATGCGTCCACTCGACGCGACACCTCCGAGTCGCTTATACTGCAAGAGCGATCGTTACATCCTCGTCAATTGTAACATTTGTTATGTCGATTGTACCTGGGTTGATGTGAAATCGAGCGTTTGCCACTACTCGCGGCAGCCACTACGGAGGATGATGAACAAGTTTTCGAGAGATTCTTCGCGGTGCCGCACTGAGCTACTTTCGAGTCGTTGTGTTTTTTACGCGGGCTCGCGACTTGGCGATTACCGCAGGAGTCGGCGGGACCCGAGGCAGTTTCGGTCACCTGACCTCGTCTGACGGATTGCCTTCTGGAGCGTCTCTCGCTAGACTCGGCTGAAAATCGCATCGTGCCGTTGAGAAATTGCGCACTGGCAATCTTACGAACGCTTCCGTTCAAACCCGGCCGACATTATTAGAAGCAACGGTTTCTATATCGAACGTAAACTTCTTACTTTCACTTAAACGATCGACAGGCGCTGCCTCCGTGTGACGTGACCTGTTTAAATAAGATTTGCGTTTGTAGCTCTTATCTCTCTCCTTGACAGGATTCATGGTGACGCCACCGTTTAAGGATGTGGAAGTTTCCTGTGCGTATAAATATACATTAGTTTCTGCATATGCGTCAGGATAGGAATAAAACAGATACGTGCTTGATATCTTTGTCGCGAATTCAAACCTGCTTTTCTCAGTTTGAAGTTACTGTTTGTTTTTAAGGTATTTTTCAGATCGTTCGATGTTAATTCAATTTTCCGAGTATTTCGGCTGCTACACGCCGGAACACTTGTGAACGTTTTCTCAGAATTAATAAAAAAATCAATCTTATAATTCGTCAATATACTGTAAGTCGCAAGAATATAAAAATCCCCGATTTTAACTCTCCAAAGAAAAAATTACCTCAAAACTCGAATTATGTATCTCTGATTGCAAATACTCACTTCCTTAACTGATGAATTGAACTTCTGAGAGCCGGTAATTTCTGAACCAAGTATTCTTTTCGACGCTAATGTTGCACCTGATTTGTAAAAGAAAATAATCCATCCGCTTCAATGAATTAGTTATCTCATTAAAGTACCTATATAAGATTGACGTGCACAATATATATAATGGGATAAATGTAATAAAAACATATATTGCGTCAAAAAAGTAATGTCAAGCTTTATATGAAATATTTATAAGTATGAGAGAAAAATATGGAACATCCAATATAGATATAATTAACTAACATTAATTAGTTAATCCATTCAATAAGAATATTGTATTATTATAGTACATATACATCCACTGGAAGTACAAGCACAAATACGTCAGTAATAAATATGTAATTTATATATACACACGGAGCAAATATATTTCGAGAAATCTGAGATATTTCATTTTAAATAGAGATAATAGTTAAAATATCAATTATAGAAACCAGAGAATGGTCAGAAATATACTACATTTTCTACACAATAGAATGTCTAACTTAAGAAATAACGTATCGACATAACGTATCGACATAAAATCACACATATAAAATCACAATATAAAAAGTTGATTTGTAGTATTTGCTTACCACTGGGTAATACTATGGAAGCAGCCCGTAATCTAGAAGTTCTGGTCTCACGAATCTGAGCAGTCTTATGAACTGCCAAAAGTTTAGAGCTCTCTTTCGGCTCTACTTTGGATATTATTTTACCATTCTTTTCAGTCGTAAGGCTACAATGTTTCTTTTCTGCTGTGATAGAAATATATAATTTGATCTCTGTCTTAATGCTCAAAGTTTAAGCAAGTAAAACTATGCACTTAAAACTAGCCATTTTTATCTAAAGTATTATAATTACTAATAATCCCTTCCCTGTAATATTATCTTTTAGCCTACTAGGTCTATCATCTTTCAATCATTGTCAAGTTAGCGCTCAATGACTTATGTATGATACAAAGCGTTAAAATACAAAATTGATTAAATAACATTGCTTATCTTTTGTATTTTACAAATAAACTCAATATATAAACAAAATCCTTAAAACTTACTAATATTCGAGGAACAAGTTGCTACATCTGCTTTAGCTGACGTTTCGATATTTCTTTGACCACAACGCTGTATACCATATTGCGAACAAGAGCCCCGGTTTACTGGATGTGTTGTACCACTTTCTGTCTCATTGGACGAATTCTCCTCACTAGCTGCCATCAAAATTGTGGCTCCGGCAGCTACCATCACTGAAAGTGTTATACATTGTATTAAATCGTCTATAAATAAATGTCTGCATATTTCTGGCAAGCATATTAAAATCTAGCTGCCGCGGCAATCTGGGGAAAGCATTGAAATTTATTAGCTGTTTACTCATCAGTTTCAAGGTAAGCAACGTACACCGCGATCCAAACATATGTGTCACCGACATAAAATTTTGAAGCGGACGATAAAAAGATTGTTGCTTCTCATTGAAGACATAAGGTTTCTGGGCGTTCAAGGTAAACACTGTAACTCGGTATACTCACTTAATGCGAATTACTGCGAGCTTTTCAATGACGCGGCCATAATTTCACCTTCGAGAGGTCTTGGACGAATTCGTCTTGGATAATCGGGGAACGTAGTCGATGGTACGTGTTACTTACGAGAGCACGTTATCACAGCTACTTAATAAGTACTACGTATAAAACACCGAAACAACTCGCGAAACGATCGGCCATGCAATCTGTACATCAAGTGACGCGAGACATTGACAGCATTTTGCACCGAGAAAGGAAATTAACGATTAAACAAAAGGAAACAATTTCGTTGAATGAACCATGGTGTCCTGACGAACTGATTGTGTCAATGGGCGCGTTCGGCGGAGAAAACTGTTGAGTTGTCGGCTCTCGTGTACACTAGACGTCATTGATGCTTTCCGATTCCGGTTACCCGGCATTTCCGGATCGGATATATCGCGTCTAGGTACTACTCGTATACCATGATTCTCAGTTAACCCTTTCGGTACATTTGACGAGTGAGACTCGTCATCTGTTTACTTGGGCATAAAATGTATTACTTTTACATATTAATCCATATAGCGACAAATTAAATCCGTCCCATGGGCATAAAAATCTTAAAATAATTCAGTACTCAAAGGGTTAATTCGCTCGGAATCATTCCTTTCATCGGTTAATTTAACATCGTTTTAACCTGTTATTTACCTTTCACTTTTACATTTTACCCTTTGCACATGTTTTAAACATGATCAACAAACTAACAAACACTCTCTCTAGAGACGATGCACTCGACCCGGGAATGCCTCAGCAGCGATTGGAAAGTGTTGCCAGAAGGACTAGGTTTTAAATTTTACCGTGTGTTTTCAATATCCGACAGCAGAATTTGTCCTTTCGTGGTCCTCGAGGAATTAATTTTCCCATTGTGTCCGAGCCAAAGTCCCAGTAATCTCTGCCCACGTTTGAACTTGCCGCGTCGTAGTTCCTATCTTCTCTCAGATCACTCAAGTCCAAAGCGACGTCCCGATTGGTTGTTCAGCCGAGTTTCCGCTCGCGTCGTTGATTCGCTGACGCAAAGGAGGCCCCTAGGGAATCCAAACGTTTCGATTGCCGGCGAGCGGAGCGCGGCGCGATAGTTGGACTTTTCGCAGCCATTGGTAGCCATAGCAACCGCGAATTATGGCCGCTCGATTAATAGTTTGCTGCTGAATGACAGCCACGCATAAAGATAATTAAATACGTGGCGTCTCGAAAAATAGTCTCTGCCTTTTTATTGCGTGAGTACAATCTCGATTCTTCTTTGTACGTAGCGCACTGCGAGTGACGGGAAGAGATTCGGAGAAATTCAGGTTCCGTCCGTTCGACGAAGTCACGACTCAGCTTTCTTGTCGCATCCGTTCGGGTTTGATATCGCTCGCGTCCCGGCAAATCGGCAAATCGCACACTCCGATTTCGCGATGGATACCGAGAGCGGAGAAATATTCGTTCGCAGCAAGTCGAACGGCGAGAAAGCTGAAGCCGGGGAACGAAAACTAGCAATTCGCGTAGGAACGTGTCGTACGCTTTAAATTCTCCGTCGTAGTTTCTCATGATACGTATCTCTCTTCCAAAAATTTAAATCTTGAGTCTCGCGGATACTCTCCAGTAGCGCGCGCACACGAATATAATATAATTGTTCAGGCAATTTTGCGCGAAACGATCGGCGGCGGCAGCGGTGGAGAAAAGCACGATCAGTTCGAGAAAATCTATATTCTTGCATGTTGACCCGCACAAAGATTGCTTGCGTGCGACCGTAAGAAAATGCTAATTCCGACATGACACAGATATATATTCCCATGTATATATAAACGGTGTTCTAGATCGCGTTTACAAGCGTCCTCGCTCCTCGCAGTCGCAGATTCTATGGTATTAACGTAATACGCGTCGAACGCTTCGGGCGATTCGCGCGATTCTCCAGGCAAGTTCAACGTTTCGCAAGCACAACGTGGTGCGATGTACACACACGTCGGCACACTCTTGTCTTAAATAACTCATCGATCGCGACTGTGCGAGCACTTGGCATTAAAATATCGCGAGTTCGTGCGACAGTTCCGCGGACGTGTCTTTAACACAGTATCGGAGAGTTCAGATCGACGCGCTTGTAAAGAAAATTGTCTTGCCATCTTGTCGGCGATTTACAATCTTATGCCGGAGTATCAAATATTCATTCCACCGCTATAGAGTCAATACTCCTGGCACGACTCACACTAGATTATATACCGTGACAAAGCTTTATTACATGACTCATAAACCATGCTTACGTGCGCAGGTGTTTGAGCTTCTACCTAAGGACTTAAGTATTTCCTGTGCGGTAAATACATGCGACGAGCGAGTATTCGCTCGATCCTCTTCAGGAAAGAAGAGAAATTGAAATTTTTGCTCGGAATTGTACGAATTTCAAAATTTCCAACTCACGTGCTCCCAAGTCGTACCTGGTGGGGGACTTGAAATAGGACACTTTGTATACACGTCACATGTTCCGGAATATATTGCGCATAGAGTCGAAGAGCGTTTCGATTCGTCCCGGAATAGGTAGCCGTTCATTATTCATCTGATCGGATATCTTTGATTTGTATGATTGCAGCAAGTGCGAAGAGTATGACACGCTGCCGATTTCGGTGGCGTGCGAGCGCATGTTTGGTGTAATGTTCGTGGCTGTTACATGAGGAGAAGTGACACGCGAAAATTTCCAAGTGATCGAGCGTGAGTGAATGAAAAATGAATCGATACATCACGTTGAATCAGTTGGGCGACGGGACCTTTGGTTCCGTCGTTCTCGGGGAACGTATCGATACCGGTGAGAAGGTCGCTATAAAAAGAATGAAGAGAAAGTATTATTCCTGGGAAGAGGCTATGAATTTACGAGAAGTAAAGGTAATAAATCGATTGAGAGGGTAAAAGGAACGGAAAGAGAAGGAGAGCGATGAAAGAAAAAAGCGCTATATTCAAGTAAATATTTGCTGAGGAGTAGTGGAGTAATCATTTCACTGGGATTAAATCAATATTACTTTAATACAGCATTTTTTTCTTTCAGTGTACGAGGTGTCTTATTTACATACAGAGCAGTATGTCGGATTGCCGCTACAGGAGTGCACGTGAGAGAAAGACAGAGAAAAAGAGCACCATATGAACTTGGGACCCTTTGTCTTTCTCTTTTACTCTCATGTGTGCCCCTGTATCCGGCATACTGCTCTACATGTAAGTGAGACATCCTGTACATTTTTTTGAATGGAAACAAGTTTTTCTAAAGCAGGTGATATATTCTTTTTAGCTGAACTGGCTGCACTAGTTTAAGAAATTTATGCACACTGAAGCATGAAAATCTCACATGTACGCATACACTTCAATATGTATATACATTTCTTGAATCAGTGTAGCCAATTCAGTTAAAAAGAATAAACCAATATTGTAAACCGTATGCTTATTTCTGTGCATTTTGGCTAATTAAAACCCGCTTCAAACTTTTTACTTAAAAATTTTAATTGGTCTTAGAGGAAGTTAAAGAAAAAATTAGCGACCCGCAATGCATTAATACACTCGGTATCGCGGTGATCATCTCTTTCGTTGCAGTCACTGAAGAAGCTCAGTCACGCGAACGTTGTGAAGCTTAAAGAAGTTATACGGGAAAACGATGTGCTGTACTTCGTTTTCGAGTACATGAAAGAGAACCTCTATCAACTAATGAAGGATAGGTATACTTTCGCCATCGTTCTCATAGCACAGACGTTTCTGTTGAATTATCCTCACCGTTACTCTAATTGCAGGGACAAATTATTTCCCGAACCGGTGATAAGGAACATGGTGTACCAAGTACTGCAAGGTCTCGCTTTTATGCACAAACACGGTTTCTTTCACCGTGACATGAAGCCGGAAAATTTGCTATGTATGGGGCCCGAATTGGTAAAGATCGCCGATTTCGGCCTGGCGAGAGAGATTCGTTCGAGACCTCCGTATACGGACTACGTGTCGACCAGATGGTAATAATTTTGACGTCTGAAGAAATCAAAGCTATAGGCCTAATTCATTGTTGCACAAAAATTAGAGTTAAAGTTGAGAATTAAAATTCAAAGGGGTGTTTCTTCGATGTATCCTAATTTTTGCCGAGCAATTCACAACAGCTGAACGTATCTCTTCGCGGAAGCACCAAATTTTCACCGAATTAATCCGGTTTTATCCATTTAACCGATCTTTACAGGTATCGCGCACCAGAAGTATTGCTGCACTCCACGACTTACAACAGTCCGATTGACATTTGGGCAGTCGGCTGCATAATGGCCGAGCTATACACGTTCAGACCGCTGTTCCCAGGCAAAAGCGAGATCGATGAAATATTTAAGATATGCTCCGTGATCGGGACACCCGACAAGGACGACTGGCCGGAGGGTTACCAATTGGCCGCGGCTATGAATTTCAAGTTTCCAAATTTCACACGCACGTCGTTGGGCGTTTTGATTCCGAACGCCGGTCAAGAGGCGGTTATACTCATGGAGGATATGTTGCAGTGGAATCCCATCAAGAGACCGACGGCTCAACAGTCGCTCAGGTATTGTCAAGAAGAGAACATTTATGCACATCCCAAACAGCATAAGATGTCCCAGGATGCCCCGAAGAATGTATCAGGGCCCTCTAAAGACGTCCAGGACGACCTCGGGACAACCTGTTTGGGACGACTTTCGCACTTCTTCCTTGAGACATTCCTCGCTGAAAATTCGAACAAAATTCTCGAATGATTCTCGAACAAAGTTGACTTCTTTCCAGATATCCGTATTTTCAAGTCGGCGATCCGCGTATAATTAGCAGCAAAAAGATCGGCGTAACTTCGCAACGAGAGCTCGCCATGAACAAAATCAATCTTCCGCCACCCGTATCAAAGCAGTACAATTATTCTCAGCAGGACTTCGTTAATAGCCTGGTTCAGTCGAGGTAAGTTTCTCTCAACCGCATCTCAGAATTACAGGTAAAGATTTGATCGCGTGGCATCGATATATAAAGCACATTTCATTCCGTGACATTTAAAGCTCGGTCTGCTTCGCGATCACGTTATCGATTGCACCCGACTCGACAATCCTGGCGCCTGTTATTTGTTGCAGAGCCCCCGAAAAAATGGTCGTCCAGTCGCAACAGCCGGCGGCTTTGCCGTTACTGAGTCACAGCGATCAGAACAAGCACGAAAGCGACAACACCGCGAAGTGGGAAGAGGACGAATTCGCAGATCTTTTGGGGTACGTCACGCGCGATTATCCCGGCAGAGAAACTTTCTCTGATCTTTTAATCTTCCGATTGTCCGCGTCAGGGGCAAGATCTTGCCGGAGAACCCGAGCGCGATGCTCGTACCCGATCGGCTGTACAAGGAGAACCATGCCAATTGGAACCACGCCAATTACCAGCCGCCCGATAACCTGAAACATGGCAACACGAACTGGTCGTTACCGGTGTGGAAGGAGCCACCGTCGAGGATGTGGAACAATCAGTCGAATCAGTCGAACCAGATGAAGAGCTCGCGCAAGGTCTCGGCGAAGCAGCACTACCTCAGTGTGGCTCGGTACGTCGCAGGCCAGAGCACAAATTTACCGTCCAGGTATAGAAAGTTCCGAAATCTACTACAAAGAGTCGCGTGCGCCGCGTTGTCGGTGACAGCCGTCTGTCTTCTGGCGCGCTCTCACGTAGGACAGAATGTGTTTCCCGGAGTGTCGACGAAACCGCTCGCGCCGCTCTGCGGAAACGGACGGGCGGAGCGAATCTGTTACCGCTCGCCGAGCGTGATTCTCGACAGTTTCGCGCTTTTCGCTTTGGCGAGCGTCGCCCGAGCACTGGCGGTCGTGCTGTCGAGAATCGCGTCTTCGTCGCGCATCCTTTCCGACGTTCTCGATCTCGTCGGATCGTTGCTTCGCGGAATCTCCCTTGACCTCGCGTGTCTCCCTTGTAAGGGGCTCGTTCAAACGACGACGGATGCGCACTTCGAATGTTTCTGCGAATGAACTCTCTGAATTCTACGAATGAATTGTAAACCCCAAAGTGTGCAATAAATCGATGCGCGTCTCCACCAATATGTCGCCACGGCTTCCCTTAATTGCGCGTCGTCTACCGTTTTAACGCTTTTATTTATTCATTGATTTTTCAAGAAACGGCGATCCCGATATCAATCGGTCGAGACTGCTGTTGAACGGGCTGATTGGCCAGGCGGGGTCCAACAAGTACGATGACTTTACCGAGTCCTTCTGGGCGCCTAGGGACAGTATCGAGAATCAAACGAGACAGCACTATCTCGCGCGAAATCGTTATATCGCCGAGCAAAGCTTGAGATTACCTTACTCCAGCGTGTACGGTACCCAAAGTATTAGTAAGTACTCGCAGTATCGGTCGTATTCTTGCTCCAAAATTGAAATTCTCATTCCACCGGCCGAAAGAGAAGGAAGGTTTGCTCTTGGTCTTAGGTAGAACAGAAAATTATGATAAACAGATAATAAAAGGATAAATAAATAAAATGTCAAAATGACATTAAAATCGACGAGAAAGCGATCGAATTGTGGTCGAAGAGTGAGTTATTATAGTCAATTATTTCATCATTTTTCGACGTCATTATGATTTTTTCTTCTACCTGGGACGGCACTTTGAGTACATCCAGGATGTCTTGTGTCGTCTGAATATGTAATTGCGTGCTGTAGCTAGAGAAAGACCAGAGAATCGTGCTGTGTCGTTTGCAGCCATTTAACGCGGATTTTTTCTTCCCGACAGAAGCTACCAATAAACCGGCCTTTCAACCGAATTTGTTTGGAAACGTCCTCCACACGAAAATCAGCGGCGGACCTCACGGTCGGACGGACTGGGCAGCCAAGTACCTCAAATGACCGTTATAGGGAAGAACCGTTCTTCTCATCACCGCTTAACGATCCGTCATCGTGCCTATTCTCTTAGAGAGACGATTCTCTTAACTGTGATAGAACGATCGCTGTCGTTCCACTCGGACGCGCAGAAACGCGCAAAGGAAGAACGCGTTTCGCTTCCGCGCTACGGTTTTGCGAAAGTAACGTCGTAACCGAGTTTTAGATTAGAACAGGCAGCGAGACATTTCGTGACAAAGCGAAAGGCGGTATCGCCGATGCTGTTGACAAGTACTCTCTGTGCCGCAAATATATCACATCATTCCATACGACCGCGACTCGGGGGCCGAGTATGTAGATTTCTCTTCTGTAAGTCGTCCATGTTTGGTCTATGAGAGAGAGATAGAGAAATGTAATTATACGAAGAACGAGTGGCTTGGGACGCGATATGATACGCAATTATATAAGATACGTTATATATTATATACATATATATTTATTGTTTGTATATATTAACTAATTTCGATACGGCGTGATTTCTCTGCCGTGATTGATCACAGTAAGATCGCACATCTCCCGAAAATTTCGGAGGGGTTCGAATGTCGGACCATGCTCGTCGAAGCGAGCGCGCGAGAGATCGATCGATCATGGGAGCGCCGCGAACGGTCGGCTGCGTTATCCTTCGATTTCTCAGCATCGAGTCAACGGCAGAGCCGGCCACGCCGTATCGCGTCTGATACATTGTACGCGAATTAGGACATTAGAATGAAAAATATAACATATAACGAACAATGCACATTTCCTATGCGCTAGTCCACGTTATGCGTCGCGCGCGGCTCACTGCCGCATCGATCGAGTTTATTATGTTTCCTCGTAACGTTGCGCTTTTTCTTATTCTTTTTTTTTGGGTTTATTACATCTTAATATTACAGACTTTGATTATAATTTCCTACATAACACCGGAGATATGTCTTGAGCAGGTAATGCGAACAAAGCTGGAGGGGAAGGAAAAGATATTTGGGTGAGAGAGAGAGAGAGAGAGAGAGAGAGAGAGAGAGAGTCGATCTTTCTCATTTGAAAAGTATACACGTATCGTATAAATATACGTATTTTTACAGTAAATAACGCATATCGGCTATATTCGCACACCGTGTACCGAGACGTATATTAAACCCGTATCGATCCTAGTTTGGCACTTTCCAGCAAGAAATGAACATCGAATAGATATCAAATCGACGTACATTCGTCGTTAATTTGATAGTATTTGATTGTCTCGATTTGATGTCGATTCGATGGTTTATTTCTTGCTGGATTGTGGATCAAATGGACTCGAGAGAAAAATTAAGGACCTACAGTTAAATCTCGAATTATTGTATATGTATAAACACAGGACACTTTTTTCTTAAATCATCCAAAATTTCTTTTTTTTTCTATGTGGAATCAACATACCATCTTCTCTCATATCTTAAATTATGTATTTTGAAAACGATGATAACGACAAATTCTCCCAATCTACTTTTCGCACATTCAAAACTATGATATTTGTGTATATTAGGTAAAAGAATTTATAGATATTTAAATAAGAGCGTACCAGAAAAGTTACTAGGTCTCAAAGATCGAATACGCAAACGAAGGATTAATAGTTGTTACTTGAAATTTATCTCATATGAGATACTCAGATCCGAGTACAAAATTAGTTCCGAGTTTTACAGTTGAATTATACGATACGAATGTGACGTTACATTTGTAATCGTGATTCGACTGAAAATCTCGTATCTCATTCCAAATGGAATCTCACTTGAGATCAGTTTAAGTAATGACTACCGATACACGGGACTAAGACGGACTGCATACTCGACGGTGCAGAATATAAGCACAGCGCGGTAACTTGTTATCGATCAAAATTTCCCGATCGTCAATCAATCTATAGCGACCTAACGCAGTCTGTCGCGCGTCGGGGAAGACTGTCATTGAGGATCATTGACAGATTTCGCGTTCTCGGCCGACTCGCACTGTCCCTACTAACTAATGTATCACTCGATAACGCTTCTCTTACCCGGTAATCACGCCGAAAAACATGAGACAACAACGAAGGCGCGAGTCAACGTACCGGAATAAGTGGAAAGAATATCACCAACGACTCCATCCTCTTATCACCCTCAAGTGCATACGGAAAAGCGGTTCGCTGATTGGCAAAACCAGCGCGAAAGGCACGCAACAATCCTAATGGAAAAGGAATACGCGCGTAATCTCGCGTATCTCTCGCAGATCGGCCCTCGACCTCGTCCCGGTAAGAGCGATACTTCGATCAGCCGCAACCCCTTTGTGCGTCGTCGTGTTGAATTTTGGCGATATTGGTGCAAAAACCGAGAAAGGTGCGTCGTGCAGTAATCACGCGTAAACGGATAATACCGACGAATGCGATATCGAGCAATTGCAACGGGGATTTCTGCGCCAAAGCAAAATATAAAATCCGACCTTCATTCGAACCGACGTTCCTCCTACCGTGTTTCGAAACGGAGAGAGCAATGCGGAAGCACTCTCACCGAAATTGCACGCCGAATATCTAACAAGAATTACAATTACTTTTATCATGGTGACTTGGTGCAAAAATAACGGACGATTTCGCCTTTTGTTCCCCCTCATTGTTAAATGTGAAATTAAGTACTCGCATTGTGCAACGATGCTCTCACGAAGCTTACTTTTTACTCGGTGCTCTTTTCGCAATGCTTATCGTTCCTGACGATGCACAGTCGCGCAAAGAATACAAGTTGCGAAGTGACATAACGCAGCACGCATCGACGACGGTAAGTTTTGAAACGAGAAATCGGCCGTTCCTTTTGCATCGTTCTACAATAAAAGATCAACCAATTTAAAATGTCTCACCTTGCCCTTTTCAACTTTAAGCTCACCTTCTTTTACACACATACACACACGCACACACACACTCTCTTTTTCTTTCATTCATATGTCAATACCAGATTCAACATAGTGCACAACATGTGCATTTTACTGTTGCAGGATCGCATTACTCGCCGAGACAGTAGCATTAGCCAGGATCTTGGGCAAGGCCGTCGTCGACGCGTCCAATGATCCGGTCGCGGTCAACAGGCTCATGGTGCTGTTCGACAATAACGTTGACGTCAGAACCGTGGTCAATATGCCAGCGGTCCTCAGCTTCGTGGTCATCATCGTGGTCCTCTCGATGGCGGGGAGGGTAGAGGATATTGCGGTAGTCAGGACACTCACGGTCGCATTGCCAATCGCGCTCACCGTCGTCGGAGTATTCACCAATTTCGAGCACACATCCTTGGCTTGCAACGGTGGTCCGAGGAGGGCGTCCACCAGATAAGCGAATATAGATCCGATGGTCAATCCGCCGGTGTACGACAGGGTCATGATGTTACCTAACAGAAAATACGGCACGATATGGTACACACGAAAAGAAAAAAAAGAGTCCGACTCACCTGCGAGTTCCCGATGTTCCTCCGGTACCTTGCTGGGTGCTTGAATCATGGGTATGGAACCGACTAAACCGTTGGTGAGGCCGAGCGCCCAGGACAGTAAAATCGAATGTATCTCTCCGGAGAGGATTGGACCGTCGCGTGGAATCGCGCAGGACAGAAACAGAGGAATAAGCAGGGCACGCGTGGCGGAGATCCACAGCACATGCGTGTGTTTCCACGTGTAATGCATCAGAGTGAACATCTGCGGAATAATCTGTATGTTATACGATTTTACGTAGGTCAAATGCTTCCTTTCTTCTTGTTTGTGCACGTAACATACAGGCGATTCGATCAATACCTTGCCGAGTAAATCGGAGGCGTTGAAAGTGGTCATCAGAACAATCGGCATCCACGATTCGAGTTTGCAAGATATTATTTCCGACACGATTCCTGGGTAGAGAGAGAGCGTCACGGAATAGGCAAGCGCGATACTGATCATGTACGGAAAGATCAGCTTGATGACTTCGAGCCTCGCGAGCAGGCCTCCTGAAAAGACATATCGTTAATACAATGTGCGTGGAAAAGCGTAATCGTTAATTTAACGAGAACGGTATCATCGCATAGATAGAAGCACAATTTTATTCTACGAAAACAAACGCGCGAAGATCAACGTTCAAGAAAAGGGGAAAGAGAGAGAGGTCTTATGTTCTTACTTTTGATACCAGACCACCGTTTGCCTGTGCTCTGCGTTCCGCAGGCTCCTCGCATGACTACAACATCTTCGACTTTGTAAGTCGGCCCGGCGCTACCAGGAGGATTGCCCGACGGGGCACTAGGTTCGTACACTGGATTGCTGAACGAGAACGCAGAATACTGTCCGGACGCTAAAAAAATCGGTTATAGTTTTGCCAAAATATTAATTAACAATTAATTGCGAAAATAGTCATTAATATTTTATGAAAAATCAGTATTTTCATGCATATTTTCTTAAATACACTCACGTTATTGCAGCATTAGAAAATGATATGCAAGATTTTATCATATAATTTCATAAATGTTTTTCCTATTGGGATACGAATTCATTTGCACACTATAATTTCTCACTTACCATTCAAGTCAGCGCTTCCATTCGCGGATTCTGGTCCCAATGGACTCGTCTGAATCTTTAGCACTCCGTATTGACCCTTCGAGGGATCACCGATTTGGTCTAACGGATCCATCTGTTTAATAAAGAAAGATCGTACGGATGATTATGAAATTTGGCTTACGTCAACAGTCATTGGATAAATTCGAGAGAAATCAAATACACGATGCATCAGCGATGGGCATACAACGTAGCTTCGTACCAGGCCAACATCCTCTGTCGGTTCCAATGTGATCCGATTTTTCTCCTGACACAGCGTTATGTAGAATTGCACAAAGTCGCTCTTTCGCACTGCTTGATGCAGCACGAAGCACATCAGGATCGTAAAGATGGACAACATGAAGAATATGGACGTATTGTAACGTTCATTGTTGAACGACGATTTCGTTATCACCCGAGTAATCGATACCCAGAAGCCGGCGATACCTGCGGAAACACGCGACTAATGTTATATTTCCATTGAATGGAATACATCGAGTATCCGTGAAATTGAGAGAGCAAAAAGACACGCAATGTTGCAACCTGCGAAATTGTATATTGGTACCGAAATATTCATAATATACAGAGTTAATTTTTTCTTTCAAGTCAAATTGTGGGGGGGAACCATCTCTTGCAATTTTTTTTAATTCTCAACATTTTTAGCGTTTAAAAAAATAAGCCTGTAAAATTGCAATTTCATTTAGATCCACTTGAATATTGAATGACGGAATAATGTTGCTTTATTACTCATTTTTAAGGATTTTCAATCCAAATGTTTTTCTTTCTCCTGCCAATTGCAAGTCATATATGATATTTCTTTTATCATTCATGGGATGGTACTCACTTTCTCCGGTCATTACAGCTTGGGTATATCGACTAGGAAGCATGGACGTGTACCCATAAAAGCTTGATTGCTGAACTGTAATGCAATAGAAGAGAAATTATACGTGAACGTTGATCGGCGGTTCGGATCATCGGGAATTTGTTGTCGACCCTACCTGTGCAACCGAGCGACACTATTGCAACGGCGACTAGATTCATCTTATAAGAAATCGCATTGCCGAAGAGCTCCCACCATACCTCGAAGATCAGCACAATATTCAGAGTGATGAAGGATACGAAATATCCTAGAAATTCAAGGCCAAATTATTCCGTGCCTTTCTCTTCTTCCTTCCATACAAGGCGTATTTTTATCTTTAATTTCGTCTCTTCGTGCGTCTTACCAAATGTGATCCGCGTATTCAGCGAGAAGGTCTCCACCAGGATGTTGTTCGCAAAGACCGCCATGAAAGCTACGCTAATGTAAACGACAGACATATCGAATATCACGGTAGTTCCCGGATATCTCTCTTGAAAATAATCCACCGCTATGATGAAGCTGTAACAGGCGATAACATTGCTATTGCGGCATAAATTGCAAAAAAGTTCTTCGAATTCGACGCGTATTTGATCTTAGTTGTAATTTTGGGACAATGTTTCATGCCTCAAATCTTTGTCTAAATGATCATCTTTTCTTATTTTTTTTATTGTACATTAGTTTGTCATCAGTCACAATTCATTGCGCGTTATTTAAGACATGAAACGTTGTTTTGAACCGATTACTCAGTCATTTTACTGAGGTCCACAAATACACGAGATGGTGAGTGATCGAAGTTCACGGTGGCAAAAATTTTGCTAAAATTTCTCGTACGAGAACGTCGAAGCTACATTTCAAATAGCGAGCGAATCGCGCGAAGTTTCCACGCGACGTATCTTGACATCCAGCGTGTGTAATGCGATGACATTAATCTGACGATTGCCCCGATGTATCTCGCGAGCTTCCGTCGAAGCACTCCTCTGCCGTCCGTATTCCCCGCTGGGAAGCTCGGAAGTCTCGTGCTCGAAACGTTAATTGGCCGAAAATGACCAAGCGCAGCCTCGACATTTTCGCGAATCGATCGCGGACCGAGCGGTACAGCGGGAAAAGCGAGACGATCGCAGCGGGTCACTAAAGATTTGCGACGAGGAGAGCTGCATTAACGTCGAAGAGTGCGGGTCTATGACTCGGCTCGCGCCGAATCTAGACATCTACGATTTTCGTCGCATGACCTGTTATAGGGCAAGAGGAATCCTACGCCGCCGACTGTCAGGGCCACATAGATGAAGTTGTAGTTGTCGATGGGCGGCGAGAGGTGCTTGAGCCCCTTAGAGAAGTTGAAGTCGTTGACGCCTCTGGCCTTGCCCAGCTGGACGTATCCCCGGCTCAGGTTCTCGTCCATATTGTCGGAAGAGAGTGGAATCGGCGACGAGAGCGGGATGTTCGTCGGTGGGATTGGACGGGTCCCCCTACGAGTCCATGGTACGCGCGTCGTCAGCAGGCACCGCGGGCGCTTCTCGCGGGGTAGGCGCCGGGTAGTCCTTCGGGTAGTCGTGCACTACGTTATTTACACTTCCTCGCGCCGAAGTACGTCGAGTGTGTGTGTGTGTGTCTTCCCTCGTCGCGTCCGGGCGCATGCTTGCGAACAGTCGCGATATTGATTCCTGCGCGGGCTCTCCTCCGCGCCGCCGAGGAGGTTTCGAACGCGTCGGAATTGAAATCGATCGAGAACTCTCCGGGAGGACGGGCGGAATTTTCGTGATTTTTGCAATTTTCGAAAAAGCCGACCTCGCACAGATCGAGGGAGGAACGCTCGCTTTTCGTGTACGATGTCGCATAATTAACAGCAGAACGTCCAGCTGGATATTGGAAAGCGTGGAATGCGAGTTTCGATAGGACATGCGCGCACGATTGTTGGGAATTATTCGCTCTATTTGTCTCCGAATACTTGAGTTTTCGCCTGCGTGACTTCGCGCCGTTGTGCGCGTACAGGGTTCTGCCTTACCGGCGACAGGCATCATATCAGCCGAACTCGACATTATCGGCCGCGGGGGTTTACTCTGGATGCGCGCGTCGATCTAGTCGCCAACACCGACGCGACGGACCCTCTTTCCCGTGGGGGCGCTTGCGATGTAAGATGGAGGTGACGTCAGTCTTATCACTCTTATTGTTCTCGGCTGTCTTGGAAGTTCTCGAGGAGCGACGTCCACGAAGGAACGTCGCGAGTTTTGACGTTTCCGTCGTGTACCCGCGGCAGACGTAGGCCAATATGTCATTGAACACGGCGCACACCAATGGGGGAGTTCTTCTCCATTCTGGCGAATGGTGAGCGGCGTATCGCCAGATTTTCCTCGCAAATCCGACTATGGGTGCATTCGGCGAGACACTATTTAGCTCTATCGCGTCTATCCTTGTTGTGCATGTAAAGAGTAATATAGGTAGAATGACGCGGTAGTGTTAAACACCGTCTCCCGGAACGCCATCCTATTTCGGATAATTTCGGCCGTGACAGTTTCGCAGCGCAATATCGCCATGACTCAGCGATGATTATCTCGTTATCTCGATGTCCATTTCGCTTCGGTCGAAATTAGTCGTGTAATTATGCCACAACATTAACTCAGATTGTTTAGATGAATTACTCGTACGAGCGGAATTACGCTCGGCAGAGCTCTACCGGCTCGTACTTGGCGAGTCGACGGATCGTCATCGTGCAATTCGCGTGGGCCAAAACGCTGATCGTGTACAAATGATTTTCCCCCGACAGCATCATACTCTTCTGCGACAATGTCAGCATGGAATTTCACGGACAGGAGCAGGCGGAGTTTATCGGCAAGAAGCAAGGCAGATTATACCTGACGACGCACAGGATGATCTTCAACGCGAAAGATCAGAAGGAGAGGATGCAGTCGTTCAGCTTTCCGTTTGTCACATTGAGCGAGGTCGGTGTGGAGCAGCCGATTTTTGGCGCTAATTTCCTCGGGGGCAAGTGCCGTGCACAGCCCAATGGTAACTGGATCGGCGAGTGCAAATTCAAATTGAAGTTCAAGAGCGGCGGCGCGATAGAATTTGCAACGGCTCTGCAAAGAGCTGCGTTGATGGGTGAGTAATTGAAACCGCCGATGTAACATGCATCTTCTGCAATTAGACAGGGGTGACAAACTGAGCTATAATGTTGCGTCATGTATATTATACATATGTCAGATAACATAAAATCGATAGTATCGTCGCAAGTACATACTGATGATAAGAATCTGTCCGAGTCAGGTTTTCATATAATGAGTATCTAATAATCATTCGATTATTCTTTTGATTTTCAGCTCAACGCAATGGCCCACCCAATGACGCGCCACCACCATACACACCTCCGACATCAGAATGGTATCCGGCACAACCTTCGGCTTATCAACCACCACCTACTGGATATTATGGATGGATGCCTCCGACTAATGTGTTTCCAGATGTTCCGCCAGGTATAACATTGGCCTCTTTTACTATCTAATATTAATTGGCAATGAACATCCTAAGAAGACGAATGATTCGGTGTTTAATCGACAATAGTTAACACTGGTCGTTGATCTTTGCAAACTTGTATTCATGTTATAACTCCAATTAATCTTTTACTTTTGAATTACGATTTTGTATCAAGTCTTGACATTTTATATATATATATATATATATATATACATAATTTGATGTCATCATGTCTATCCTGTACAAGTGATATATAGGATACTTGCGCTTGGTAACTGGCTAATCGCGTTCCTTTTGGTCCTTAGGAAATACCGTCTTCGTGACGGACAGTCCGCCACCGTATCCAGGCATACATCCATATGCGTGCGGACCGCCGCAACAAGGTCCCGGCGGCGCAATGGGACAGCCAGGTGCACCCGGATGGGCCAATCCGAGTTACAACGGCCAGCCGATGTCTCAAGGTGCGTATCCCGGCGGTTACGGGCAACCGCCTCACAGCGGTTATCCGTTAAACCCACCACCGTACTCACCGTATCCGCAAGTCAATGCACAGGGTGGATCTTATCAGCAACCAGGATACACTCCGTACCCACCTCACTACTAATGAATTGTAATGAATGCGTAATATACGTGTAAATTGTGTGCCTGTTCGTTCAATAATAATAATAAGCTATGAACCAACAATATGTGGCGAAGAAAAAGAAAAGAAAATATAACGCTTCTCTGAAGATGCCATGTCGAATTATGTGTGAGCAATATGCAGATATTTTCAAAGTACCTCCCGCTTAGAGGAGAGTTTACAAAAGAACGTTCTCAATTGAGGAAGGAAAACGAGCGACTTTGCATTAGCTTGCTTTTTGGGGGACAGCGCATCGCTGCCTCTTCTTTTTTTTTTATTCATCGCCGGTATCGACGGAGTCGTTCCTTTCTTTGTTCAACATTCTGTGGTACAACAAAGATGGAGCGACGCCGCCAGTCACACTGACAGTGAATAGTAAAGAAATGTGCAGCTTGTACACGCTAAGACGAGCATACGTATTTTTCTAAATGCCGACAGCTCGCACAATGTATTTGTCCGCAATTACGCTGAATGCACGTATTGCCGGATTATTATTCTTCCGTTAATTCCACCAAATTATAAGACACGTTATATTAGATTATCAGCAACAAACAATATTACGATATTAAATGTTAATTGAAGGACAATTTGCTGTTTTTTATTTAAACCTGTCAAACTGAAGGCTACTATTTTATGTTCGGAAAATCGTGAGGAATGCAAAAAAGAAAAGCCGAACGGACGGCCGAACACGGTTCGCGTGCTAAACTTGAAAGTTTTTAGTGTATTAAGCAATGGGGATTACGTAACGCACGTCCTTACACGATCTGAAACAAGATTGACTTTCACTTCACTCAGTTATTATCTCATAGTTGTCATAGTTCGCACGGAGACACGGCTTGGGCAGACAGATTTAACGGAATTTTTGTGCTCCATCACATCAGTGTGATCTGTGTTATCACGTAGTGAACTAGAAAAAAACGTGTACTTTACGTATCACTCCTTCATACGTGTAAACGAGTGGCGCGAACAACAAACGTCTGTGCTCGTCGCTCGATCTGCTAAACGATTCGTATTCAGGCGCTTGACGGCGAGTGTAACAACGAACAGCGGCTAATTAAAGTTCACCGTGTCGAGGCAATACGACGAATTCGCGCAAATCTTTCACCGCAGAAGTCAGTGTCGCAAGAGTTATGTTAGAGCGTAACCTAACGCGTCACTGCATTTTCGCACAGTTCAACGGAACGTTTCCATAAGTCGGCTATGCGAGTGTTCGACGAACAACTATAAAAAGTAACGGTTGAGAAATCTTAATATCCGACGATAATAAGAATTACATTTCGAAATCATGCCGAATCAAAAGAACTTGAATGCCTCGAGTAGAAATAACGTTTGTATGTATTTTCTTAATATTGCCATTAATAGTAACACTGATATATGCACGATGACTCATCGCCGTCGCATTTAAATTTTAATGAGACGCTCGTTGATGGAATTTGATCTTTAACAAAGAGAAAAACGTACGATTTTCGGCCGAACGAAAACTCATTAAAGTTTATGGCTCGTCGTAGCGCGATGTGATTATCTCGCTCGTTATATATTGTTAACGTCCGAGTGCATTCTTTATACATATGTATATACATTCCACATCGTCCTTTTTTATTCGTTAGATGCAAAGGCTACTGCAGATGCGCAGAATGCATATTACGATCCCAGCAGGCCTCAGTGTGCTTACGTTCCACCACCGGAATATTATGTAAGTATAATTTATATATATGTATTCAGTTGTATATAGAAACAAACTCTCTTTAGATACCGGTGACCAAGAATTTAAAAAATCTTTTCGAGAAACGCGAAGCGGATGTTTCACACTTCTCTTTCCAAAGAAATTCCTATAATATAAATTGTCTTTGTTTTATTGTTCTCTGGTACATAAAAACCACCTCGCGGTTTTAACTCGCGAATAACGAGTCGTATTTATCTTATCTCGATATCGATAGCAATGATAATCGTGCGTAAACGCGGAAATGGCCAGTGTTTAGACGTGTCGTGCTGTGCGAGCTCGGAGAATCTTCGTGTTCAGCACACGTGAGATAAATGTTGTCTCGGTGATTTTCAGGAAAGTCCACCGGCTTACACGAAGAAGTACCAGTGAGAATGTGCACGTCAGTGAATTACATAACGCAATCGATACGCATTCCACCTTGGACGAACACCGCAAAATTCTGTCCCGTCGCGCATTTAACGTAACAAAGATGTCTCCATGTTTGTTACGCAGCGAACGAGGTAGTCTTGAAGACGTAGCACGCCGCATCACCGTTTCTCTCTCTCTCTCTCTCTTTCTCGACGTAACGTCACGCGATGATTAGAGCACGAGTGCGATCGCGAATACTCGCGACGACGACATCGCTATGTGTTAACATCAGTATTTACAATGCTATAATTCTTTCTAACGTATACATTCTTTCTTAGAGCCGATTATATTGTTGTGTTTCACGCGAGTCTATGTTACTACACAATAAAAGTTTACACATGTGAATACACGCGTAAGGACGTTCGGATCCGTGCGATCCCGTACGCAGAATATATATATATATATATCTGCCGAAAAACGTACGTATATATATCCGCCGAAAAACGTACATATCCTTCTGAATGCTTTATTAAAAATTACAAAAAAATTAGATATACGATACATCGTTGCGCAACGATGTAGTAGAGTATAAAAAGCGAAGGTCAATATGGACCCTCCTCCAGACGATCTATGTACAATTCAACGGGAAATAGCTCACGTTGACAGTGCGCCTCTTGGACATTTCTCTCGCCCATAGCTGCTCATTTTTGCAACGGTATACACGGCGTTTGATTTATTCTTTCGTCTTGATTTAAGGATTAGAATTCGCCGAATCAATTAATCTCGAGCTCGATCTCGCTTCGTTTCGATCGGTCAGATTTGAATGTTCACAATCCTGGAATTCGAGCTTAAAGAGGCACTTTCATCATGAAAAGTCTACCCGTACTCGGAGGTGACTGTCAGACTGAATTCGCCGTTTTCAACATGAGTGCCGTGGTACCAGATCCGCGTGTCCAACAGCACGATGTCCGATGTGTCGACGAAGAACTCGAAAGGCTTACACTCGCTGTCGCATTCCGGCGTGGGTGCCACGGTCCACGTTTTGCTGCCAATCACCTGAGCCTGCCACATGAGCCTCGAGATGTAATCCAGCTGCAAGAGAGACCGGAAAGTGCTTCATAAAGCCGCCGTTGGTGTATCCCTTTTTATCCAGAGTCGAAAGTAGCACGATTCGGTAACGCGAGTCTATCTTACTTTATTCATTTTATCACCCTTATGTGTTTAGTAACTATAATAGTAACGTAACGACTCGTTACTTTTTAAATACCCGATGAATGGGAGCGATTATTTTTCAAAAGCGAAAGAGAATGCGACTTTCACCAAATCCGAATTAAACTGATCGATGAATAATAATAATAAGAATCTCGCCAACACCAATTTCCAGTTCTGCAATTTGTCGAGCATGTGACAATTTGATTGGCAGCGATTTTAAATCGTCGATTAAACGGATTAGTTTGGCGAAAGTCACCCTGACAGTAATCTTCTCACGAAATCCGCTTCCACCGCCATCAGTTCAAATCAAATACCCACGATCGACGGAATCAATCAATCGCATCGCTGAATGCGATCGGTTAATTCCGTTGAGTTGACTGGATTTGAACGATGAGGGTGGGCATGAATAAGTCGCTTACGTGCATAACGGCACCCTCCTCGTAGCCCAGAAAAACGTAATTGCTGTACGGGATCTCCGCGTCCTCCGGCAGGAAGCGGGGCGCGCTGTAGAGAGTGCCCATCGCGTCCAAGACCCGCGGATGGCAGTTTTTCCAGCCGACGTACCAGGCAGTCTCGCCGTCGCGATGGGACGCGCGCCGCTCGCTCATCGCGAACACCTCGCGCAGGTTCGTGAAGTCGCTCTTGAAGTGCAGGAACTGGCATTCTTCCTCGACGGACTCGTAGGCGCCGTCGGTGCGCTCGTACAGCTCCCGGAAGTACTGCAGGCTGAAGCGGTCGCGGGCCGGCCAATCGTGCGCCGCGTTCTTCACTATCATGGGCCGCGACGAGTAGGAGTGGGCGCGAAACTCCTCCCGGGTCAGATTCGCCGGCAGGATCAACGGCGCGTCGACGTCGCGGCAATAGCCGCAGTCGGCGACCGGCCTCGTGAACTCCCACACGAGGTAATTGTTCGGCAGCAGGCATCGGGTCTCTTGGAGACTCCTCAGCGGATTCGCCGGGCGAATCAGCACGTAGAGGAACGGTGCCAGCAGCAGCACCACCAGCACTCGCTTCCGGTCTCCGCTCTTCGGCGCGAGACTATTCGCGCGCTTCAAGTCGTCGCACGTCGCGGCCCCGCGGCGGATGTACTCCTCGGTCAATCGGAGAAACGCCTCTCGCACGGCGGCCTCCTCGGCCATCCTAACACGCGGGAGTCGCTCGCATTTTATCGCCCGAAATCCGCGGCTTCTCGCGACTGGATCTCTCACGGCGGAATAACACGAAGCGGACGGATGTATTCCACTAATTACAATTATACAAACGCGTAATATCTTTTTTTAGCTTCGACTCGGAGAATCTCGATCGGACTTTAGTAACGCGACGATTACAGCAGAGTCACCGATGTTAATCACCGCCGGCCCTCCGACGCGTTAACGCTCATGATACTCGGAATCATCCGTATCACGAGATATGAATCACTCGTATCTTCTTGACGTAAACCAATTGTTTACATCGACGGAGGATGAAAGAGATATCCGAGTTGCTCGACGTTCCGACGGCGTCCTCCCCTTCACCGAGAACGGAGTTGACAAACACGATCTCCGCGCGCGCGTTCCGGTAAGGCGCGACACTTGGCTCGGCCTTGAGCTACATACGAGCTGCGACTGCTGCCGGCTATCGATCATACACGGCGGAGACGACATTCATCTCCTGGTGGTTGGTGGGGATCCTCCTTCCAACCGCTCGCTCACATCTGCCTCTTCCGAATGGACTCTTTCCGCGGTTAAGTACTTTAACAAGACGTTTCCTGCGCCATGTGCCCGACACGTGTGTCGCGTTCCAACCAAAGGAAAAACTAGAGCGCGCGCTGAAACTGCGCACAGTTGTCACACCTTTCGTCATCTCTACGAATCTCGTGTCGGAACGAGAAGATTTCAACGGAAGAGAGAGAGAAGCGAAACAAAAGAGCGAAAGTCTCAGAAGTATTTATTTTATCAAATCACACAACGTAATGTACAAGTCCCATTCAAACCGACCTCCGAAGTAGATTTTTTTTTCTTATTTCTTCGAGTCACGCGCGGACAGTTGACTGCGTTAATTGCGTGAGAGGGGAAGTAGTACTATTTTATAATAAATTTTGATTCGTTATATTATCTTATTCACGCTGTCAGACGGCTCCTGTGTTAGACGGTATAAAACCTAGTTTACAGTTACAGTACTAAAGAGCACGGTACGCAAGTCTTTTTCCTTACAGATAGAGGTTCTTACAAATCGTGAGATAGCGATGAAATCGATCTGTTTTCCTCTTTGTTCCTACGAGAGTTCTTACTCTGTCACTATAGGCCAATCGTGAAACTGCCGATTCTCTAATTTTATTTAGCATGATATTCGTTGTTACTCCTCCGTCGAGTCGACACAATGACACTGAAACCTAAGCACGTCAATGTTTCTCTTTTCTTTTCCGGCTGTTTTCGTCTTCTTCACCGAGAGTATTGACCGTATATCTCTATTCAACGGCGACACAAAGTACTGATATTACGCGAAAAGAAACATATATATATATATATGTATCTTTTACTGTACAGTGAAAAAGATGTGTAAATATATATATCTTTTTTTTTGTCGCAGAAACTACAATAAAAATATATAAAACTTTGTCAAAGCTTAACATGTACCAAAGATAGATCTCGAATAGATTTAAAATCATAGCGTGTGTGTGTATATGTATGTGTTTGTATGCATACGATCGCATCAATCGACAAACTGAACACGTCGCGTGAGAACTTGAACAAATTATTCGCGTTGTAGAAATAACGATCGTTTTAAAAGTTTGCTTATAAATTCAATGCTACGACTTTAATTGATTTATAACTGTGATTTATAAAAAAAAAAGAACAATCACTTTTGTTTAACAAGAAAGTAAAAGACATCGGCATAATTAAGGAGTTAATTCCAATATCCGTAACCCTTGTGCTGCTACATACATATAAAGTCAATAGCTTTATTGCTCAGACATCTCAACAAATCGAATCGCAATAATATTTTTATAATTTCTCGAATGTAAAAGTTTTTCTGCAAAATCTACGGTACAAAATTTGCAAATATGGTGCTTTGATAAATTAGAAAAAAGAAAGAAAGTGTACATAATCGTAAGCAAACATATAATATTATATCACAACGCATTGTCAATTATGGAAGTTCCACTAATCACAGTTTTCGTGTAAAGGACTGCTTAACTTATACCCAATTGTGTAGGAGAAATTCCGAGTTACAATTAAATCTCGACTATGAAGATGCAAAACATTAGCGTACAGTGTAATTACATCAGTTTTTTCCCAATAAATCACAAGACTAGTCACCTAAAATATTTTCTCAGTGGGACAGACTACGTTTATTGGGTATTCCTCGATGATAATCCAACTCAAAATAAGTTATTACTTACTGTTAGAAATATGCTGTGACTAGTACAGTCGTGTTTGTGTTAATGTTTACGTCTGATTAAACTTTGCTTTTACAGAAATAGAGATTTCCATCGACTATCAATCAGAAGTAACACCACTTGCCAAGAATAGCGTCTTTAATAGCGGATATGTACTGCGCGGGGACCCAATATATCCAATACCTCGATGCTTCCGTAGTGCCTAATTGTATTGCCTGCGAGTTACCAAGATCGCAACCGAGATTATTTTTATTATTACTAATCTATGATGGTGGAATTTGCAATGTAACAAATAGATTATAAGCAACATACCATAATATGATACTCGGGATGATCGTGAATCGGCTCGCTGTGGACACCTTTTATAGAATTCATAGGTATTTTGTCTGTTCTTTCTTTTGTGCCGATCCACAGTTGATCTTGCTCCAATTTAAATGTTAACCTCACTTTTCCCCCGGATTTATTTAACATTCCAGCTAGTGGAAATTCGGGCAAAGGTTCCTGTACGGTCAATTGATAATGATTACAGGTCGATATCCCCCTTGTTACATAACATAAAACTGACAAATTGTATAAAATTGTTGTACCTTGCTATCTAATATTCCTGGCATTACGTCTTCTGGGATACCTTTATCTAAAACTTTCCTATGTATCTTTTGTTGCGAAAGAGGTTCCTTACTCGCCGAGGAAACAGCTTCGTCATTGAGCTCTTGTTTAGTTGGAATTGACACAGCCAATACATCATCTAACTTTGACCCAACTATCATGACTTTGGCACCTTCAACATCATACAATATATCACAATGATGACTTTGCAAAATACAAAAGGTACATCATATTTCACACACAACTGTTCAAGCTTCAGCAATATGCTTTCAGTCTGTATGATCATAATAGCTCTTTACCTTTTGTTACTCCCAAATTCCTAAGAGTCTGATCATCTTTGGCTAATCCTTTAAACATGACCTTTTGCATCGCCTGTGGTACTGAGATAATTTTTTGCAAATGCGTCTTTAGGTCGGCGACTGTACCATCTAAAGCAAAATTCACACTAATTTTCTGCTTGTTGTAAATCACTTTGAAGTCTACATTTTCTATGGGTGGTTCTTCGGAGGTAGTTGCAGCAGTATCCTGCGATTCATTAATGTTGTTTTCATGTTGCGTCGTGCTCTCCTTTACCTCTGCCGCTAGATTTTCAGTGGACTTCGGAGTTGATATCACTTCCGAACGAGGCGACGAACAACAGCATTTGTCACTGTCATCATCCTTAGCTGTATCTAAATGAACAAAAATGAGTGGCGTGAAAATGGGAATCTGCGAGGTACAAGAGCTCCCTTCGCAGGAAATTTGTGCATCGTCGAGCACAAGGATTGCCGCAAACTAATCGCAAATCAGAATCAAGATAACACGATTGCCCTTCGATCAACAATATCTGCGTGCAAAGAAGCGCGAACGACTCTCACGCGAGATCGCAAGGTTAAGGTCTCCAGCTACGTTTACGTGAAAATGAAAATATACGCATTTAAACGTTAAATTGGTTGCAAACATACGTTGCTGCATCAGTACCGGAGACGATCTAAAAATCCACACCTTAGAGATTTCAACGAAAAATACGTTTATCGAAGTCGTAAAATTCTATCTGGCGTACACAACACACACCGTATACAAAAGCGTGTTCCGGCGGAACATCGCGGTACATCTAGATCGTGAATTTGCCTTTTTTTTAATACGATCGCGAAGAGAGACGCGGTAAACGATAAACGAGGGATTGATTCGTACGTCGAGGATTTTTGCAGAAAGCACGAAAAATAAACAGGATTTAGCACGTACCAACGTACTCCATGTTGAACCGTGTTCCGTTGACCAATCAACGTTATCGCAGGGAGCGTTGCGCATCCGGATTCTCGCCTTGCGGAGCTCCGCGGGGGCAATGACTTTTAAATTTTTGAATCTATATATTGTTGAAATACAACATAGTGTTTATGGAGGAAGGGGGATCACTCATCTTACACGAAAACGACAAAGAGTGAGGAATCAAGTGTACGTATAGTTGAAACATCCTTTTGTTTCAACACGAATAACTTCTACAGATTTATTCTTAACAAATATCGAAGAGATTTTATTAAATAAAAAATAGGCCTTCCTCTTTAATTCGTTTACTTGTAGATTACGGTGCGATTGTTTTCTTCATCGATTTCAACTCAACGTCAAACAAAAAGCATCCTTCAGCTTCAATTGCACACAGAGAATCGGCATACATGTTTATTTGATAAACGCATAGAAAGTTGAAAGTGCTTTCTCCGAAATACACTTATCATACTTCAATTGTCGATTAAAATTTTGATATAAAAAGTTAACTGAAAGGACAAGACTAGAGATTATACAATCGCCACTTCTCATTTAACTCGATTTGATTTGACAAAAAGTGACAGCAATGTTATGAACTCAATGTGTTTGAAGATTAAAGATTTAAAACTGCAAATTGCTTTTTGTACCATTGCATCATCATTTTCAGCGAAGTTACAATCGAACGTGAATTTTGTCTTTGTCATGAAATATAAAGAGTCCGGCCTGTTATAGAGTTATACTACTCGAAAAGTTACGTCTGATTTATCGATGAGTTGTATCACGATTCCAACTCTTCAAGGAACGTGGAGACTCGTATAGCGAAGAATTCGGAACTAAATTTAGCCGAGATTCAAACCACTTAGCAAAGACTCATACCTCACGTCATTCGGATTTCTCACGACATCGCTAGATGGCACCAGGTAGTCTGTTCAGTTGAGCGTCACTGATGCAAAGAGTTTTATTCTTAACGTGCATTGAATTATCCTGCCCGTTTTGATAAGTTCCGTTTTATATAAACCTCATGTATAATGTAGCTTCAGCTTAAAAATTGTAAATTTATTATTCGACACGTGTCTGGAATACTCGGAGAATTGTTATTACAAAGTATAATTCCAAAGTTTATTCTATGAATCGCCACGTTTTCGAATAAATCATTTTCTATTTACGCGATGTGGCTCGACAAACTTGATGAAACGATTTTGACATTTGACGGATTTTGATTTATATATTTGTAATATCGCAAGAAATAATTAAAGTTATGTTCGAAAATTAGAGACTTTTTAAACTGCTAAATGTTTTTCAAACTAACTCATTAATATAATTTTTGAAATAAATACAGTTTGTTCAATTTTACCTATATTTTGTATATAAACGAGACAATTAATTCTTAAATTTTCATGCTTATCAAAATAAATTACTAAAATAAATGAAAAAAAAGGTTCTCACTAATGAATAACAATTTGAAAGACGATTATATATGAAGAAAGAGAAAATATATTTAAGAATATTTAAATACTATTTAACATTTTATAAATAACTTGTTCGGCGACTTTGCTTATTAATAATTGCTCTTTTTATAACAGCTGTTGAGATACGTTGAATCATTTACGTTGCAATATAATTAAACGTTATGTGTACAGGGTGTCTCGAAAGTTTTGACCGAGCGATCGTGTGCAGATAGAACCAAATATAGGATTAAATTATACAGAAAAGTCCAAAATTTCGAGTTATTAATTATTGAAAATGACTATGTATAGAGGCTTTTTTAATTAGTAATTAAAAAATTTGCGTGTTATATACAAAATGATAAAGGATTTTTTGTTCAGAGTGGCCTAGTCTACAAATATATGACAGTTGTTATATTTTATTAGCAACAGACATCAATATATTGAATCTTGAACCTGTTGCCATATATATATATATATATATATAGCTTTTAAACTTTTATATATATATATATA